AAAGAAGAGAATAGAAACGTGATCCACAGCACAGAGGGATCGAGCTCAGATAGACATGGACTTGTCGCATTCCCGCTACTCAGTGACAAGATTCCCGTTTCAAAGCACCGATCTAGAACGCGCACGACTTATCTGATCTTTGGAGGAGCAGACGTAGTACTACTATCCACCATGTCACGTACATGAGTCTCAGTATCAGAACCGTTGTTAGGTTAGCCACGCACAGGTTCCTTACCACACAGGCTAGTCAATTCATACAGGAGTAATGTCCGACATACTCCGCCAGTAGCGGCACAGTCTACCAGACATTGAACATAAGGTATTTACACCCATACAGGCCTTATCCCCTTGTAGGATTGCCATCGTGCGACGCACATGTCTACATCCAATCTCCGGAGAGTGCCCCGCACTTTAATTCATATGTTCTCCTTGTCTCGACTGATGTCTCCTTCCGTGACCCTTGTCAGGGGGCGAATGCAATACACCGGCTCTTAGCCTTATTCTGCGACTCGATCCTAGATAGGGTTTGAGTTCGACTCATGACTGAGTCTCTCTGAATAGTATTTAGACAGGGTTCTTAATGACGCGCTAGTCATTATAGGTTGATGATGAAACTTGCTCTAGATATTTAGCTGCGTGGAGAGATTTCAGCTACTAGATAAATGTAGACGAATCTTCCACGCGTCCGTTTTTGGATCGTGGAGTGAGTAGGATTGCTACCGCAACCTACTCTATCACAATACAGTCTCCCGCGGGAGTTCAGATCTACGATCCTTTGATTGTGGATCTCTCTCGTTGATTAGTTTTCATAGCTTTCTAATCCTCTCAATAACTTTCATTCTCTCAAACTCAAAACACTCAAAAGATCTTTACACTAGCTTTTAGCGTAGTGCATTCTCTGTTAACTCCAGCCCTACCAACAGCCTGAACAGAGGAGCCATCGTCTCGAGTCATTGAAAGGCAACAGCCACCGGAAGAGGCAACAACACACAAGAGAGTGGATCTCCTACTGGATTCATCCCTTCTTGTTATTTCCTACTGTTTTGGTGTGATTCCTGTGTCGGTATCCATTTTCCTGTATGCGCAAGTCAAGTACTGTTGCCACTAGCTATAACGATAGCTGGCTACGATGGCTGGATGACAATGTTCGGTTGTGCATGTATTTGTCATAAGGATCCAATGCGAGTAACCGAGTGCAGCGAGCAAACCGAACCTGAGTGTGTTCGGTACTGTTGCCACTGTCACCGATGATGACTCTACGGTAGCTAGCTACAATGGCTGGATTGACAATATTCGGTTGTACATGTATTCGTCATAAGGATCCAATGCGAGGTACCAGGTACCAGTAACGGAGCGTAGCGAGCAAAGCCGAAGCTGAGTGTTGGTTGTTGTACTGTCCGATGTAACTATACGGTAGCTGCTACGATGGCTGAATTGACAATCTTCGGTTGTGCATGTATTCTCAAAGGATCCAATGCGAGGTACAGTAATGGAGGCGTAGCGAGCAAAGTAACCTGAGTGTGTTCGGTCTGTTGCCGATGTAACTATACGGTAGCTAGCTACAATTTGGCTGGATTGACAATATCCGGTTGTACATGATGTATTCGTCATAAGGATCCAATTCGAGGTACCAGTACCAGTAACAGAGCGTAGCGAGCATAGCCGAAGCTGAGTGTGTTCGGTACTGTTGCCACTGTCGCCGATGAAACTATAGGGTAGCCGGCTATACAATGGCTGGATTGACAATATGAGGCAAAGGGATACAGGAGACGAGCGCTGAAAAAAACCGAATTTGCATCCTACCGTTTTGTAGTCCGGTAGGGTTAGAGCTCTTCCTCTTCAAACCACCAATTTCTCGCTTGCCGCTCACAATTTTGCAACGAAACCTCTTCCAAAGCTTTGAGGTCAGTCTTTGATGATAGTTCGGTAGAAGGACGATATCACTGGGCAATCAAGATGGCGATGAAACAGAAGAAGAAGCGAAAGGAAAAGAAGAAGGAGAAGGAATGTGAGAAAGAGAAAGAAATCAGCACATTGAATGATGCCAATGGTACTGGAATTGCCGCCAGGGATGCCACACGAGCTGAAACTGTGAAGCCCAGCAAGCAAGAAAAGTTGAAGTCCGAGAAGTCCTTGTCGTCACCAGAATCGGAAAACGTGAATGAAAGTCATGCCCAACCAGAGAAAGATAATGCAAAGGTAGGGAAACATCCGAAGAAGAAACGAGAGCGGCAAGGAAGCAAACCAGAAGAAAAGGAAGCCTTGATCGATTCAAAGGACTCTAAGGAAACCAAAGAAAAGCAAAAAGGGCCATCAGACAACATCTCTAGTAAGGACAAGGAGGAAAAGAAAGACAAGAAAAGGCGCAAGAAGTCGCCGTCATCAACCACAACAACAGCTGAGCAACAATCTGAAAAAGCCAGTGAGGACGCGGCAGAGGCTTCCACGCCTCCTAGCAAGAAGAAGCAAAAAAAGAAACGAAAAAGACAAACAGACAAAGCCGAAGAAAAAGAGAACGTTGACAGCAGTCCTAAGGATGCCAGCATTGGACAGGACAGTGAAGCGGGAAACAACTTGACAAAGGATGGTTCTACCGGCATTGAAGGAAATGAGGTTTGGAGCAAAAGCAAGAGGAAACGGATGCGACGACTAAAGGCCAAGCAAAAGAAGCAAGCACAAACAAAAGTGACCGAAAGTGGTCAAAGCCATACCATGGAAAAGGAGCGTGAAAAGGCAACAAGCAGTGACAATCCAAAAGATTCACAATCTGCAAAGCAGAAAGGTACTTCAGCTCTCCAAGAAAAATATGCTGCGCAGCTTACAGGGTCTCGTTTCCGTGTTCTCAATGAAGAGCTTTATACCACCACTTCAGCTACTGCATTTGAACGATTCAAGTCGCAACCTGAGCTGTTTGACCAATACCACGAAGGATTCCGTCATCAAGTAGAGTCTTGGCCCTCCAACCCAGTCGATGCAATGTACCACTGGATCACCAAAGAGTATCCCAAGAACACATCATCAAAGGATCAAACAACGGTGGTGGCCGACTTTGGGTGTGGAGATGCTGAGCTGGCCAGACGCCTCATTGAGGTCAAAAGTGACAAAACCAGCACTTGCCCTTTTCAGGTACATTCTTTTGATTTGGTGGCCAAGTCAGATCTGGTCACAGCTTGTGACATGGCCAATGTCCCACTCAAGGACAAGTCTGTTGATGTTGCAATCTTTTGCTTGGCACTCATGGGTACCAATGCCACAGACTTCTTGATTGAGGCACATAGAGTCCTGAAGGTGGATGGCAAGGTCAAAATTGCGGAGGTCCGGTCGCGGTTTGAAACGACTCATGCACCTGGGAAGAAGAGCAAGCAGGACACTAAGACAAGCAATAGAAAGGACAACTACTACAACAACAGCAATTCTGACGATGATCCTCTAAACCTCTTTGTTGAACAGCTCGACCAACTTGGATTCAAGTGCCAGAAGATTGATAGATCCAACAAAATGTTTGTCCTGATGGAACTCAAGAAGAATGGCAACAAACCAGATCAGAAAGTGAATGTCCAAATCAAACCATGCATCTACAAGAGAAGGTAGGATTGACCCAGTTTCACAGTACCAGTAGGGTTTGTAGACATAAACTTTTCGATGGATTGCTGGCAAATAGCCTGCCTCTGTAGAACTACTGTAAGGTAGCGAAGTTCTCTAGTTCCACCAGTAGAATACCTTCCAACTAAACAATTGCCCTGCTTTCCAAGGCAGATTAGCTTGCTGCCGAAGTTGGCACTGCGAGTCCCAGCTAAGCTAGCTGCTAGCTAGCTTCTTGTTCGCGCAGATGTAGCCTTCTTGCAACACATTCGGAGAACAGCAAACTGCAGATGAAACGATTTGATGATTCGATTCTATCAATGCTCAGTCAAACATTGTAAAAGACAACTTTGAAAGGAGAGTTGAATGATTCAATCGCATTGCTCTACACACAATATCTAGCTGGCCTTTTCTGTCTATGATCAATCATTAAAGTGTAGTGTATGCGAGTGTATGTACAAAAGATTTTGGGCTGTACAAGGATTCTATTGGTGCCGCAAAGCGCAGTTGACAGAAACTTAAAAAGACGGCAAGTGCTGCGACAAGTATTCAAAAACTCCAAGCTTCTCTGCTCCCTGCTCGAGAATCAGTGTCCCAGCTGCTTTGTACATGGAAGCAAGCGGGATTTTTCCAAACGGAACTGTGTGTACAAAAGAAGCGTCGTCCGTCAGAACACAAGTTGACCGCAACAGGTTTATCACTCGCCACTAGCTCTGTCACTTACCCATTGGCTTTGTTGCTAGCGGGGCCTTTTCCTTGCCATAGCGTTCCTGCCACACCATGAACGGCGGCAGCAAGAGGAATAGTGTGCTCACTCCAAAGGCCCCAGCATAATCGAGCGCGTCGTAGAAGATGTCAGGGTTGGCAACGGAAAGCGCAACAGGCGGTACGAAGACCAACCCAAACAAGGGCGCCTTCCACCTTTCGAACTCCTTGCCCTCGGTGGGGATATTGAAAACATCTGTCCATGCATCGAGCAGACCGTACGTGAACCCAATCATGCTTGTGATGACCGCAAGCATGCTGAATCCGGAAACGAGGTCTCCAACCACACTGCCATCACCATTAGACTGGAGCAGAGAAACCGGATTGACTCCCGAGGTGAGGTCCACACCTGTACTGAGTGCGTTGCCCAACACCACTCCATTGAACATGAGAAACATGATGAAGGGGACTGTCGTTCCGGCAATCACCGAAGTGGTGATTTTGTTTCTGTCCCCTTCCAACTGAGAGACCACCGTCGGGACAACATTCTGATACACCAAAGACAGGAAAAGAATCGGGAAGCAGTTTACTACTTCCTCTGGGTGCTGAAAAGCAGGGTCAATGAGTGCTCCAAAGTCGGCAGTAGAAGAGCCAATGCCCACAATAGCCAGAAAGCTGGCAACGACTCCAAATACCAGGGTGTTGTTGATCTTTTCCACGGTTGCTGAATTAACGGCGTAAAGGATTGCACCGCATGTCCCTGCGAACGCTAGTTGGCCAAAGCCCGGAACGGACGATGCCAGATCTCCCAGTCCCAATGATTCCATGTATCCAGCAATGTTGCTGCCACCTTGTGCCACATATGCCACCATAATGGCATAATGAAGAAAGAAGTACGCTGCGCTTCCAATTCTCCCCACATTCTTTCCCAACGAATTCTCGTACAACTCGAGCAGCCCCAGACCGGGACGTCCCGAGGATCCAATGCGGTTCAATGTGAGTTCCGCAATGAGCAGGCCGCTAATTGTCATGTAAAGCCAGGCGATTCCCAGAGCAAACGTGGAAGGTACGAATCCAGCCGCAGCGGTTGCAGTGGGCAGAGCCAACACTCCAGCTCCAATGGTGGTTCCTGCAACTAGCGCAGCAGCTCCCATAACGGAACCTTCCGCGTGTACGGCCTTGACAACTTTTCCTTCTTCTGTTCGTTCGTAGGAGAGGGAACTGTAGAGCCGAGGGACTTCGCCTGTTTGCAGTTCCGGATAAATGATCCGATCATCGTCGACTTTACCGATGGTTTCCTGAAGGTCTGCCAAGAGGTCGGGCATGCCCCGCGTCTCCTCTTCTCCCGCTATGGTACCAATCTCACTACTTGTAAGTGCCTGCTCTTGTTCCTCAAATAGTCGGCTTCCAGTGACTTCGTCTGTTGTCTGAGATACCATTAATTGAGTTTGTGCTCTCTGATAGCTGTTGCTTTCGCCACGATGACGACGAGCTTGCTGACTGTGCAAAGTCGGAGTGACCAGGAGAGCCGATACTTCCTTCTGAGTGCCCAGTGCTAACAGGCCAACGGCAACCGATAGGGAGATGGAATTGTTGATGTACTTGGTGGATGTCATCGTTGGAATAATACTAATGATGATGAGAAAATGAAGATTGTCCACCGATATATAATTATTTCGTCGAGGCCACCGCTTTGAGGAGAATGTGCCTTTGAAGCTTTTGTCTCCCTTCAAGTTGTTCAAAGGGGAAGCAGCAGCTGCGTCAGACTTATTCCAACAGTATACTCACTCAGTGGAGTTGTTTCTGTGGTAACATCACTGTCGATGTCTATGCATGACCTTGAATTCGTCAGTTGCATGGTTGCATCATGTGCGGCATTGCCGCGGAATGTTCTGGAAGTACAGCCCTGACTCATGAGAACACGTCATCTTCTTTGGCTTTCTTTGGGAGATGTGTGTTGATACGGCTTAGCAGGCTAATAATGGACAGGCGCACAGACCCGACGTCGCCAAACGAAAGATATGGACTTTTGGCCATGGCCTCGGCAGCTTATTATTGTGAGGACCGTTATAGTTTGAGCTGACCGTGTCGAAGCCGCTGAAGGAGTGGCTGTGGTTGTTGTGGCATTGCATTGCCTTTGAGAGCAGAGGGTTTGATTAGCTATTAGCTACTAGCTAGTAGGTTGTGAGAGAAGCAGCTCTGAGCTGCTACCGAATGAGCTGTCATGGATGGTGCAAAGAGTAAGAATGGTGGCGACGAAGATACCCCAATGAGTAATGCCAATACCAGTGGCGGCGCTGAGGACGACAATGGATCCACTCGATCGGGGAGGTCTACTAGATCCAGCAAGAGGAGCAAGAAGCGACAGATCGATCAGGAAGAGAGCAACAACAATGAAGCAGCAGCAGATCCAGATGATCAAGCTTCGCAACCTCCCAAGAGGAAAAGGACGAGACTGGCTAGTCCAGAACCCAGCAGTAATTCTAGCGATGCCAAGGCAGCCAGCAAGAATGGAGGTGATCAAGTTATGGAAGAACAGACTATTAATAGCAGCCAAGGAGAAGCTGCATCTGCCGTGGCCAAAATGCCAGCTACCGGTAGCACTGATACCAGCAATGCTGCCGTCGCTGCCGTTGTTTCCAGCAAAACTGCTCCAACACAGAGTGCCGCTCAAAAGCCACCACCGGGGCCAAATCTTAGATTGAAATCCCAACAGACGCCGGGAAAATTTGCAAAGACAGAAACTAATTCTCTTGATCCATCCTCCGCCGAAAACAACAATGAGATTCGATTGCCCACCCGAAAACTCGTCTTTAACGATGCGACTCCGACTGCCACAGCTGCAGCTCAGACACCCACAGGCACCCATCAAACCTCCTTTGCATTTCCTACTAGCCAACCACCTCCAAATAATCAGGCAACCCTCACGGCAGTTCTTCCCAATGGGCCCGTTACTGCTCCAGTCGCTCAACCACAGGCACTTCGACCTCCAGTGGCTGCCCAACCTGAAAAACTTCCCGCCATTCTCTCCTCTTCCTTTGCTTGGTTCCTAGGATTTCTCTTTCTCCACGTCGTGCTGAGCAATGTGGCTGGGAGTGCCTTGCCCACTCTACCCAGTATATCGGATCGAGTCCTGCACTTGTACAAAAGCAATCTCTACAATCTCAAAGTGCTAGATCCACCCACTCGAACCGTACCCAACCGAACACGAGTGGCAGAAATCAAACAATTAGAACATAGGCGGCAGCAAAAGAAACAAAAGATGCTACAAGATCTACAGGAAGTTCAAAAGGCAATGGAACGAGAAATTAAGGGAATGGAACGAGATGAAGAAACCACCCGCAAGGACCTAGATGCCATCAACGAACAGGTTCAGGAACATTACGAACCAGTGTCCAAAGTTCATGACAAGCTCTCTCGTATTGAGGAGCTCTTGAAAGATCTAGACAACGACGACGAAACTGATAAACGGGACGACGCAGTGGCAGAAATAATGGATCTCTTGGGCGAGAACGACAAGAACAAACTCCTGGATCTATCGTCTTTGGATCTTTGGGACATTGCGGAAATCCCGGAAGATTGTGGTGCTGACTTTGAGGAAGAAGATGAGGAGGAGGACGACGATGATGAGAAGGAAGGAGACGAAGAGGAAGATGATGACGAAGAGATTGACGAGGAGGAAGAGGTTCCCGTTGTGGCAGAGGACGAAGAGGAGGCGGCTGTGGTATTATCGCTTGTAGACCAAGAACAGTTGGACGCTTGGGAAGAAGACCTGCGCAAGTTGGTGGAGGAGTCATCGGGCGATATCCTGAAGGATGCAGACATGGCAGACCAAGTCCGAGAATGGATCAGGTCAGAAATAGAGAAAGAGACGAACTGGGAAGATGTTTTATCTGGATTCAGCACCGAAGAATTGGGCAAGCTGATAGAAAAGCAAGAAAGACCGAAGAAGAGCGTGAAAACGCGCAGAATCAACAGTGGGAATTCGCTGCCCGAAGAAGCCATATTGCAGGTGATTCAGGAGAAACTGGAAATGGATATAGCCGACCAAACAGGTATGATTGACTACGCTGCAATACACAATGGCGCTTCCGTGATTCGAGAAGGGCCGCGGTCCACGTCTCCGTCACTACGGAGAAATCTTCCTTATCTCAATCGTGTCATGGCGAAGCTTGGTTTACGATTCTATGGATACGAAGCAGAAGCTGCGTTGACACCCACCGTTCCGCAGGACGCCCTCGGTCAGTGCTGGTCATTTCACAGCGAAGAAGCTACTGCAAAGAAGAGAAGAAAACAGAAATCAGCCCAAGACTTCTCGCGAGGCACAGTTGCGACTTTGGCTGTCCGCTTTGCAAAGCCAATTTATGTCGATACTATTTATATTGAGCACCCTGCGAAGGAAATCTCTGATCGAATGGACAGTGCAATTCGCAGTTTCAGGGTAGTAGGATACGAAGACTCCATCGGCAAGAGAGGGTCCTACGAACTTGGACGCTTCGAGTACAGAATCGGTGAGTGAATCATTTGGCGTCTTGTTCTTGCCGCTTGTTTTGTATCTGACTGTAGCTTTATCTTGTTGGATTCCTATTAGATGAAGCTCCACTGGCTGAATTCGAAGTGCGTAGAAAGCTCACTCGGCAGGATGTGCCTAAACTGAGGTCTATTGCTTTAGCAATTGATTCAACCTGGGGAGGAGGGAACAGCCATTATGGTTGCCTATATCGGTTTAGGGTTCACGGAACTGAGTACCGAGACGATAATGTTTAGAATCTGTTCTCTAGAGACTGTCTATACTCGTCCATTCTTCTTGGTGTCTTTCTGAGTGTTTTTTTACTACTCCTCTCTGTTTCGAGATGACGCCACCAAGTGAGCGACGCACGCCACAGGTGGCAAGATACTTGCTTTGTTCAGTCTTCCAGGGAGTTGTCTCATCAGTCACCTTACAATCTCCGTGCTTGCAAAATGCACCCGTATCGAGTCACAAGATGCCATACAATGCTGATTCGGCGAGTAGCAGACAGGCACCGCAAATGGTCCCTGGTCTCGTACAAAGGTGTCGTGGGCGCCAGTATTGCAGTTTCACCATTCTCATGAGGTGTTGTCGTCGATTGGATTCTTTCGTTGTCGAGTTTTTGATTCTTCATGAACATTGGCAGTCCAAGATGCTGGGAGATCCTTGACGGACAGTTTATGGTTTTTGTCGCATCCTAGAAGAGATTGATATACTTCAGAGCTTGCCGCAAACTTCATTTGATTCAAGACAAGGTGTCCAACTTGACCTTCTTTGGAGGCCTTTCGAAACACCCTTTCAACTAGATCTTTCCTCCTAGAGTCCTTGTGCGGAAGGAGGATCGAAACGGCTCTCAGCACCATACCATAGGTAGTGTGATTTGGCTCGACCCCTTTGACCTTTTTAAGACTGAGCAGATTGAGGATCGCCACCATGATGACAAACGCATTGCAAGCTTGTTCACCTTCAGGATCCACATGAGCGCAAGCGTCTAGAAAACGAGGTGATCAAAGCACAACATTGGCCAATGAGGGTGTACGGTATGAAACTTGGCCAGTGGGCAACACAACACAACACAACCACTTACTCAAAGCAGAGTTGAAAGGTCGAATGTTAGGACGGGCGCGTTGGTTGCCTGCTTCGTATGCGGCAAGCATTCGTTGCAATACCATGTATGCTCTCTCTGCCTTGTCCCGAAGGTCCGATCTCGCAAACGCCGTGATGCAAGCTGTGTACGTGAATGCATCCGCTATCACATCCGACGTTTCTTCCAATTCGTTTTGCTCCAGTTTTGCAAGTATCTCTGCGCAAAGACGGGCTCCCTTGTTGCCCCCACGACCGAGTACCTTCATGACAGAATTGTATGATACCGTGGTAGGGGCAGGAACAAACTCGTCGACCGAATGCATCTTCTCCATCTCTGCCAATAATTCCAATGCCCGATTCATGGCCTGTCGGCTCTTGTCAGATGCCGCCCAGGCATTGATCGCAGAGTTGTAGACTGAATTGTTGGCTGGGTCCCCACCACAAGTCTTGTGCAAGTCTCTCATTCGTTCCAATACCATGTCGGCCTTTTCGCCCGACTCGTCGTCTCCTGATTTGGCAATGCAATCAATGACAGTGCAAAACGTAACGGTATCAGGCTTTTGTTCTAGCTGCCCATCACGATAGTTTCGCTCCATCTTGTCCAAAGTGCTGATTGCAAACTCAGCGGCATCAGTACGGCCACATTTATTCCAGCAATCGATGAGAATATTGTTGCCAAACGTATCCGGTTGAATGTTGTATTGCGTTTCCATTCTGTCCGAGATAACCAGCGCCCTATCGAGTCCATGCTTGAGGCCACTCTTGGCATATGCCACCACCACTGTGTTGACAGTAACTCGATCTGGTTTTGCCAAGTCATTTCCGGCTGCGTAGCTTTCTTCCATTTGCTTGAGTGTCGCATCAAACTGCTGCAGACTGTTGGGTGTTGCCGATTTGAGATGAGCTGCCAACATGTGATTGAATGTGTCTGTATTGGGTAGAATGTCTTTGTCATCCAAAAGCTCTTGAAATATTTGTTGCATTTTCTGTTTCCAGTAGTGTTCCGTGTCGTCGCGACCTTGTCGTCTCGTTTTGGACCAGGCTCTGAGAACGAGATTGTAGGAATGAACGTCCGGCCCCACCATCATCAAGGTGTTTTCTTCATCGTATACCGAAGCAGCGTGTTGTCGTTGCATCATGCGAAGAACGGCTTCTGCTTGTTCCCCTGCATCAGCGAGAGAATTGGAGCAAGCAATCGCATAGAGCAAGAGATTGTAGGACTTTCGATTGGGTTGTACGTCTGAAATTGTGGTGCTATCAGTGTCATCGTCATCGCCTTCGTGTGCTTCTTCTGCTTGATGATTTCTGTTCATCATTCGATCAAATATGTCTCGAACTTTGGAGTGGCAGCGTCCTTTCCAGTGATTGGCGTAGCATGACATGACATGATTGTAGCTTCTAGCGTTGGGTCTGACCTTTCCATTTCCATTGTCGCATTGATTTTCCATTTCGCCTAGTATGGTTTCGGATCGCTCTGGGGCTCCCTTGTCGGAGCTATTGCTCCATGCGTCCAACAGTAGATTGTATGTTTTGGTGGTAATGTATACGTTTGGGTTTCCCATGGCAAATTCTGAAATGAGCCTCTTCATGATGAGTTCAACGACATGAGGGGCTTGATCACTGTCTCGTTTGGCCCATGCTCTCATGAGTTTGTAAGCACGTCGCGTGAGGTCTTTGGACATGAGGGTTGCTGCAGTAGTATTGCTGACAACTTGTAGACGGCTGGGGTCGCCGAGAACATCTAGTCCCAGCACCTTGGATGTGGTCTCGATCATCCATTCCATTTCTTGTTTTTCCTTTTCTTCGTATTCTTGGAGGGTTAGCGTTTTGAAAGTAATCCGGTTCTCATCGTGGCTGCTGCCATTAGACTGATACTGTAGCATAGATGATGTTTCATCGTTTCTGCCAGAAATAGTGGAATCTTGAAAACCATTTCTTGTCACTTGCAAAACTTGTAGCTTGGGTTTCCGCCAATGATTCTTTATGGATGCTGACGATGATGACGAGGACGAATCAGCTGTGATATCGCCCGGCTGGCCCAGCTGCGAGAAGTTCTTGGAGAACAAGCTCTTCTTGGTACTCCTGTTGTGTGGTTTCTCTGCGAGATGATGTTCCTTACCAATAATACTACTCAAAGTTCCTTGCCTCGTCGGAAGAACCAAAGATGGAAATGCCTCTAAGCCCAGCTGGAGAGCAGCAAGCAGCAGCAGTGAAAGTCTCGTCGATGCCCTCATTAAAGAGCAGACGATCCATATTCGTTTTTATGTGGAGGTGGTCTGAGCTTTGCAATCGATGATCAAAGTGAAAGTGATGGAGGGTGCGGAAGGGTGTTGAAGTTTGGTGAGGATCGAAGAACTGACGTTTTAATGACCAGGCGACTTTGAGCTTTAACATCTCGACTGGCTTTTTGGCAGACTCACCAGCTTAGTCGGCTTGTCGGTGAATCGATCAGCCAACAACCTCCTCGACGACGAGACATCACAATGGCGGAACAGCTGTATGTTGTTCTTGGTTGTTGAGCATAGTCATGTCAGATTTTCGACTGCTAAGGGCTATTCTAGAGGTATGTTTCCGTCTTGTTGTTAGAGTTGGAAGAACGGTCCAGTCCGAAAGCTGGTCCCTTGACGGATGCCCTTTGCATTCAATTCGAGTTGACTAATATTTGGTCAATTTCTCGATTCATTCTTCATCACATTGCATCGGAATTACTGTACAGCACTCATGGGAAAAAGCGCGAACTCTGGTAGCCGAACACCCTCATTTGGTCTATGTGGGGTCCTTTTCCCGCTGTGACTACATACATCTCAACAACAACAATGATGATGACAATTCGAATGACGACAATGACGACGATTCCAGCAACGGACTCTTGCAACGACGGGGTGCCTTGCATGAACTCTGTCGTATTTGCGACGCTTTGAATGAAGAAGAAGATGACAGCGAGGTGGACGAAAGTAGTTCTAGACATTTCATGGCGGAAAAGCAGCAAATCCTGCAGCTGGCCACGGATATGATCCGAGCATCCCATGGCGCCAACAATCGCCATGAATGGGAACAACCAAAACAAGAATACTGCTTCGAACGATCCATTTTACTACTCTATGAAGGAGATCAAACACCGCTCCACATTTTGCTGTCACGAAATGTTGACATGCAAATGATTGCAGTTCTCTTGGAAAGCATCACACTAGAACGAAGCAGGGCAACCATTCAAGTTCCGACTGTCTTGGAGTTGTTGACCAATCAAAACAGCTTGGGTGTCACACCCCTTCATTACTTGGCCAACTGCAGATCATGCCCCGTACCACATCTGAGGAGAATTCTACAGTATGCTGCTGAGGAACAACAATCCACAATCTCATCATCATCCTCGCTAATGGAGGAGGCAATGTGCATGCAAGACATTGATGATTTCGAAAATCCAATGCACTGGGCCATGAGCTCACCAGTCTCCCCAAAACAGTTTGGAATCCTGCTCGAATATGGAGGAGCCAAAGCTCTGTGGCGACTCAATTTGGGGGGAGAATTTCCTCTTCATGTGTTTGCCAATGCCTGCCAGTCTGATCTGTTGTTATGCGACGAGGATGAAGTGGTCGCAACAGAAGCCAATAACCTACGTGCGTTCGAAGAGTTTCTAAAGGTTGCCATGGAGCATTTATGTCATCCCAAAGAAGAGGATTCAATGGACGACAAACAGACAAGATGGCTGCCGTTGCATCACATGGTGTCATCCATCTGCTTTCCGTGTCCTGGGTACATGTTGAACATTGCACAACGCGAATACTGCAGCGAAAATGATGCAATTACGCAATATGATGACAACGGGTTGCTACCTCTGCACTTGGCTTTGCTAGCCCCCAGGCAAAGTACTTGGCGAGCAATGCTCTCTGGGGAGGCCGCCAAACAAGCCGCCACAAACAACAACAAAATTATTTGCAAGCTTTTGGAACAATCAGAGAGATCTTCCCACATGGTATCTCGGAAGGATGGACGTCTACCACTGCACTATGCAGTCGAGGCAAACTTGGAATTGGGAACGATCTTAGAACTCGTGGGAAAATACCCTGGTGCTCTGTCATTGCCAGACCCAGTCACAGGGCTCCATCCTTTCGCCTTAGCTGCAGTCAAGGACAACGCCTGTTTGGATGTGCTGTTTGAGTTGGGTAGGTTATGTCCTACTGTCCTGGAAAGTTAGCTAGCTATCTGGAACATTGGACGCTCAGCAAGAAAATGAATATGCTGAACAACAACGAATTTTATCCATGAATTTTGCGTATGTTCTCAGTGATGCTGAGGAAAGCTGTGATGCTTTCTCTGATTGTGCGCATTGTATGCAAGAAATACAGGCACTGTGTCTCGGGGACAGATTCCACGAGTTTGCTGTGGCACCGAGGCAGATACTGTACAGTATTGGGCTTAGCCAAACCTTGGATCGTGAGTACCACGGTTTGAACCATGCCCACGACATGAAGGCTCCGGTATCTCCTTTGCAGCATGTGCTCCCAATTTCGCAGAAAAGGCAGGCACTGGAGCAAACGAGCCAGAAAAACGAAAGGAAATCTAAACTAGGAAGTACAAGTACCGGTATCTCACAAAGTGTCGTCCTCCTCAACGAGACCAAAATCATTGTCTCTATTCAGGATACTGGAAAATACCCGAGGAGGGTAGTGTAGTTATTGTTTTTCATAGAACTATACAAGCTTTTTTTCTTGAGTTGGTTGGCTTTGAAAGCAAACGTGAAACAACTGGATGAGTTGCTGTGAATTCACCCAAAACTGATCCAGTTGTCGCCTCGTTTGCCCAAAGCCGACGGTAACGCAAAGTAGTTTACCACTCGACAAACCACACAAGATACAACACAATAAGCGTCACCACCATCCCAGCCACAACCAAGTAAAAATCAGTAATGTCTCGTCGTTCAATGATTCGCATTGTTGATTGCGTCAAGCCCAGCCGATTTCCAATGTCAAAAATAGTCCTGGTGATTCCTCCCAAGCGTTGACGCTGTTCTATCAGACCATTCAAACTGGCTTCACCAGAAGCAATTATTTCCGAAACCATGAGCTGACTCTGCTGCAACGATTTTCCCTCATCCGCAAGATTGGACATGTCTCTCTCGTCAATATTGGAGTGAGGCGTTCGCTGTTTTCGACGGCGTAGAAGTTCATCTCGCTCTCGTTGATGTCGTAAATTGGCGTTCATTCTTCGGTCGTAGTCTTCCCCCAAGCGTCGCAACGATTTGGATTCTTCTCTCAGCTCAAGAATTTTCCGCTTCCAAACCTCTCGCTGTGCTGGAGTTTCTCGCTGAACAAGCTGATCCATGATGTCTAACTGCATTCCCAGCTCATCCAGCACCAGAAAGAGCTCCGACGCCCGCAACAGGCCATTCTCGACCTGCGACAGCTGCTGTCTCGAGTCGTAAGCAAGCTTGCGGCATTTTGGAAACAGTTCAACAATAGAAGTCATTGTCACTTGCAACCCTCTCAATCGATCCCTACCAGTAGTCTACTTTCAGACTCAAACAAAAAGGAGCACGGACCTCCTTTCTGCTTTGTTGGTTCTGTGTGGTGCAATGCCCCGTTGAAATCGTCGTGACAACGATTCGATTCGACTCGACTCGACTCAACCGACTACAATTACCCTGCAAAGCGGCATAGGTGGGCCTCTCGGAGGCTCTGTTGGGGACGGTCTACACGAAGTGGCGGCTACAAAGCAATCTCCTCTTTCTTCTCTCTGTGCGTACCGGTAGCACCTTCATTGCAAGAGCAAACAAACAACTGGAGAGTTGTCACAAGGACGGGCTAGGACATTCTCTGAAATGAATGTGCCATGTGATTATCCGACAAATCCTGAGTACAAGCACCCACGATATGATGCCAGCATTGATCAATGGTTTGGAATGGATGAAAATGACGGGTTATCCCTTTTGATTCCTTCAGAATTTCAGGATGGGATTGTGACCCCGATGAGAAGGGCTTTGGGAGAGTCATTCCAGATGAGGAAGCGGAAGAGAACGAGGAAGCGGAAGAGAACGAGGAAGCGGAAGGTGAGGGTGAAGGAGACGACAATGAAAGTGAAAGAACAAGTGAAGCTGGTCCATATGATGATAAGTACCGTTCAGAATCAAACTCTTATGGGACGATTGGAAACCCCCATCGGACTATGGTTACGGGGAGAAGATGATATGTATGGAGCAGCAGCAGCTAGGATGATTACTATGGGCGTTATAAGTCGTACCGAGATGACTATTGTGACGAAAAGCACTATGTGTGCATCACTCCACACATTGTCGCCACACCAACACTTGCCGAATTTCCGAAACTGTATGGGAGCGACAACAAAGTGGAAGATATCCTCCTGTTCCAGGTTCCTATGCATACTGGTACGAATCTTGGTAGAAAACGATTTACTTTGACAGCTCTATTGGTTTAAAGGGAGCCCCACCGGTATCTTTCGTTCCGCGCTAACCCCAACGCTCCCATCGCTTCGTTGTTTTGTTGCCTGGTCTTTCGCAAGTCCGAAGGGACTAATAATACTCATGCAACAAAGGCTTCCAACAAGTTTACTATTACGGAATCTTCAATCAGCAACCAGAGGATAGGTGAAAGAAGGAAGGAAGGAAGAAGAGCCAGGAATCAGTGGCATTGTCTGTAGTTCCGGTATCAATAGAAACATCGGCGATCTCTACCTCGAAATCCTCCTGTTCTCAGCCCGGATCTACATATTTTGACTATCAAACAACATTTTGAGAAGCAAGTAGAGCAAGATGGCTAGCAAGGACGAAATCCCAGATGTCGAGAAAGGGGAGGTGGAAGCCACCCCCGCAGGCGTCAACCTCCCAGAAGAACCTCCCGAGGCTCGAATTCTCAAACCGATTCCAGATTCTACTGCAATGGAAAAACTCATGGGGTTGGTAGCGGCGATTGCCGTGGGTACTTCTTTGGCTGCTATTATCATCGAACGCAGCTTCCTTGTCATCCTGGCAGGGATATTGTCCAGCTTTGTCGGACCTTACGCGTATGCTCAACAAACTCAACTGACAGAAATCAAGGCGCTGAAAGAAGTAAGTTTTGTCACGTGGGTATCCATGCCTGTGCTACCGACCTATCACTTCTAGCTAGTGCAGTCATTCCTCACTTTTGCAAATAAATGTCACATCATAGACCCAAATGGCGGTACAGAATGAAGTCAATAGACTCAAAAATGAAAACAATCGTTTGGACGTCAACATTGGCCAAATGGAACAATCGCTGGAGCGACTGGAAGATGTTAAGACGGCCTTGGATACCATCACTGCGACGCAAGGCATGACTGTCAAAGAATTCGAGCAGCAGGTCGCGAAAAGTCGAAACAACTTGAACCATATGCAGTTGAATGTCAAAAATGTCGTCATCAACAATCTCATGAACATCATGGAACGAATCGATACGGATGGAGACGACACGGCCCAAGCTCACGAGGTAGAAGAGACATTGGATGCTATTAAGAAACTACACGGTGTCAAGGTCAATGATGGCAACTTCCGAAAGGCATTCAGCGGCAAGACAGTCAAATCAATCATGAACGTTGTTAGCAATATCAAGAAGATCGGTGACATCCCCCCTGAAGACAGGATATTCGAGTTCCCAGATATGGTTGATGCCTAACCACGACAACTCGCACTCTTTCTTCTTCGTCTTCAATGGGAACCCGAGACTGCTTCTAGTCCATTACTCGAAAACGACAAACCTCCTACATTCACTCGTTACACTTCACTTCCAATCAGTAGAAGCATTAACTGTTATTGGACTTGGACTCCTCAGGGTCAGATTTGCCAGCCTTGCTGTCATGCGACAGTTTGTAGCTGGCGTCCACCTCAAAGTAAAGGTCATGGTTGTAAAGGTACTGAATAAAGTTCCCTTCCTTGTTTTCTTCGTTGACAACATGCTCCATCAGGACTTGATTGCGAAACTCCTTCCACCGTTCGTAAGGCACCGTGCCCTCGACAGACCAATCCAGCTTTTCCATGTCCGGTTGGTTTTCAATCTTCTTGTTGTAGTTATCGTAAAAGCTCATTTCCAAGAACAACCCTTGGGCAGGCGCCAAATCCGAGATTGCTCTGGTCTTCTTGTCCAGCATAGGTGGGATGAGATTGGGCAAGTTGAGCCTCACTGAGTCCAATGCCACAGAGATCATCTTTCGGATCTGGTGCAGCAGAAACGATTGCCCAATGACCTGTGTTGGTACCCATTGCATTCCGTTCTCAAAAACCATTGGTTCTTCCACTTTGAACGAAACAATGTATCGCATGGCATTGGCATCCTTGGAAGTCAAGCCTTTGCACAGAAGGCAATAATCGTGTTAGAAAGAAAACAACAGTGGTGCGATCCAAATGCAAGCCAAGTCATCAAATGATGTTACCTTTGGTAAAGTTGTGAAAGCAGTGCGTTCCTTGGTACTTTTCCAGAGCTTGCTGCAAGGAATCGAGTTGCTCCTGGGTGACCCTATAGTCCTTGATTCGATTCTTGATTTGTTGACGCTCTTCTTCCGACAAGGGGGTCCCCGGAGCCCTTCCTGCTTTGTTTTTGGGGGCCACTTGTAGCATCAAGTCTCTGAATTCGTTTCGTTCCCAAAAGCAAAAGGCTGGAATCATGTATTGATATCGGACCCGAGAGCGTCCGGTCTTGGCACAAAATGATCTGCCACACCGGACAATATCGAGGACACGAAACTTGTCTGGCAAATGTGAATTGATGAGTTGCCTCACATCATCCAAAGATTGGTCTGGTTTCAATTGAATCTTGGCAGAACAAACCTGAGCACAGGCATGCACTCCTGTAGAGATAGGAAGCAACAAATCATATAAGAAATGAGCAAGCAAAGAACATTCCTCCAGCCTCCAAATAGTTAAAACTGTGTCCCTCCTACCGTACGCACCCTTATCAGTCCTTCCCGATGTCGACCAAGAGTACTTGTGGAAATACCCAAAGTTGAGAGGTGAGATGAGTTCACTCCTCATCATTGCCAGCTCAAAATCTGCCTGCAAAGTCCGTTGTCCTTCATTGGATTGAAAGCCTGCAAAACCAGTTCCAAGATACGCCAGCAAGAATGCCACTTTTTTCTTGCTAAAATTCTTGGGTTCTTGCTGTTTCTTTTCGGCTTCATAGTCTTCGCTTGTTGGTGGTTTGTCTGGTGGCAACAGATGTGGTGGAAGTGTAATGTTGAACAATTTTCTCATGGCTGGATGAGCATAAGATCCAGCATGAATCTGTTTGTCGCGATTGCCACGCTGGTCTCCATCACCGTCTCCTCGCCAGGTGTGATTTTTCTTGTCGTATTTGGATTTCTTGTTCCTTCTTCCTCTGTTATTATTGTTTTGGTTGTTGTTATTATTATTGTGCCCCCTCTTCCTGTCGCTGTTCTTTTCTGGGTTATCCTCTGCTTTTTCCTCCGTTTCCTTTTTTGCCTCTGTCTTCTCCTTCACGTCTGGATTTTCTGCCTGGGTAGATGGCTTGTTCTCACTTGCATTGTCCGCCATGATGGTGTTTGATCCGCTGATTGAAAATGTCAAGGAAGAAAGGGTCCTGAACTTTTTCAGAGAGTAACTTCTTTCTTCTTTTGTTACAGAAATTAATAGTCGATGGGGACCGGTAGCAATCAATCTCCAAGGGTTGCCTCTGATCGTTTGGAAGAGCTCTATCGTTGGCTTTATCGATGTTCCTGTTCCTATTCTCAACGCTGCTCGAAACATTTTGTGTGGCGGTCGACCGACAAAGGACTTGGAGAAAAGATCTTTGTCTGAGAGAGCGCTGACGAAGCAACATGGATCTTTCAGAAGTCCTGTTATGGACTACATTCGTGACTTATGGTTCGGAGTGCGCATCCGGATGGTACGTCATTGCCAACCTTTAGAAAAAGATCTATTGATGCATTTGCTTTGGTGTTGTTGTACGGTATCTGCTGCACATGCATTAATACCACCAGCTCTATGCTCTGCTGTCGTTGTAGTGGACTGACGAATAGCAACACCAGCAAGATCCTGAGGACACCAAGAAGATTGGCTAAGGGTAGGTGCATAATTTATCCTGTCTGGAATTATTTTTGATCATCCACTCCCTAAAATACCAACATGCGTTTCTTTTTGACCACCACCGCTCTGCTTGCAGCATCTGTATCGGCATTTAGCCCCGCTGTCACTGTACGATCACAACAATCTCGTTTGAACATGGCGACTGCTTTGAGTCAAGAGGAATTGAAGAAGCAAGTTGGCTACAAGGCCGTGGACGACTACGTCAAGAGTGGACAGGTCGTTGGACTAGGAACTGGTTCCACGGCCTACTACGCCGTCGAACGAGTGGGCGAGAAACTCAAGTCGGGAGAACTCAAGGACATCCTGGCCATTCCAACCTCTATCCGAACCAAGGAACAAGCCGAAGAACTCGGAATCCCTCTCGTCACACTCGATACACACTCCAAGTTGGATGTCGCCATTGATGGAGCTGATGAGGTCGATCCCGGTCTCAACCTCGTCAAGGGAGGAGGCGGTGCCTTGTTGCGAGAAAAAATGGTCGAAATCTGTGCCGACAAGTTCATTGTGATTGGTGAGTCAAAACTACTACCAGTAGACAAAAAGCTGTAGCAGCTCATGTAGTAGTCGTGGACATGGCTTTCTCACCCAAAATATTTTTGTTCATAACCTTCCAGTTGACGAATCCAAGTTGTGTGATGGCCTTGGACCTGGATTCCCAGTGCCTGTGGAAATCACACCCTTTTGCCACGAACACACCATGCGCACAGTTGGGGACCTATCAACCTGCAAGGGAAAATGCAAGCCTGTGCTCCGAATGGGATCTTCTTCATCCAACCAGCCAGATGGTGATGAAATTGCTGTCACAGACAACGGAAACTACATTGTCGACCTCCACTTTGACGAACCCATCGCTGACCCACCAAAGATGGCCGAAGAACTCAAAAACGTTTGTGGGGTTGTAGACCATGGTCTGTTCTGTGGCATGACAACGGCTGTGATCATTGCCGGATCCGATGGAATCTCTGTCAAGAAACCCTAGACAACACCATAATATAGAAAACTAGTTTGTATATACTAGAGTGGCTTGGTTTATGTACCATTGTGATGTGTGAAGTTGAGTTATGGCGCGCCTTCCGGTTTGCTACCGGTGCATGTAGCTACAGGTAGAAAGCTTTTAGCTGCAACATCTTGGCCATCCGTCTATCCAAGAATTCCCAACCCTCCACCGCGGTTTCCGTTCTCATAGTCATCGTCATCCCACCGAACGTTCCTGGAACTGCCCAGAAAGATGGCAACTGCAGCCAGCAAAAGTGGAAACCAAAGAAGAATTCCAAATCCATCCATGTAGTTCACATTGTAGCCCACATGAAACATGTCTTCGTAAACGAGTCCATTGCTTCCCCGCATCTGAACCAAGAGAGCATAGTAACCTGCAACCAAAAACGTGAAAAGACAAAGTCAGACACATCGGTTCAACAAACCAAGAATAACATACAACACGACAGCCGTACCTGCTCCATGTGGAATGTATAATCGTTCCGTGAAGACTCCCGTTTGATTGTAAGTGTTTCTCCAAATGGTCCGTTTGTAAGAGGTGCCGTCGCGAATCTCCACCTTGTACACGCGCTTGTCGGGCTCGTTGTGGATGTCAGGCCTATTATCAAATATTTCCAACGTAACAGGGACAAACACGCCAAAGATGTCTCGATACTCGCGACTGACACCGTGGACAAAGATACCCTGAGACGCCGAGAAGCCATGAACCGGGCCTGAAAGTCGTCCCCGAGTATCACCGTTGTTCCAAACGTTCAACGGGTGATAAGGAGCCGACGACTCCATGGTGATAATGTTTCCAGATGTCGTGGAAACAACCAAATCGAGACTGTTGGTACCGTGGACATCATCCACTTGCACCATTGAAACCATTTCTTCTCCAACGCCAAACGTTTGCGTACAGCCAGACCCACCTTCGATGATGTACAGAGTCTCGCCAACCGGGAACACAAGGTGCAATCCTGCTGCGGTTCCTCCGCCTGGAGACGCTTTGCGATTGCTCTTTTCCCATTTAGTTCCGTTTCGGCGAATGTAATCTTTGACGTGGCTTTGATCGCCGTGAAGGTCAACAAGAAGCAACCCTGGAAGCTGTTCGTGGACCCAGTCCTCCATGGGTTTGCTTCGTTGCGGAGGTGGCGTATCAAAGGCAATTGGAAAGTTGTCCAAGTCCCGCCCAGTTGAACCATGCATCGCGAACACAACTGTAATCTCCTTGTTACTTTGTTCGTGAAGAATCTGAAGGGAAAGAACAATATCCAGGATACCATCCCCGTTAATATCGCCCAGACTCATCGGACTCGATGCTCTCACTACACTTGGGCCATCGCTTGCAGCTGCGCGGAGATCGCGGTGCCACACCTTGTTGGCGTCTTCATCGAAAACAGCCACGTTTCCTCCAATGTCGGCAACGATTGTTTCGAGCTTGGTGTTTGCAGCCACGTCCTCGAGCACGATCGGCGATTCAACAGCGGCCGGCATTTGAATAGGCCAGTTGTTTTTCAACGTCATGTGCGTGGCATCGAATGCATAGACAATCCCCATGCTCGTGCCGATCAATACATCAAGTTTGCCATCGCCATCGATGTCTCCAACGGCAGGCTTGCTCAAAGCAAACGCACCCATGTGGGTGTGGTCTTCGGAAACAGGGATTTTGCCAAGCAGCGTTGCGTTTTGCGGTGAAGAATGGTCAGTGCTCAAGTCTAGATGCTCTTGTCGCCCCCACCTAGGATCGCCCCCGTTTAACTGGAACAACATAATCGCGCTTGCAATGTACTGGGACATAATAAAGTGAGTTGACAAGAACAATAATCAAGCCCCTGCGAAAAGGATCAACTTACCATCCCACGCTGCACCTCGGTCTCGTCCCCCGCGTCGGTATTCTCAAAGCGACGGTAGGACAAGTGACCTTCGTACTCGTCTTCATCGAGGTAACTGAATGTGGGCGCAAGACAACTGGTCAGAAGAACGATTTCTTCAATGCGCACAGACATGGGACTTTCTCAACTCACTAGGAAACTGGAACAAAGAGGATATCTTCCACTTCGTCGTCGCTCCCGTAGAGTTTCGGAAGTTCGGCGAGTGTTGGTGTGGCGAGAATGTGTGGATTGATGCGAACATAGTGCTTTTCGTCGTAGTAATCATCTCTGTAATTTTGGTAGCGCCCATAGTAATCATCATAGCCGCCTGCTGCTCCATACATGTCATCTCCCCCTCCGTAACCATAGTCCGATGGGGGTTCCCTATCATCGCCGTACGAGTTTGATTCCGAACGGTACGCATCATCATATGGACCAGCTTCACTGGCGCTTTCACTTTCATCGTCGTCTCCTTCGCCCTCGCCTTCCACTTCCTCGTTCTCTTCCGCTTCCTCATCTGGACCTCCTTCTTCAGTTTGCTCGGTACGCTCTTCTGGTGCCGAATCTCCACGCTCAGCCACATGGTGCTCTTCTCCGCGTCGTTCAGGCTCTTGTTGTACTTCGTGCTCTCGCTGTTGGGCTTCCTCCTGTCGTTTTCTATTCTCTTCCTCCTCTCGACGCCTGTTGTCTTCTTCTTGTCGCTTTCTGTTTTCTTCCTCCTCGCGATGCCTGCTTTCTTCCTCTTGTCGCTTTCTGTTTTCTTCCTCTTCTCGATGCTTGTTTTCTTCCTCTTGTCGTTTTCTATTTGCTTCTTCCTCTCGATGCCTGTTTTCTTCCTCCTGCTTGCGTCTATTGTCCTCCTCACGACGTTTGTTTTCTTCCTCCTGCTTGCGCCTGTTCTCCTCCTCATGACGCCTATTTTCTTCCTCTTGTCGTTTTCTGTTTTCTTCCTCTTCACGACGACGTTTGTTTTCTTCCTCCTGCTTTCGCCTGTTTTCCTCCTCATGACGCCTGTTTTCTTCCTCTTGTCGCTTTCTGTGTTCTTCCTCTTCACGACGACGTTTGTTTTCTTCCTCTTCACGATGACGTTTGTTTTCTTCCTCACGACGCCTATTCTCTTCCTCTTGCCTTCGTCTGTTCTCTTCCTCCTGATTGACTTCTTGAAGCCGTCTGCGAGGGAAAGATGCATCCATTTCATCCAAAATGTCAACCTCCTGCAAGCGCCGTCTATTTACAGCTTCATGGTTGGTTTCCCCTTCTTCGTTCTTTTCCTTTTCGTGTTCTTCCTCCTCACCACTGCCTCTGTCCGTATTCACTGGGCCTGGCTTTTTGCTGCGTCTGTTTTTGAGTCCGTTCAAGTCTTCCGGCTTTTGCCCCAGTACATTGGCTGTGACTCCTCTCAAGACATCCTTTTGACCATGATTGTGTCCAGAGCTGTATTCAAAGTACGAATGATAGGGATCCCTAGATCCATGCTCATCGCCTTCACCCTCTTGTTCCTTCTCCGGTTCTGGCTCTTCTGGATGTAGCTTTTTCCAAGTTTCATTGACCCGTGCTTCCACCCAAGTTTTCCTGATAAAGATTCTGGGTACCTGAGCTTTGTGGAACCATCTCTTTCCATCTTTGCCTTGATGCAATCCCACGATATAAATTCCACCATCGTAGTCGCTCAAAATAGCATCCGGAATGGCATCTCCATTGACATCATGGACGATGGGACTCGAGTATGCAAATGACGAGGATTCAAACAGCAGCGGAAATTCTTGATGCTGAATGAGTCCTTCCTTAATGATGGTGGAAGACGCCGATTCGGGTCCCGAGGCAATCTCAGGAGAGAGCAAGTCCAAGTGTTCGTAGAGTGTCGTGTGAATGATTTGTCGTCCTGGTCCTCTGGCTGGAAAGACAGGATGAACCACTGCTGGACGCACAACGGAAAATGCATTGGAATTTTGGGCCTTGTGATGAGCACGACGCGACACTCCCAATGTGAAGTGTAATGGACACTGACTCTTGCCGGCTGCTTCATTGGCAATGGCATCGAAATTTCGGACATTGCTCCGCTTGCGGTCACTTCGGTTATCATCCCAGGAAATAACGTGTTTTACAAAAGAGTGTTCTGTTGGATCCGTGCGAAAGGGGATGTAGGGCTTGGACTGAGGCTCGGCATTGTAGCCAGTTGGTAGCAACAATGACAACCAGCCAATCAAGCAGGTGGCCGAAAAAAAACCAGCTGCCTTCGCCATGATTTCCAATAGCGACGCCTTCGGTCACCGTAATGATAACTAGACTAACTGCTGTATAGAGACTCGTCTGTGCTTGGTTTGCAATGGCAACGCCGATCCGTACAATGAAGACTTTTGGGATTGTTGTGGGAGTGTTGCATGGTGCGGGCGAGTGCTTTTCGACGATCGCGATCTTACAATTTGGGTCACGAGAATTCGTGATTCGTGATTAATCGTGAGTGGGGCCAACAGGCCTGTTGCGCTAGCTATGGTCCAACAGCGAGAATATTCTCAATGATGACGTCACAGTAAAAGTATCACCCATGCGGTCAGCGCCCGTACGAGTACCAGGTACAGGTACCGTACTAGCAGCAGTACACAGACCGTGGTCAAAACGATGAGTTGACCATGGGAGGATGGCTATGATGAACTCAACCAATATGGCACCTACACAAGCAAACTGACTATCTAGAGTTGTCTACATTCTTTGCTTGTCGTAGCCATGTGCTGCCAAATATTCCCAAGTGCTCAGCTCCACCATCATTTCGGACTGTGTCGCTATTCTGCTGTCAACCAAATCATACCTATTGATCTAGGACCATTAGGGAGGATGGTACCGGTATTATTGAAAGTGAGTAGGATTAGTTACCGAGCTAATAGAAAAAAGTGGCTGCCCCAGACCACAAATCCAAAATGAGCCAGAGACAACTCCAGCATCTATTGTTTTTGTTCATCTCATAGTAGCAATGGCGTTCGTCATTCATTCTTGTTGGTTTGTATACCTGATCAGTTCCATCAGATGGGTCCATTGGGGCTGTTAGTGGGGACGGAGATGGGCTGTCCTATCGGTGACAGTATTTTTTGCCAGAAAATGACTGCCCTACTTCGCTGGCCATTTGTCACTCCCATGGACAGCAAATAAACAAGCCACTACCACCACTGCGACGGGCACATCTAAATTGTGTATCTGCTATCTCAAAGTACTGTCAGGTTGACTCTATTGGTTAAACTGTTGAGGGTATATCTATCAACTCGCTTTGATGAATTTCTTGTGGAGTGGGAGTTCTGAAGCTGGAGCTGAGGGTAATTTGCCATGATTTACCCCATTGTCCTGAACCATTCTCTCTGTTGGGCCATTCTCTCTGTTGGGCCATTGGTAGCTAGTACTAGTAGCAGTAGCTTGGTTCGGGCCCGCCACCTGTGCTTGTGTGGCTCCCCTGTTCCTGTTGGCACAATGAGCTTCGGCCCCTCCATCTGGGATGCTGATGGCGCACTGGCACACTCTGGCTAATTCTGACTCCTGTCCCCTTTCACTGCCCTTTGGCAGTTGACTTGCCCCTCATCTCCAGGCTTTGCACCAGAAGCAGCTCGAGGACCTGCACGAGACCTTACGCCTGGTCGATCTTCAGGCCTGCTCCTGGGCCGTCCGTCATGGGGCCTACTCCTGGACTTACGCCTGGTCCATCTCCATGACCCACCTACTCCTGCATAATCTCCAGGCCCCAAACCAGGAATACTTGCTGGAAATATTGGTATGGCTTTTGTCGGCACACGGTATTCCTCACTGATAAGAGCTGCTACTAGCTAGCTAGTCACTTAGAGGACGACGGGTTAGGATAAAAGGGAGCAGCCGACAAAGAAACTTGTCTAACCAAAAGCCGATGCCGTCGCCGCTACGAAGAGCCCTCCTCCTGCCTACTGGAAGTTTCCTGTCCACTCGAGAACTGTAGCAGCTTCGGGACATAGACGATAGCCGCGAAGATGACTAAAGAAGCGTAGAGGTGCTGAATCAAGGGAACCAGTTTTTGTTGGAATCCGATCCACACGACAAGCACAACGTGGCAAAACAGCCACACCGCCAACACAAGCCAAATGAAGTGCTTGGCCGTCATCCTTTTCCATGCGGCCTTCGTCCTTCTCCCTGCCGTGTCCCACCAGGGTTGACGAGTTTCTTTCAAAGATCTTTTCATAGCCAGCCGAAGCATTCGGTCCTCCTGTTCTGCCATGAGCATGTCGTGGGTAATCAGGGTTTCCCAGGTGCGGTGGCCTGTGGACGAGGCTGCGATCTCTTTTTCTGATGTGCTCCATAAGGGTTTCAGCATTCCCTTGGCCATGCGGAAAGTGGATCCAATGCACCCACCCGACTTCACCACACGGGCTTCGTCTTTCGTGGAAGAATCGCGAAGGTTTCTCGCGCATCTAGCGGCATCTTCGTAGACCTCTAGTTCTGACATTCCCAACTGATAGATTTTGATCAAGTCCAAGAAGCGACGTCCATCTATCTCTAATTCGTACTTGAAACTAGAAGTATCGTTGGATCGGAGCAAAGAGGGCCCTTTGAATCTATCCACCGTGACAAGGGTAACCCTCATGGGGAGCCCATCCACTTCAAAAATGAATTCCACCGAGTCTTTGGAACTGTAGTTGTCGCATTGGATCTCATCGAGGTTCATCGGGTGGCCATCGTACCAGGCTTCATAACTGGTGGTAGCCTGGTCCCAGTAAATGATCAGCTCATGTTCCTCACCTCGACAAGCTGCGCCCCGCAATCCCCTCGCTATGGCAACTGGATCCGAGATGCCAAACACCCATCGCATCAAATGGCGGAGCGGTGGCGACAAGAGACCCCCACCGGTCACTCGAGCCGAATGATCGACTCGATAAAGAGCCACGGGGACTTCAACAGCGGTAGCTGCCCCCGTCATGGCAGCAGTATTTTGCTGAGAGGGCTATGAAGAGCGGTAAGAGATGATGTTGGGTGCACGTTGCAACATGAGGAGTGAGGAGCAAGGGTGGCGTATCGGTAATAGGGCGGACTTGAGGACGAGAGGGTTCAGTCGTGATTTAGGTCGTGCTTTCCTGGGCCATGGGATACGGTATGGGATTCGATATTGATTCGGTCAGCATCGCTACCGGTACCGATGTTTGCTCCGCTTCAGTGGCATTCGGAGTGGCAGATACAGGGTCTTCGTAGAGATCGTGCAAAGCGAATGTTGTCATTATAATATGCAGCCTCTGCACAGTGTCCCAATTGGTGAGATCCACAGCATTTCCAGGGGTGACAAAACGCTGACGGAACATGCGGATACAGGCTTGAAGGTCTTGATCACCACCAATCAACTCACGGAGAGTCGCCACCACAATGGCCAATGATCCCAGGTGATCTCCCATAACTTGATTGTCTCAATCTGCGAGGTATGTGAGGAATCGGCGGACCTTCCCCCGGATTCTTTCCTGCTCCGCCATTGCGCCCTTTCTAGATCTTTCCTTCTTGACACGCTACAGCACCGGTAGCTACCTGGACCGTTCGACGCTTTTCACTCAGGATTTAGAAATCTTCAAATTGCCACGACTGACAACATACTTAAACAACCCCTTAAACAACCCCTTAAAAAGCTTAACATCCCCTTAAACAACCTTAAATAAACAACCCTTAACAACATCCCCCTATATCCTCGAAACAACCCCTTTTAAGCCTTCATTGAAACGCCATACAACAACCCCTTATCACGAATGAACATCCCCTTAAATAAACAACCCCCTAACAACAACCCCTTAAATATTCAACATCCCCTTAAACAACCCCTTAAAGCTTCAACATCCCCTTAAACAACCCCTTATGAGAACCAGGATTATGAGTCAGTCGTGCCCGTTTTTAAAGCCTGAGTGAAAACCGTCGGACGGTCCAGTATGCACCCAAACGGGCAGGCGTTCAGAAGTAAACCGCCAGGGGCACAGGAAAAGCTACACTACTAAAAAAAACTACAGTACGCTTGTAGGCCAGTTTAAAAAGTTGAGACAATGGTGATTTTGGTGGTCCCAAATCTACTCGCAACCCAACCACTGGATTTGACACTTGAGTTTTCATTCTATGCTTGTACTATACTCCTTTTCACTGGCTTTTGTGCTGAAAATGATTAAACAGTGGTATTCCGTTCAAACGTGATAGTACAACTGGACAGGGACTCACTGGGACTTCCACTCACGAGTCCTGCTTCTAACCAGAATCCAGTGGTTGGATGGATCCAGTTGTTGAGTGGCGAGTAGAAATCCCACAACTTGGCTCTAGTCTAGTTCCGTATTCATTGGTTGGTTCGATACCAGTGTACGCGTACCGGTATCTATAAAGTTCTCCACGTTGAGATCTTTCAAGTTTGCTCCACTTGTACCTGGTATCAAAATATATAAATTATCACGTTTGGCACGCACACTTTGGGGAGGTTCATGGATGAAAAAAGTACTCGTATCGCCCAGAACATGGGCTACGACCATCAAACACCAAACCAAACTGTAAAAAGTAGCCGATTGAATTTTTACATTAGTCTGATCGTCGGGCCACGTGTCAACGATTGATTCGATTCATGCGAGTGTCACTTCCAGTCTTCTTTATCCAAAAATTCCACCCTTCTTCTTGTCTTGCAGCTCCTTCAGCTGCTGGACAAGGTCCTCTTCCTCTTTCGACAATTTCTTTGGAATCTCTACATTCATTGTGACATAGTGGTCCCCTCGAACGTCCGAGTTTCCAAGCCTGGGTGCGCCATTTCCCTTCAGCCGCATCACTTGGCCGGGCTGAGTTCCTGGTGGCACTTTAATTGTCACTTCTCCGTCCACGACCTTTGTCTTCAAGCTAGCTCCAAGAATGGCATCCGTGTAGCTGATAGTTGCGTCTGAGTAAATCTCTGGTCCTTCCCTGCGGAAGTTGGGGTCTGGCTTAACCTTCAGGAAGATGTAAAGATCTCCTGCTGGTCCACCATTCGGACCGGCATCTCCCTCTCCACGAACACGTAGTTTGTTACCGTCTTCAATTCCAGCTGGGACTGTCACTTTAACTTGTTTTGTCTTTTGGTTTACACCTTTGCCACTGCAGGTTCCGCAGTACTCCTCGACTATTTGGCCTGTTCCACGGCAAGTTGGACATGTCTGCTGTGTTTGAAAGTTACCAAGTGGAGTCCTGGTAACTTGCAATGTGACTCCACTTCCACCACAGTTGGTACATGTACTGACTTTGCTACCTGGCTTCACCCCACTACCCGTGCAGGAATCACATGTTTCCAAATGCCGAATGCGTACCTTCTCGACACCACCAAAGACGGCAGTTTTGAAATCCACCTCCAAGTCAAATCGTAAATCATCACCAACGACGGGACCACGAGCAGCACGCCTTCCGCGTCCACCACCCACGCCTCCACCACCACCGCCGCCAAAAAAGGTGTCAAAGATGTCTCCCAGGTCAACCTCCTGACCAAATCCAGCACCTGGGCCTCCAAAGGGAGATCCATATCCACCGGCAGCGTCAGATGCCGCTGAGGTTCCAATTCCCTGCTCACCGAACATGTCGTATTTCTTTTTGAGATCAGGATCTTTTAATACCTCGTAGGCTCTGTTAATGTCTTGGAATTGCTGTGTGGTGTCCTCGTCGGGATTGGCATCTGCAAAAAAAAAAGTCCCGAGGATCCAGAAAAAGTGGTTAAAGTTATACACCAAATGAATCAATGGTGCTGGTCAACCGCGCACCAGAAAATAAATATGATACAGAAGTTATTTCTTCAATAGTTCCCTCTTACCTGGATGGTATTGCTTCGCAAGCTTGCGGTAGGCACTCTTGATGTCACTTAGGCTGGCAGTCCTGCTAACTCCCAAAACGGCATAGAAATCTTTTCCAGTCTGAGGCCTGGTGGACATGAACAGAGCCGACGATTGTTGGGTAGAAGGAGAAGTAATTGAAGAAGTAGAGGGCCCACCCACCACCTTCGACACGCTCCGCCTTGCAGGACTTGACACAAAGGCTTGAGCATGGTGAAGACCCAGAATTGCAACAGCGATTGCTTGAAATTTAACCATGGTAACAGTCTCTATACTCTTCGATAACAAAACAACCAGAACAGAGGTGCTAATCTGCGTTCGAAGGCGGAACAAAACAATGAGCTCACCCCAGTGACGCCGAGGCATGGTCTTCGCTCTGTCAAAACCCTCCTCTCATCGAAAACTACAGAAATTCTTGGTTGGCAGGTGATCGGATGAGTCAAAATCCTCGTCGTTCTTCCACGTGGCCAAACCAAATTACGTCAGATTAATCGCAGAAAAAAAGCTAGCCAAGCGGCTTAAAATCCACGAGACAGTGAGGGGGCCTTGTCACGTTGTCACGGTGCCCGGTACCTGGTACCGGTACCGTCACCGGTGCGGGTACCGCTAGGATCAGGTCACAGCTAGTCCAGTGTCGGGGTGGGTGTGGATCCAGGGATGAAAACGGGGTCTAGAGCTAGCAGAGGAGATCTCTAGAAGTAGAGGCCTTGGCCCTTGGTTGGTCTGGAGTTGTGGACCTGGTTTTGAGAATGGATTGGTTCGAGGTGTTGGACCTGGTGTTCAATTCTGAGAGTTGAACTGGGCCAATTGTTGGTCCAGGCATTGGTCCAGAGTGGAAAGAGTGGTGAGTGGTGCCCTGGGTGAGGCCACTAGTTGGTAGAAATGGTGGCAATGGACTTTGTCTTGGTGTGGGTCCTGGTGCTGGCCCTGGAATAAGTCCAGGAGTGTTTGTCTTGGTATCTTTGTTGGCCAAGGTGTACATCGAGGCGTGCTGCTCGGATTGCGGCCCAAAGATTGACAACAAGGGGGATGCCACTGTCTGTGCTGGTTGAAAACCACTACCGAATGATTCAATCAGTCGGATGGGCTTGGTTTGGACCGAACGATTGCATCGTCCTCTTGGGCTTGAAGAGTGAAGCCCCATTAATCGAACCGCTCTTCCAAACCCAACTGCTACTGAACCTTGCAATGCATTTCATCCTTGTGAAAATTGAAACAATCAAACTATCTACCGGTATCTATCAAGAACGAAACATAAATCTACATTTACTGATCCAGGTTCGTGTGTTCCGTGGATTGGTTGGCCGCTCGCAGCCCCAAAGCTGCACTGATCCGCCACGAGGGATGCCATACTGCCAACCGGTGGCTCCAGTTTCGAGGAGAGACCCGTAGGCTAGCCCAAGCGAAGTCGAGTCTACTGTTCGAGCAGAAGCCACTCGATGCAGGTATTGTCTGACACGCTTTCGTCCCAGCACGGATCCGTTGTTACAATGACAAAGCAGGTAGCATGTTTTGGTTCATTGGGAGTCAACTCGACTCACTCACTCGACTGTCACTCGACTCATCGAGGTTCATTCACAGAAAACATGTTTTTACAAGCGATTGTCAGAAACAATCCATCCATTCATCAATCCATCTGAGGGGAGAGCACTCTTCTAGTTTACAGAAATTTCACGTTTGATTGAGTCTCCCCCTCCAATATCCACAGTCCCCGCTATGATGCACTTCGTTTTGAAGCCTTGAGCTTTTTGATGGTCTTTTCTTGTTGCTCATGAAGTTCCTGCAACTCCTCGAGTTTGCCATCAGCTTCTTCCAACTCCTCTTCTAAATCCTCAAACGTCTGTTTTTTATCCCATTTTGCCCTGAGCAATTCTAATTTGTCCTCCGAGTCTTGAATTCGTTCCTTGTACCGGTCCTCCATTTCTTCGATTTCATCCTGCAGAATTCCAATTTGTTTTCTGAGCTGAACTTCTGTTCGACTCCGTTCCTCCATGATCTCCATGAGTTGTGTTCGCAGTTTTGTGACTGCTTCATCAAAATTATCCACCAAATTTGCAAGCTTTTTGGGTGCAGCTTGCATGTTTTCCACTGCCTCAATGACTTGCTTTTGCAGTTTGAGGACGTAATTTCGCGCCTTTGCTTTGTCGTTCTTGTCCTTGGGCGGCTCTACAATGAGAGTGGCATACTCCATGCTGGCACTGGCATCCTGCATGTCCTCTCCCAGTGTTTTGACTCGAGAGTCCGTCACGTGATTCTTCTTTTTCAACCGGTCAACTTCGACCTTGAAAAAGAGCTTTTCTTTCATTTCTCCCAACTTGGCTTCCTCGTATTCATCCAGTGCCACATCGTAGTCGGCACGTACATTGACGCGTTTCTTCTCCAACTCCATAATGGTAGCGTCGCCAATACGGACATTGTTTTCCAGTGCTACCCGCTCTGGGTCAATCTTTGGTTCGGGCCTCGGTTGACCGCTCCGACTGCGCTCCGAATAATCCGGCAACAGCGACTCCACTACTTCTTCCTTTCCCATGGTCTATTCTGTTTTGTATAGCTCTGGCTTGTCAGTGAGTTGGTGAGTCGAGTCTAGCTGGTACCGGTAGTAGGATTTCTGATGATCAAGAGAGGGACTTGCTTGGAGAGAGGTGTGGATGCTGCATGCAGTCAAAGTTTGTTGATGCCACAAGTCTTTTTGTCGATTCTTCGTCGTTGTTCTTTCCAGGTGCTGCTCAACGGCGGAGTTGACAAGAAGACGTGTACTTTAGACCGCACCCTAATTTTATACTTCACCCTAACTTTAGCCTTCACCCTAAAATTGGCGTGGAAGATATTTTGGCTCGAATTTTCTCCTGGGATATTCGAGTTGAGTCCACAAGACTCGACTCAGACTCTGTACAACTCTTATTATGGTACCAGTAAAGAGGGATCTCACCTCAGGGCTCAGTGGAGGGAAAACAAACAGCAGCTATGGTACCTGGAACGGGCAAGGAAATGTCTCAAGAACTGGTGGAGAAGCTTGATGCCATTGGCTCTGGATGGGGATCCCAACAATCGCGAACATACAAGCGGAAGAACAATGATGGGAACAGTCCAAAGCACAGAAACCAGCAGCAAGGATGGCAAAGGAGGACACTTGGATGGAATTCAATCTGTCCTGAAGGCAACGAGGGAAGGCACCATTGATCGCACATGCGATCAATGGTGATCAAGGCAGCAAATGAGTCTTCTTGAATTGTTCTTCCAAAGCTAGCTAGCAAGGAAGGCAACGGAGGACTTCCTACTTCTAGATTAGGCTTCTAATGCAATAGGGTACAGTACCGCAGCACGGTAGATCTAAGTTCCACATCGTCTTGTATCACAGTAGATCTAGCTAGATGCAGAGAGCTGAGACAACGAGGTCCCGTGCCGTACGGGGCACAGAGGGTCCACAGGCCACAGGCCACAGGACGAGTACGATGTATTATCTATAAAAAAGGGTTTACTAGCTAGCTACAGGTATTAGTCTACATGTAGTAGTCTAGGTATATTTTCCAAAAATATTTTTGGAAGGTTAAAAAATTTCAGATTAGCGAGGAGCAAAGGCGTTAAATCTCTGAACCCAGAACTGGATGAGTCACTTAGAGGGACTATTTTTCCCAGACGGGTTTGCAGAATTTGCTCTTGTGCAGCCAGGCCTTAAATATTTTACGGTTACGTAGTGAAGCCCCGCGCGAAAACGGGAAAACCTCTCCAGCGACAGCTCACTTTTCTTCTTTATGACACCGAGATCGACGAACTTGTCTTGAGAAGCAGAGTGGCATGCAGGTGCACTCTTGCTTGTAGTCTCCAAAACTGTTTGAGAAACTTTCGAGCAGGCAACAGAGGACTGGGTGTTGACGGCTTTGCTTGTCCATGTTTGCAAACAAGAGAGTTTATCGAACCGAAGACTTCGAACCGAAGACCTTCCTCCTCCCATAACACGGAACAGCAGCACAATGGTAAGAGTCAAATGTCAGTCTAGAACAAGAGGGATCCTGGGAATTGACGGGGTCCGCCTTCATTGGCAGCATCCCGCCGGTACGACCGGCACAGACTGCAAACCCAAGAGCTTCAATCCCAAGAGCTTCAATCATTCCTCGTCTGACTTTGATACATCCTCTGAAGGCTCAGTTAGTGATGATGGAGACATCTGTTTGCTTCGCGATAGATTCCCAACTTTGACTGAAAATGAACTTTCTCGGTTCAAGACGAGCTTTGTGGGGGACAATGGCAGTATGGATGTCGTCATCCAAAAACTGGAGGAATACAGTCAGTTCCGAGACATGTACAATCTTGATGCACAGAAGGGTGCTGATATCAACTGCACAGATGCCGAGGATTGGGAATGGGCTTCCAAAGTTGCCGTCCAAGCCGCAAAAACTTGCCAACAAGACCTGATTCCTGGATTGGAGGGGTTGGCAAAATTCAAGGACAGAATTTGCAAAGTTGAGACACTTCCTCAACTATGTTTTGTACACAACAATAATGACGGAACTCCTGCACTTTCCAAGCAAGGAAAGCCGCTCATTCACTACTTGCCTGCTCGCTTGGACTTGAAGAAGGCATCGGGAGAGATTTATGCTCTGGCAATCGTCCTGTATGTGGAACGAAAGGCAGAGAGGCTTGACTTTGTTGGCAAAGGAGCTGTGCTCATGGCAGACGGGCGCAGGGGTGCCGGTTGGCCAAATCATAATGCTCTAATGGTGGTCTCCTTCTTGAGAATTCTTCTCACGGCTCTCAATAATTTGCATCCTGGTCGAATTGGGTCATTCGTCATCTACCCTGTACCATATGCATGCCTCTACGTTTTCAAAATGATGAAAGGGTGGTTGCCCAAAGCCTATGCTGACAATGTCTCTCTGCTGAACGGCGGTGATGGAATCAAAGATCCTGCTCCAAGGAAGAAGCTTGCTCTGTATGTGGAGGAAGACATCATGGACAAGATGGAGGAGACCCGACTGGCAAACTTTGACAAATAGGCTGCTGGTTCTGAAAGTGACACAGTGCAGCGTTGGCAATGCTCATTTCGTTTGGAGTAAATACTGTTTTGTACGTTAAAATTAAAATAGAGCAGAATGGCGCAGGTACAAAATGTTAATTTTATATAAAAAGATACTACAGTAACTGGTTGTTGAAGCGATGCAAACAAACGCTGCAAAAAAGTTTTAACTTTCTTCTGGCACTTCCTGTGCTATTATCTAGCAGCGTGTAGCTGATATTGTCACCTAGAACTTTCGATGTCTCTTGACAAATGTCGGCCAATGAAGGCCCGTGTGAATCCGCCGCTCAACGAAGGCAGCTCTGAAGTTTGAAGTGGCGTCGCGCTGCCATTCTCATCCACCATGCTTCCGTAGGTGGCAACAGCAAATTTCTTGTCTAACACACTGCCAGAATCAACCCACATTATTGGGTTCGCTGCACGACGACGCCTCTTCCTAGGTTGCTGTTGCTCAGTTTCGCTTCGGTTCATTGGAAGCGTTGGAATAGCCTTCATGTCGGAACTCACGCCGTGAGACTTGGTCGCGTTGGCCTGTCTTCCATGACCAGGTTCGAGAGCGAACATTTCCCCTTTGTTGGTCAAGGCACACAGGACCAGAGGACAAGGATCAGTTTCCACGAAGTCATTGTTTTCCTCGTCGTACCAGTTAGACTTGGCTGTTGCAGGACCGGATTGACCCAAGGAGACAACAGCACCAGGAAGATTTCCGCCCTGGTGGTCCTTCGCTGGCTCTGCAGTCATTGTATCCATCACAACAAGTCTGCTGTAGTCTTCCTGCGCAAAGTAGACAGCGATGGCAACTTTGTCATCATTGGCAACATAATGGGCACAGGACACCGTGGCAGGCGGAGTCAAGTTCTTCACCGTAAAACCCCAACTAAGGTCAGCAGCAAGTTCAGCTGCTTGGAAGAGAGATTGGATGCTCACGCCTTGCGACGACTTGCACATGATCATGTCGTTCTTGATAAACTCAATAGAATCGATTGCATCTTCTCCCCCTAAATGGCTTAGACACGTGAGGAGGGTCACATTGGCGCGATCCCAAATAGTGATCATGTGCCCAAAGGCAATCGCCAGGATGGAACCGTCTGAGGAAAAAGCAACTGCGTTCTCGCCTGTAGGGTGGTTGGAGAAACCAGAAGGTGTTGTGACCTTGCAATGACACACCCAAACCGGCAAGCGACGAGCACCCGGTGCGTTTTCACTGTCTGCATCTCTTGCCTTGTTCCAAATTCGAAAGGCCTTCTCATCGTTGCTGACTGTGCAAGCATACTGTCCACTGCTGGCCATGGTAGCAGCGCTTACAAGGTTTCCAGTTCCGTGGGGGTGAGCCATTGCCGCGACTAACTGATATGGTTTGCTGGCAACATCACTCTTCCGTGTCGCTTGTTGTGACGGTGGTGTCCAAGCCCAGAACTTTACAGTTGGCACCACCCCAAACTTTCCATTGACAGCACCAACGTATTCGTTTTCTGTGGGCACATTGTCGATCGTGATTAGATCATTGGCCGTCAAGCTCATTGCCAAATGTGTTACCGATGGTTCTGGCATGAGACCCTTGGAGTTTCGGTCCATTCCACTGACCCGGTTGAAAGGTGCAACCACCAGCTGCCCTGTAACTCGTTGTTGCTTGGTATCGTACCATTGAACCAACCCAGGTGCATCTGGCAGGCCGTGCAACACCAGCTGCGACGCCGAGCCCAGCGTCTTTTCTGGATCGTTTGCAATGGTCGGGTGCATTTTGGCTCGCACCTGTTCTGGTTTCAACGCCAGACCTCTGGCCTTCCATAGCAGTACTTTGTTGTGTGATTCGAACAGCTGCAATGTATTGTCGTCGCAATAGAGCAGAAAGTTGTCGTTGGTATTAGGAGCCCCGTCGATACGCTTGGTGCATACAATGTGCCTAATCCCCCGCCAGGCAATCCGTGGCAAATGATCCGAAGGCCGATGTAGTCCTCTCGATAGTTGCCATGTGACCAGAACACTTTCTTCTCCTCCACTGTACAAGATAGGGTCCGTCGGAGAGCTGTTGGGATCATATCGGAGTGCTGTGACGGGATGGGCATGCCAGTGTATTTTGACGTTGATGACCTTGTGAGAAGGGTGTTCGGGCTTTGTGATTCCAGCAGCGTTGTTTTTGGCTCCGTCTTTTGTTGTTGTTGTAGTCGCTTTGGTGGCTTGATGATGATTCTGAAAGCGTTCTATGGCCAAGTGATATTCTTCCACTTGAGCGAGTAGATTAGAGTTGACTACGATATGTCCCTGAACAAATCCGCAGGCAATGTCACTCTTGTTGGTGGAGACCGCCATGGAGCACAATCGCTGATTCATTTCGAAGGAAACCGGAGGAAACGGCTTTGCCTGTTGTTGTTGTTGTCCGATATCCGAGAGTCTCTCGCAATAGACTTGCACGACAGTGGGTTTCGCCACCACCAAGAATACAATTTGTTCCCGTATCGCCCCAGGGCTGAAGAAGCTCTGTGTTCTGTCTCTGACGACGGCTTCCATGCGGATTGGGGCATTGTCGTCTGCAGTGCCATCGTCTTTTTGTTCTTCTTTGCAGGCAATCTTGTGAATGGTTTGGATTCTATTGGTAGTAGAGAACTTGATATTATTGTTGTCTGCTTCATTCCATAGCTGGAGTTGATTTTTTCTCTTGGTCTCCACGATAGATTCGTCGTAAAAGGGCGGGAGTAAGAGTCGCACCAAGGAGACGGTCTGTTTCTTTTTTGCGTCTTTTGATTTTGTCGGCGTTTGAGTGATTGCATAAAGGAGGAGTCCATGATCCGTCCGTGCCACACCAGCTGGTGCCACGAGATGCAATACGTGGATGGAACTCTTGGCTAGCTGAAAGACTCTTCTGGGTTGAAAGCAGGGTCCCTCGAGTGACCAAGGTCCGCACTGTTTGTTGCCTGGAATTGGATTGTCGTCGCGTTCCGACTCTTTTCCGTCAAAGGAACTTGCCAGCAATTGTACCAGTGAGAATTCACGGAGCGTTCCATCGCTGCATCCCACCAATACAACGTGATCTACAATGTTGGCTTGTCTCGAGTGCTCTTTCTTGTTGGTCTTGTTGTTGCTGCTGTCATCCTTGTCTTGTTGCCCACTCAATTGTCCCAGAATGTCCAAAGCATTTTGAGGTTTGGTGGGATAGGTCGCCAAACAAACACTTTCAATTAAACTTTCCTCGGATGATGATGATGATGATTCATTAAAAGGAATGAGGTTGGCCACATGATTTCCCGTCTCCAATGCAAGTACCTGCAGGTAGCGACTGTGTGGGAGCAGAATGAATTGTTCTCCCTTACTGGTGTTGTTGTCGTTGGCAGATGCTGAGATGAGAGGTGTGATCAAAGGCTCGAATAAACAGGCTCGCCTATTAATAGTAGAAGAGGATCCCTTTTCCCCAAGCAGTGGACCGCCTACCAACACTCGCTTCGTCATCTTGCTTTACGCTCACAAATCACAGAGAGTGAAAAAGGAAAGAAAATTTTCTTCAGATTTTTTTCGTTGGTTCTGGTCCATGCGACACCGTCTGTGCTTCGTCTGTTTTTGGATCTTTGCAATCCATGCATCCACACAAAAACAACTTCCACCAACTTATTATTCGGCATGATCCGATCGTCGCCGTTGTCCTTGTACATGTTAAAGACCACCAGTTGCTACTACTTGCTAGCCCTCTTTCGTTCCTCGTCGTTAGCCTTTGTTCCTTCTGTCCAACGTACTACTACTGGTTCCATCGCTGCAAGATCCATCAGAATGGAATCCTTCAAACGAGCCAAACTCGATGAGACAATGGAAACTTCTAAACTGACCATTGGCACCCATTCCGGAACCTTCCAAGCGGATGAAGCCATGGGGGTTTGGATGTTGCGTCAGACACCCACCTATCGGAATGCCAAGGTCGTTCGATCCAGAGATCCTAAAGTTTTGGACACGCTGGATATTGTCATTGATGTGGGAGGGATCTACGATCATGCCAAACTACGATACGATCATCATCAACGAGATTATGATGAACGCTTTGACCAAGGAAACAGCAACAAAGAAGGAGAAACCAGATGTACCAAATTGAGTGCTTCTGGATTGGTCTACCGACATTATGGCAAGGACGTCATCACGGCTTACTATCCTTCCTTGTCACAGGAAAACCTTTGCTTGGCATACAACAAACTGTACAACAGTCTCCTAGAAGCACTCGATGCCATTGATACAGGAGTGGAACCAGCAGATGAAATGAGATACAAAGACAGTACTGGATTATCTGCACGAGTTGGTCGTCTCAATCCCCGATGGAACGAAGTCGATGCACCCAGTCCTGACGAACGATTCCAACAGGCATCCGACATTTGTGGACAAGACTTTCTCGCTGTATTGACCAAAATTGTAGAGAGTGATATCCCTGCAAGAGCCTTTGTCGAAAAAGCACTCTTGCAGCGAAACGAGATTGACTCGTCTGGAGAAATTATCAAGTTTGAAAGTGGAGGATTGCCATGGAGGAATCACTTGTACGAACTCGAAAAGGAACACTCCGTCGAACCATTGGTCAAGTTTGTTCTATACACCGATCAGGCGGGCATGTGGCGGGTACAGGCAGTCACCGTGGAAGGAAAACAGTTCGAAAACAGACTCAGTCTACCAAAGGAATGGAGAGGGGTCCGAGATGCAGATCTCGTGTCAGGTAAGCAAATCGTTGGTTGGTTAGTTAGTTAGTTCATGGAAGGGAAGTTATCAAATCAAATGGCCAACATCCTCATGTTTATTGCTTCTTGTTCTACCTGGTACCGGTAGTCACCAAGATTCCAGGTAGTAAATTTTGCCATGCTGCTGGCTTTATTGGGGGAAATGATACCTATGAAGGTGCCTTGGCCATGGCGAAAGAAGCTTTGACCAGGAAAGGCGAGGAGTGAGCAAAGAGTAAACTAGCTTGACTGAATAAAGCTTGACTATAGTTGTTCCTTTTCGTGTGCTACTAATGTACACTCACAGTGCTACTAGTACTAGATAGAGCTACCGGTAGAATACGAACATTAGTTTCTGGCTAATACTAGCACACCTTCAACTGCAAGCTACTAGTAGTACTCTCAATAATGCCATTGCCTTGGAAAATAGTGGTTGGTGTGGCCTGAATGCCTGAATCGAATCAGGCCCGCAGACCCAACATAGCACTGTCTTTGGTGGTCCACACTGGATCACACGTCTTGTGTCCGGCTTATTGATTCCGAGACTGTGGCACAAGTCCGGCAGTCTTTCCAGTCAAGAAGTTATTGTGAGCCCCGCTCCACTGGGCATTGGGCATTCCAGCATGATACCCTTCGACAGTGCTACTAGCCAGAGCTAAAATACTGTATGAACATATAGTTTAATGTGTTTTGTGTCGAGCTAATACTAGTACACCATCAAATACTAGTACTCTCAATAATGCCATTGCCTTGGACAACATGTCTGTCTACTCGTCCTTGAAGGAGGGCTCAATCCCAACCCGCTTAAACGACATGTACCATTCCAAAAGGTCGCACCACATTGAAAAGTTGGCCTTTTCCTCTTCGCCTCTCTCGTTGTACGGCGTATCAACAAATGCGGAGCCCATAATGGGGCGCAAGAGCTCTGTCTTTGTCAACTTGACGCCACCGGCTCCACTGTTCAAAGGGTTTCCGCAGACGTCAGCTCGGACCTCTATTTCAGCTTCCTGCAGTCGTTCCCACTCTTGCGCAGTTGGTGGAGGCAAACAGGTCGCCAATCGATGCAAGTCAACTTCTCTACCATGAAGCAGAGCAGTCATCACGTGGCCACAAACCGTCTTCACCTGGATGGGCTTGCCGTTCGCTGGGGACATGGCGATGGTGGTTGGACTCTCACCTTTCTGAAACCGGAGGTAGCTCGATTCCCAGCTCGCTAGGCCAGTCTTTTTGATGACTTTGTAGACTGCATATTCCCACTGCCTTGTCCCTTTGACTGATTGCCCAGGTGTGAGATCCATGGTCTTCGAAGCGCTCTTCATCGCTTGCCCGGCGTCTTCCTTTGCAGATCGATGTGTGTCACGCCATTCCGTCAACGCCTTGCACAACGAAGCAATCTCGCGAGTTCGGACACCAGCAGCAATCAAATCGTCCTCTTTCAAAGTCATGGCTGGAGGAAGTGTAGCTGTAGTGTATGTCACTGTCAGCATCGTATGCTCCGCCAGCACGGCTCCAGGAGCCATTCGATGTTTGATGGCAACTGCAGCCCGCCATTGTTCAACAGACGCAAGCAGCAACTCGAGCTGCGCCACACGATCTTCGTTGTTTCTGTCCTTCATGCTCTTCAGGTAAGAGTGCCATTTGCTGTAAGCTCGAATGACATCGCCATCGCCTGCTTCACATTCCTCCTGTGGGAGCTTATCAATCTCCACTCCACTGTCTTCCAGCTGTTTGAGAACACGTTGTCGTCTTTCTTTTTCAATTCGCTCAGCCTCCAGAACCCAGGCAGGCACGGGAAGCACAATTGGCAATGACTGATCCCGCAGTACTCTCACTCCTTTCTCGGTGATGCTGTATGTTGTCCATGTTCTCTGTCGCAATCGGCAAGAAGAACGAGACGTGGCATATCAATGAAAGAAACTTGGTGAACATCACTCGATACTCGATACGGAACGATCGATCAAGCGATGCAGTGGATAGTCTTACCTGGTATCCACTAACGGTACTGGATTTTGAAGATTCGCGAAGAAACCCACGCTGTTGCAAAGGGACAATGAACTCTCGGTAGCCATCCAACGAAATCTTCTGGCCCGCCTCATCCTTCAGCTTCTGGATGGCCTCCTTGACCTTGTATTCCACAACTCCTGGCTTGTATCGATAGCTCTCCAGCTTCTTCCCGGAAATGGCGCTTTGAATTGTGGACACACTGGGTCCATCCAAAGCTTGGATGGCAGTCAAGACAACCCGCGCCATAGGAAAGTCTCGTTCCAGGTCTCTGCTGTCCATGGTCTTGTGTTTTTGACAATTGTCGCATGTGCCACACCGTTCCCCAAAGGATGGCCGTTCCTTGAAGAAAGTCAATAGGCTCTTGCGGCGACAGGTTGTCGTGTCTAACGAAAACTCTTTCAGAGCATCAATGCTCTCCAAAACAGCCTGCTTGGCATTGCCAGAGAGTTTGCCAATGTAAAAGTCACTTTTGTAAGAATTGAACTCCGCTTCGGAGACGTACATGGTACACTCTGCTTGAATGCCATCACGCCCCGCACGGCCTGTTTGTCGTTTGCAGTGCAGTTAGAGGTGTCATGGTCAAAGCGGACAAAACATAAGATTTAGTCAACGCAAAACAAGACTTACCAATTTGCTGATAGTATTCTTCCACTGTCTTTGGTGGTCCATAGTGGATCACACGCCTGGTGTCAATTTTATTGATTCCGAGACCGAACGCCGAAGTCCCACAGATGACAGTAGTCTTTCCAGTCAAAAAGTTAGTGTGAGCAGCGCTCCGCTGGGCATTGGGCATTCCAGCGTGGTACCCCTCGACTTGAATGTTTTCTTGTGCCGCGAGTCGCTGTCGCAAAAAGGAAGTGATCTCCTCGACCAGGTTGCGCGTGGGAGCATAAATGATGGTACTTTGCTGATGCTGATGGCTTTTGCTGTTCACGAGAGTTTGAATGAGCGGTTCCATGGCGGCTGACAATGCCATTCCGCGGTCTTTTTTGTGCACCGAGATGATGAGGTTGTTTCGATCAGAAGATTGCCGTGCGGTGTATGGATTCTTGAGCAATAGTGATTGACAGATATCTTGTTGGACGCGAGGCACTGCCGTGGCAGTCAAGGCCATGATGGGAATCTGTTTCAGATGCTGCAGGCCTGTCAACGTATTATTGCGCAGTACCTGACCAATTTTGGAGTACTCTGGCCTGAAGTCATGACCCCAATCACTCACGCAGTGACTTTCATCAATGGCAATCAAACCAATTTCCCTTGTGGTTGTGTGCAATCGTTCTAGTTGCTGTAGAAAACCTGCCGAAAGCAACTTTTCTGGCGTCAGATAAATGATTGGAAACTTGCCTTCTTGGATGGCAGCATGCTCTTTTGACTTGTCTGTTTGGCCGGATCCCAAAAAGGTGGCAATCTCGGTGTTGCCATTGTTACCAGTCATGAGTCCATTCAGACTATGAACTTGATCGTTCATCAAACTAACCAATGGACTCAACACGAGTGTGATTCGTTGTGTATGCAAGGCTGGAATTTGATAGCAGAGTGATTTCCCACTACCTGTAGCCCAAAATACAGCAGTGTCATTGCTATTGGCATCTTGCTGTAGTACTTGCTGGATGACTTGCAGCTGTCCCTTTCGGAACTTGGAATAACCAAAGAACTTAAGAAGAGTCTTCTCCAATGCTTCTTGGCTGTTGTCAGTGCTCATCTTTCGATTAGTGGGCGAAATGGACACCTTGCGGCGTTTATTGGTTGCTGCGGTACCGGTACTGGTACTGGTAGAAGCTTCAATAGCTTTCTTCTTGCCGTTGCCGTCGGATGTCCCCTTGCCTTCAGCAGCTGCCGCAATGGCGTCCAAATCGACACCATCCATCCACCCAGGGTCTCCAAACTCATCATCACTCATCCTTGCCGTTGTTTTTGTATGAAGAGACCGAGAAGGAGATGCGGATACAAGACCGTCACAAAAAGCGGTTGGTGAAAGGAGAAGAAAGCTAATACCGACGGAGCGGCTTCGGATAATGATGAAGGAGTTCTGGAGAGGAAGAGGACGCTAATACCAATACATGTAACAAGGCTTGCTGGTGCAATGGGTAGCATTGGCGTAATAGTAACCCCTTCTGACAAAAATGAGCCGCTTTCGGCGCGTTTTTGGTTCTTGCTTTAGTTTAGTCACGAGAACAGTGGTTCACGCGGTTACGGTTTCCGGGCCCTTTCACAGTTCGCAGCTTGCCCTTGCTCCTTCTGCAATGAGCTCCCGGCATTTTATTGGGACAATCAGGCGCTCTGGGTCTCTACGAGTATCATTAGTCTTTGTCCTTATGATCCTTTCCTTCTTCGTCTGTTCGGTCTTGGTTGTCTCGCTCCCCTGCACTGCTGCACTCTTGAGTCAGAGTCCATTCCTCCACATATTACGGCAGTCCAATCTAACCATGCACATAGGAAAACGGTCGATCACAGTCAAGTAAATGAGCTTTAATTGGCATTCATCCAGTCACTCACAGCCAGAAATGTTTGTTTGTGGTGGAGGCGTACCGTACTGTACGTGTACTACCACGCTAATCTAGAACACAGGAAGTATTGTACCTCGATCGGATTCCCACATCAAACAACCAGATTCTCACTGACCAACTCTGCGGGTCTTGGCAATCTTAATACCCTCCTTCTTTAGCAAACATTCCACGTTATCCTTCTGGCTATATCCGCACAGATAGACTGCCTCTAAGCAAGAGGCAGGGTGACTGGCCCATTTCTTGTGGGCATGTGCCAATTCTTGGACAATCAGTTGATTGGGATTCCCAAACACACCTCCACCCACCAAAGTCAAGTACAAATGTTTCGTGCGTCGCATCAGAGCTGCCAAGTACACGCCTTCATAGCCAGCGCGAAGCAATGCCCGTGACAAATTGTAGATTTCCTTTTGTTTGGCAGGAGTTTGCGTCCACGCAGGAACATGGTTTCGCGTGTGGTCCTCGGTTAGAGAATTCCAATTGACAGCTGCCACATGACATTGATCCACAATAGGCAACTTGGAAAAGTCATCGCAATGTTTTGCAGTATCTAGCAGGTAGACCTCTCGTTGTCGCTTGTTTCGCCCGTACATGACGTGACAGTCTGTTTGCAATCCTACGCGAACCTTGCCCACAATTGCATCGAGATCCATGGTGTCGGGTATTGGTATCTCATCTCCACGAAGTGTCAGTTTTCCATTGATAGGGATTCCCGTGTACTCTTTCACATTGTCCAGCAAACTGATTTGATGCTTCAAGGTTTGTCCAGAGTATTGGGGTGTTGGCATGGAAAAATGTGTGCGGAAGAGATTGCAAGCGAGCGGCCCGAACGTTGCGGCTGGACCTTGAGTTTTTTGTTGAAAGGCAAGTTCCACGAGTCTTCCTTCGTCGGGTTTTCGGCGTCGGTTAGGAACATTGAGGCAATTGAAATTGCCAGCGATCTGGATCAAACAACGATCTGTGGTCTTGAGGCGGGTCTGCAACTCTCCAATGTCCACGTGGTAGAGGCAGTAGAACTGGCGATCCTTGTTTTCTTCTTCGGGTTGGTCCATCATCGTTTGTTTCACTTGTGCTCGCAACTCTTCAACAGTTGGAGTGCAGAAGGGTCCAATGGGGGTCAAAACTCCCGTCTGAATGTTGCGAAACCAAAGGATCTCCTCGCCAGTCTCACCAATTTGCTTGCAGATATACAGTTGCCGCTCCTCAGCGCTTTGGCGCACCAGCTCCTCTTCGGTGACTCCAAGCACTCGTTCAACGCGGGTCATCTTTATTGGCAGGCTGGCTAGTGTTGTCGAAATGGTGGTGCGATGTGTTGTGGTGGTTTTTACTGTGTTGGGTTGGTCTTTGTTGCTTTGTTGCTTTACAATTGGGACGTCTGAACTGACCATGCCTATCACTCGACTTGATCCGACTTCGGTTTCGAAGATCGGTTCTTGTCGTCACACTATTAATACACTGTACCTGGTACCGGTACCGGTACATAGATCGCAATAAAAATGACCGCGCACACACAATCTCCACCGCTCGGTGCATTCACATGCTATGGTACGTAACCAGGGTTTTAGAATAGGGAGGTTATCTATGGAAGCCAGCAAAGAAGAGACAGAATTCAGGACTTGGTTGGATGATATCAGGGGAGATAAATTAATTGAGGACCAACATGGGGGCCAAAGGGCTTGGCTGCGGGATCCACGGAAACATTTATGAGATTCTTTCTCCCTGATAGAGAGCCCATGTACCGGTACCTAAACACCTCAAGCTGGCCAGCTAGCTTGCTCGCTATCTACCGGTAGCTGCTACCTGGTACTAGTATGATACCAACACTGCCGTTCAAAAGTAGGTTCTTATGAAGAGCCTTCTTATAGAGGATATGTTTCTAAGACAATGATGTAACGCTTTGGTTTGGCTCCTTCGTTGTTGCTTCGCGGGCAGGGCATTCAAGAATACATACATGCACCACCAAACAAAAGTATATTCGTGTCTTGCGCCATAACAGCTGCTGGCCGGGTACTACCTAGAAACACTCGGTGTGGAATCGATCTTCTTTTCGAACCAATCTGTCCATGAATGCCTCGGCGTCTTCTTCGTCCAATGCTCCACCATCGCCTCTGCTGATGGCGTTCGTCATGGAACTCTGAATCGTTTCAGGGATACCGAGTGCTGGCCCGCAATAATAGGCATGTACTTCGTTGTCGTGCTTGTCAATGTGCAAAGCCTTAGCCATGTCTTCTGGCTTGTCGACAATCAGGTCCGAGATGAAATACATCTTGCCCTTTCGTTCCTCCAAGTTGTCGTGTGAGAAGGCAGGGTGGAGCGCTGTCAACACCCCTTGGTCCAGCCATGAACGCAGATCGTCCTTCAAGTAATAGTCAAAGCTCTCGTGGCGGAAACCAACGTACAATGTGGCAGGACCAAGCTTCGCGTCTTCTTGTTCCAGCAAGGCCTGACGATGTTGCAAGAAGCCGCGGAAGGGAGCCACTCCTGTTCCCAATCCAAACATGAGGAGAGGGGTCACGGTATCTTCTGGTGGTTGCAGTATACCAGTCCTTATCTGCACTGCGACTCTATCTCCAATCTCCAACCCAAACAGGAACTGAGTCGTCAAACCAACCCTGAACTCATTGTTGCCGTCGTGCCACTGGTTCAGCACAACGAGCAATTCCAACCGTTCCTTTCGGAGAAGCGGCGAAGACGCAATCGAATACAGACGAGGTGTGATGCTTGGTATCATCGAGAGGAGGTACTCAAACGGAGGCAGTGATGTTGCAGCAAACTCACAGAGGACATCTGCGTAGGTGTGGTTTGCAGTGTACATCTCGAGGCGATCTGGTTGGGTGGCTTTGTCATCTCTCTCGCACAGCTCCCGCAACTTATTACGAGCGGTAACGGTCCTAGCAAACATGAGAAGCTGTCGGAAGAAGCTCCTTGACGGCCTTCCACACAGATCCAGGTACTGCGTCAACAATTCTCTGGCTGTCAGGGTGGGTGGGAAGGGGCAGTCCCCAAGTGGATCCACAGCCTCGACGGATAGTACGTTGGAGCCATCCAGATCGGGGTGATACAATGCAAGAATCCTGTCCGCTGCGGCATCAGGGTTTCGGGGCAAAACAGCCAAATGGTCACCAACCGTGTACTCCAGCCCTGTCTCTGCAAGATCAAAGGAGAACAGGGCGGCTGGTCGATCGTATCCCTCCGACACCACTGACTCTGACGACGCCAGCTTGACGAAATGATAGTCGGGTGGCAAGGGCCTAAAGTGGCGTCCATGGAATCCAGGCTTGAAAAAGTACAAGGAGCACGGCATTGAGTGAAGGGAAGCAAAGGGACGCAAGTAGTTGCCGAATGGGCAGAGGAGAGATACTTACCGCCAAAGAGAGCCTGAACAACGGCTCTGGAGGGTCCAAATACGAACGCCCTCCTGACGCCTTTCCAAACAGCTTGGGCTGCACCTGCTCCAACCATTTGTCAAGCTCCCCTCTGTACAGCTCCGCTGCTTGGTCATCTCCAAGTCCAACATCGATCAATCTCTCTCCACCCAACTCTTCCAATCTCGTATCCAGACGCCTGGCAGCGCGATTGAATTGATCTCCCACCGCATACATCGAAGATCCCAGACCAAACACACCGTAACGTAGGGATCCTTCTGGGAATGTATGCTTGTTGCACTGATTCTCCAAGTGGTCCCACAGCTTCAGCATCACCTCGGGGAATTCTCCTTCCCCAAATGTGCAGGTCACAAAGATTGCGGCCATTGTGTCACGAACAGTTTCCACAAGTTTTCCAGGGTGGAGAGCATTGGCAGCCACGAGGCAGATGTTGGGCTCGGGCGACACTTTGGATCGTGAGATAAATGATTGTAATTCCAGCTTAATCTCCTTGGCAGCCTGTGCTGCTGTTCCACTCTGTGTGCCATACACAATAACGATGCGATTCGTTGTGTCTCCATCCAATTCGTAAATATCAGAACTGGGAGGGGCTTTGAGCGCAACTGGGCGCTTTCGGGGCCTTGCGGTGTATTGTGTATGAAGCAACTCATGAGAGGTATGGGACAACGGCTGGCCCAAGAGACGATCGTACAACTCTTTGACGGCCACATTTTCGTGCGACTTGCGTTTCACCATTCGCTCATCCATTTGATAGACTGAGTCAATTCGCTTTGACAAGATCTTAGGGTCTCGACTTTGTGGGAGGCCTCCACCACCAATGCAGCCTCCAGGACATGTCATTATCTCAATGAAGTGATAGTTCGCATCGCCTTGCTCAATTGTCTCGAGGAACTCTCGCACATTCCTCATTTGATGGCAGACAGCGACATTCAGTGCAATTTCCTTGTCCGGTCCTAGCTTCACTGTGGCTTCTTTGATCCCGAACAATCCTCTCACGGCATCATACTTGACATCGTCCAAGCTCGAACCATGCAGAACGTCCGCCGCTGTTCGCAGTGCAGCCTCCATGACTCCACCAGTGACACCAAAGATCATAGCAGCTCCAGTCGATTCCCCGAAAGGGTTGTCGTACACAAGGTCAGGGATCTTTCTGAAGGTCTCGTAGTCATTGCGCTGCGCGACTCCGCGAAGTTCGATCAGCCGAGCAAACTCTCTGACAGTCAGAACCGCATCTGTTTCATATTGGCCATTCGACATTTGGAACTGTCGCCTAGCAATTTCATCCTTCTTGGCCGTGCAGGGCATCGCAGCCACGACGAATAACTTGGACTGGTCGACTTCTTCCACCAAAACACCACTGGACGTGAACCCCTCGATAGCTTTCTTTCCGTGCTGGGTGGAAATGGTGACTTGCTTGGGCCACCAATGATGTCGGATGATGGAGCTCAACATGCCCATTGGTGATCGGCACGTGGAGAGATGGGGAATAAGGTGGGGATAGGACTGCTCGACCAGGTTGATCCATCCAGGGCAACAAGACGTGCTTCAAAATGGTGCAATGAAAGGGGAAGTTGTCAGTGAAAGCTTTGCTGTGAAGGTCAGGAACACAAAGGGACAAGCAGTACGTACAACATGGGCAGTGGCATTTTCTTCTTTTCCTCTTCGGTGCCACTTTCTGCAACTTGAATACGTTTCAGAAGCTCGTTGGCTTCTTCCATGATAGTCAGGTCTGCGGAAAGATTGGTATCAAAGACAAATCGAAAGCCACATGCTTTTGCAGCTCCCACCAACCTTCCCTCTGAGCACTCCCCGGGCGCACCACCAAACATCTCGGCCAGAGTGACTCTGACACTCGGGGCTGTTTGCAAGACCACAACCATTTCAGGATCCAACAGGGCCCTCATAACCTTGGCCGTGTGATCGACCTCTTTGATGGCGCCGGTCGGACAAAAGACGGTGCACTGGCCGCAACCGATGCAGTCTGTCTCCTTGAGAGGACGACCAGCTTGAGTGGTCATGCAAGGTGGGGCCTGGGCAATACCAACGGCTGGGGGGTTCGCCGTGGGCAGGGGGGCTTCGAGGACTTTCATACCTTGCAGTTGGTCACAGGCGCGGACACATCTCGAACAACCAATGCAAAGGGATGGGTCGTAAGTAATGCAGTTGGAGCTTGTATCCACATTGGACTCGTTCATCCACTTCGCCAAGTCCTCAATCTCCAAGGAACCGCATGGCGCAAAAGCATTTCCCCTGTTTGCTTGGAATCTTTTCACCTTGTTCCTGATGGACAAGTCCAAGTTGCGCCGAAGGGCTGCGTTAGCGAGTCCATTCAACATTGTACCATGGACATGAACCTTGAGGGGTGATCCGTCTTCGTTGGGTCTACACACAGAGGAACAGGCCAACTACAACATGGATAAGAATGATTTGTATATAAGCCAGCACCCACAAAGCAGCTTCTGTCGTACCTGTGTCGGGGTGGGTCCTCCTTCAATGGCACAGACGCAGACACCGCACTTTCCAACAGGGGTCAGCCTGGGATGGTGACAAAGCGTTGGGATGGTGACGCCTGCCATCGCTGCGGCTTCGGTCAATTTTGTCCCCTCTGGGACTTTCAAAGCAGTGACATTCCCATCGTTGTCATCATGGAACTCGACTGCCACCATCATGAGTTTGTTCTCTTCCTTTGTGGCACCAGTTGGAGCCATGGTCGATGAATAATTCTACCGGTATGTTTGTTTCTTTCAATCGTCAATCTTTTCTTTCTTTACTGCGTTTTGATCAAATAATTATTGTGCCTTCGACAGTGATGATCTTATCAATAATCTATCGAAGCGTCCAGCACAACACCGCCAATTGAAATCCAAAGCGATCCGAACTGAAGCTGACGGCAATTGCTCTGGTGCGCTTCATAGGCAGATGGCCCATACATCACCCGAGTTGTTGGCAATGGAACGTTCAAATATACCGAACCGCTCCAACGCTCCAACACTCGTATTGTTGGTAGCTATGATTGCAGGGCAAATGGGGAATCCCGAAAGCTACACAAGTAAGTCTGACATTGCATTCTGGATCTTTCCGTGATTGAGTGACTTTGGCTGGACCTCATCATTCATGGTTGCGAAGACTGATGAGGCTGTTTGTTACTACGAGTGTACTGATACCGGGGCAGGAGGTTCATGTACCAGGTACTCGTACAGTACATCTCTTTTGACATGCATTCGCTATTTCATAGCGCTGAATCACATCAGTCCATGGGTCCTGATTTCAAAGCTCGAATTACTAGTAGTAGCTTTCTCGAAACTTACTTTGCACCTACGGTACAGTACCGCACATGCCAGAGTTCCGCCAATACATGTAGTAGTGTAGTACATTGTAGCAGTGGTTCCCAGCAGAGCAACTCCGAAAAAGACAAAGGCTACAGCCAGAGGGGTCCCACAAAGTTGACAGCACAGCCGTACCACAATAATAGGAAGGGTACGTCGCGAACTTACAAATCACCCGCTGCAGCCAAGGCGGCTTGACAAAAAGTAAAAAAGTGAGGGCCACGAACACAAAAAAGGCTTTGATGTTCACTTTAGAGAGCAGTCATTCTTTGCGAACCAGCGGTGAAAACACTAAACGGAAGCACGCTCTGTGAACGTAGATGTCATCGTGAAAGCTTCGTGGAGTGTAAACAATTAAATGTAACCGTGCACTTGAAGCTGATCAGAATGTCTTTGACTTTGAATCACACAAACCGGACAAAATTTTCACAAGCTACGACCAAACCCAGCCAACAACCCTGATTGTTTCAAAGCAAAAGAAGCTATCTGCTTTGGCAGCTCTTCGTTCTCTATAGAACATGCTTCTTCACCATCAAACAGCAAGCAGAGATCAACGAAAGAATGGAAATGCATGGCTGAGTCGTCGTTGCGGAAAGAGCATGGACAGCAGTGGAAAGGCAACCGTAACTTTCTTCAGCAGCCAAGCCTGAGAAGAATGATTAAATTTTGCCTTGGCTTGGGATTACCTGCGACCAGATACCCTTAGGTTTGTTGCAACTAGAGCTTGTTTGTGTGGTAAGGCTTTGAATCAACTGCACCTGACTCCTTGTGTTAGCCCTCACGAGTGTTTTCTTTGTTCAGATGAACGCACCTCATGGATGGAACCTGCCTGCCAATGCAGCACAGGAGAAAATTGGCGGAGCCTTTTCATATACGCACCGGTATAGCTTCGCTTGGATGTTACTTGATAAAGAGTTGGTTAGTAGTACCGGTAGCACTCTCCTAGCAGCTCGTAAACCCACTTCCACAAAGCGGAATGCCTAGAACTAGCACTACAGTATACTACTAGCAACATGCCAGACTCAGGCGGTCCAACCGGGCAAAGAAGGACTAAGGCATTGAGCCTTGCAATAGAAGCTAGATACCTTCGGATAGCCTTGTGGGCCTGTTCAAGTGTTCCATGTCGTTAGTTCCAGCTACATCATGCACATCATGTCGGATGCTATTCGTAAAGGTGACTATTCGCGCGTGGTTTGGGACGGACGTGGGAGTGTGGGAGATGCCTCGATAAAATCTTAGACCGTCGCGGTTTTCTTACGATTACAAGGGGAAGAGGTCGTTCGGTTGGCTTAGCTTGTAAACGTTGAAAGCCAGTGAACAAGCTGTGAAAGCTCTGTGAACAGTGGCATGGAACTCATGAACGGTCGCCTGGAACAGCTGCGACTTAAGGAACAGCAAAAGTACGATTTAGTAATTAAGAGGCTGTTTCACCTCTTTTGTAACTGCAACCAAACAACGACCAGCCCTCGAACCAGCTTGGAACCATTCCAAATGCCCCACCACTCCATCATCATCATCTGCTCTCACAATACTAACTCCAAGAGCTCACAATCAGCAACAACACTTCTACCGAGTCCTTTATCTCTCTTCCCTTCATCACAGCAATCATGAGCCCTAGCATTCCATCCATCACCAGCTGCAGCACTAGCATGTTTGTGGAACCATCGAAACCAGTTTCGTCCCACATCAACACTAGTCCCATGGAGATGATTGCCGATCTGAACAACATGGGAGTCGAACTTGTTGACTCCTCCCAACTCCATGAAGCCACTCAATTCTTTCGAAGAGCATTATCCAAGGCAAACGAAATGGCTTTCTTTGCTGGCTCTTCGGCTCGGTCTCCCATTGGCGAGAACTCGGACGCTTCCAAGAACCTTTACATCTACCAACGGGGAGAATACGACGAAGGCATGCACACCTTCTCCCAACCCATCATGATCGACGCCGAACTTGCATCCATCCACACCAGCGTTGCTACCATCCTCTACAATTTGGGCCAAGTCGCCATCCGCACAAACAACAACCAAGAAGCCTCCACATCCTTCCTCCGCGCTCTTCAGATCTTCCAGTGTGGCTCTGACTGCTGTGCCAACAGCATGAAGGCTCTTAGCCACGCTGGAGGTGTCACTGTCGTCGCCATCTTGTCCAATATCGGAAATGTCCTCTACCGAGCTGGTCGCTTTGAAGAGGCCATTCAGACTTTCCAAAAGGCACTCGAAGTCAGCACTTCCGCCGCTGCCGCTTGCACTCACCAAATGCTCGAAGTTTCCGCCACTTTGAACTCCCTCGGAGTCCTCTTCTTCCACTTGCCCAAAGCCGACACCGAAAAGGCACTGGCTTACTACAAAGAATCCCTCCGAATTCGTCGCAATGTCCTCGGACAAGATGCCGCCACCAAGGAGGTCGCCACAACAATGAACAACATTGGCCGCATCCACTACATGAAGGGCGATCTTGATCAGGCTCTCTGCATCTACTCGGAGGCTTTGACCATGCGCCGTCAGCTCTTTGGTGATGATCACCTCGACATTGCTGCCGTCTGCTACAACATGGGCCAAACCCTCCACCAAAAGGGTAGGTTGGATGACGCCATGGAACTCTACAGCGGATTCTTGAAGATTGCCCGCAAACGCCTTGGGTGCAACCACCGCGATGTCGCCATCATGCTCAAGTGCATTGCGCAGATCCACCACGAACGCTCCGAATTCGAACAGGCTTGCAAATTGTACCGTGAAGCCTTGCAGGTCGGAGAAGCAGCATTGGGAATGAACCACCCAGAGATCGCCTCCACACTCAACAAGCTCGGAAACCTTCTCTACGAAAGCGGAGACACCGAGGGTGCCATTCGTGTCTACAAGGAGGGATTGAAGGTGGAACGGGCTGTCTTGAGCTCCTGCCATCCCAACATTGTTGTCACTTTGACCAACATTGGACAGATCCACAAGCTCCGTGGCGAGTATCACGATGCCCTTCGTGTCTACAAGGAGGCCGTCCAGATCCAACAACGCAACCGCGAAAGTTCCACCACGGACATTGCTGCCACACTCTCTGCCATTGCCTTGATCCACTACCAGACACACAGCTATTCCAAGGCCTTGGAAGTCTACCAAGAGGCTCTTCGTATCCGCCGCGATGCCTACGGTGATGAAAACTTGGAAGTGGCATCCACACTCAACTCTTTGGGACTTGTCCTATTCAAGATGAGCCTCTACGACTATGCTCTCGAGAGCTTCCATGAAAGCTTGCGCATCCGCCACAAGCTTTTGGGACGGGACCACAGAGATTGCTCTGTTATTACCTACAACATTGCCACCATCCACTTGGATCAAGGTAATGACGATGAAGCCATGCCCTACTACCGCGAAACTCTTCGCGTCGAGCGGGCTGCCTTGGGCCACGACCATGCCGATGTCATCCTCACAATTGAACACGTTGGCCGAGTGCACCAACAACGAGGAGAACTCAACGATGCTGTCCGCCACTTCAAGGAAGCTCTTGAGCTCAAAATGGCCAAGGAGCAAAAGGATCACGCATCCATTGCACAAACCTTCAATGATCTCGGCAATGTGTACTTGCAAATGGGCCGGGCCAATGAGATGGTGGAAGCCTTCTCTCATGCCACTCGCCACCTCAAGCAAGTGGGACAAAGCGAAAACGAGCTGGTCATTACCGGCTTCAACTTTTACGGGCTCAGCAAGTTGCACCCCGAAGCCGCAGCCACTGCCTAAACAAAAACTATCTGTTGAATAACTATTAATACCAAAGATGCTACTAGCCAAATAATTCCATGCAAACTCAACTGCCTTCATTATCTAGCTAGCTATAGATGGTATGTAGTAGCCTGTTATAACATGTGTATGAGCGAAGGAGCGACCGAGGGCGATCATTAGTGCTGGACTTCCTAGTCTATACATTGCAGTACGCCACCTGCCACGGAGCCCTGCTTTGTCCCAGCAACGATACATGTGGTTGTTTTGTCTATCTTGATTTCTTATTCTCGTCGTTTGGGACATTGTACACTACTTGTTGGCTGTGAAGTTCTGGACATTCGCAAGTTGGGTGGGCCATTACCATAGCGAAGAGTCGCCGTTCCGTCCACCAACCAGGCGAGTTACCATGAAAGGAATTCAAAAGCCTAGGACGACTAGTGGGCTGGAAGGTTGCTCCTCCTCGTGGAATGTCACGAATTTGTTCGTCTTCCATTGTTGCACCATCGACAGAGCTGATCTCCTCTTGAGGTGCTTGTTGTAAATTAGTATTGTCAGTTTGTGTATTGGTTTGTTCATGCGTGGTTGTGGGAATGCTCGATGGCTCCAATGGTTGTGTTTTGGTTGGTTCGTGTGCTTCCTCTTTGATAGATTGGCGAGTAATCCATCCAATGACAAAGTAGTTGATAATAGCAAACAAGTAGAGGGTGGTGACAAAAGCCACATTTTTGGGCATGTGCTTTCGGAGGTAAATATTCAAAAGGGTAGATCCGATCAATGCCGTTCCATAGGCACTGGCTTGTCCCCCTAGAGTCTTGAGGTATTTTTCGCGGGTATTAATGCTATGCAAGCCATACACTAACCAGGCATGGAGCAAGTGTTGTGTGACAATCTGCAAGAGGTATCCAACGAAAAAGGAGATGCTGTCTTGCTGTTCCACCAGGAATGGTGGTGGTGATGGGATTTTCCCAAGGCAGCTGAAGACACCCCGTTCAATAGCGAAGAAGCAGAGATTCCCCAAGTTGCCACTGACAAAGAATCGGCATATTTCGGGGAGGGAATACCAAAGTTGATTGTAGTACTCAAAATTCACAACCGGGATAGCAATCGTTTTCTTCGCACTATTCTTTCCGCCATCATCAGACCCTGTTGCTGTTGTGCTGTGCAGAACTGGTGATGAAGCTGGTACGGTAGATCCGCCTCTTGGTAAAGAAACTGCTGCTGTTGCTAGCGCTGTGAGGGCAGTAGCAGTTGGAGCAGAGGCCAAAGCCAACGAGGAAACCAGGCAACTGCCAGTCATGCTGATCATTCCTGAGATCTCCAAGAAAGAAAGAAAGAAATTCTACGCCAGTCGGTTTTGATTTGAAGGCAACACACGATTCTTCTCTCAATAATCCAGTTGCAGTTGTACGTACTCTCAAAAGGACCAATATTGTTGCAGCATCGTGGCAATGACAAGTTCTTGTCAACATTGAAGCCATGGGGATATCAGAACAATCAGAACATTGAGATTGCAACGTTGCGTTCTGCATTCGAAGGTGGCTGACGACAGTCACGAGTGTTATGAGTCACATGCTACAGTAGTACCGGTACCAAAGGAACATCACTTGAAGCTTTAGCAATTTTAAGCCTTCTAAATCCATGCAAAATCCTAACCCTACATTTCAGCTCTGCTTTGGATCCAACGATCCACCATGACGCCCATCATTTTTCATCCGTTCGTGCCGACGACGAAGAGCACCGACAATACTACTACTAGCTAGTGGTAGTAAGATACAGAGTTACAGAGCAGCAAACGCAGCCTTCCGAGATAAAAAGCTAGATACATGCATTGGATCTAGAAAGAAGAACAATGAGAGGTCCAAAGGATCCAGTAGTGGCCACTCTGGCCAATCGGTCTGGAGTTGTGCATCCGTATTCTTCCGTGGCCATGTCGGCCAACCGAAAACACGCCATTGTGGCTGGCAAGGATACGTTGCACCTTATGGAAGTCAGTCCTCGAGGACTTGCGCCTATTCGATCCATGAGAATCAATCAGCACTTTCAAACACCCGCTCAACAAGACTCCATGGCCAAAATCTACGAAGACAGCAGCAACAAGCAGCGAGGATCCTTTGTACGTGATACTTTTGGCTCCATGGTCGCAGCCAATATACACAACAACAATACCAACAGACCGGCAGCACCCACCAACATGAGCAGTGCCATCATCACAGACGTTGCTTGGAGCAAGCCACAACCGCAGAAATACAATCATCGGGGAGAAACCGTGGGAAGCAATGCCGAAATGGGACCAGAAGACAATCACCCGGATTCTTCGTCGGCAACCAACAATCCCAGTGGAACAAAAGTCGAAGAAATGGATTCCATCGTGGCAGCGGCGGGATCCAATGGCGTCGTTGTAGTATGGAGTGCCAGGAAGGCTTTCCTCTCGGATGGTGATGGGACTTCCAACGCCATGGTCAATCAGCAACCCGAAGCCATTCTTAGTCAACATACAAGGGCCGTCAACCGGTTGGCATGGCATCCAAAGAGACCAGGGCTGCTACTCACCGCTTCTCAGGTACGAAAGTCAACCAAATTCAAGAAAGAGAGAGCAAATATAGTTAGTGCATCCCCCACAAAACAGGACAAACCCTTACGCCAACTTCTTTGTCTTCGTGTTTCATTTCCATTATAGGACGCCACGGTGAAACTATGGGTTCGTCGCAAGCTGGCCAAGACAGGAGGGGCTGCAAATTCGCAACAGCTCAGATCGTGGTTTCGATTCAATGCTGCTCCATCACCAGATGAACAATCCTTCTCCTGGCAGTGCAGAGTCACATTCGAACCAAAGAGTGAAGCTGTTCGAGATATTCGGTGGAGTCCAATTCACGATGACAGTGAGTTTTATAATGTGGCTACTACTAGTAGTATGCTGGCCATATTATCAGGCACACGCTCGAGAACGTTTCGAGATACTTACCCGCTACTGACCAATGATGAATTTCTTTCTTTCTTCAATGTCCTTACCCATACTGTACAGCGTTTGCGTTGGTCACTAGTAGTGGACTGCTCATAGTATATAACATGTTCGTGCCTTCCAGGCCTCTCGTCAAAATATCGGCACATGCCGGGGATGCTACAACCCTCGATTGGCATCCCATCAGATCTTATGTCATTGCCACGGGAGGGGCGGGGGATCGATGTGTCAAGGGTACGTTCGTCCCTGTGTTGCTTCTTGGCGCTGACTGGCTGACTAAGTTACTTACCCCAAGATTGTCGGTCGATCAAGTTTGGGATCTCGAAAACAGCTTGGCAATGGCAAAAGATGATAGCAACATGGCCGCAAACTCCAACACAGCAAACAGCAGGACAGATTCCATTGCGACAGAAAGTTCCAGCGAGACGGATCGCTCAGGGTTAGTAATGTTCCGGTGACTGGACAGAGACAGGCATGCAGGTAGTGAAGGATAGCTGGTGGTTGCTCACCGTTGCCGCGTTTCTCTGCACTCTCTTTTTGAATTGACTGTACGTCCTTCAGATACGCATCGTCAACCATTGGATCTACTTCGGCCCAAGCTGTGGCAATGAGGTCGCAATCGTTTTCTCTATTGAACTCGTCACGCAGCAAGGCGAGTTCCGTGACCATGTTGCACGTTTTGACAGTATCTGCAACCGTCACCAGACTAAAGTGGAGGCCTCCAGCCATGGAATCTTTGCTCTCCGACCAGGGCAGCACTGATCGCCATGAATCCATGCTAGCTGTTGCGACAGCTCCCATCAAAGGAGTGAATGCAGGTGGTTCGGGTCTCCTGGGCTTGTGGTCTACAAACCGACCGTTCATGCCTTTGAGTGTCGTAGATGGACATACAGCAGGAGCCGTTGTAGATTTCTTTTGGCTCGATACCCCCAATCCTGACTCACAACGAAACATCATGAGGGCTCATCAGAACCAACCCACACAGGAGAACCGTCGAGGCTGGAAGGCTGCAGAAGACGGAGATGGCGGACAAAAGCGTAGTCAACGTGCCAGAGGAATATCTCCTCATGACGCTGATACTCCATCTTCAGTCTACGAGAAGCCAGACGGAGAGGATCATCGTGAGAGTTTTCAAGATGAGGGTCTTCGTGTTTGGCAGCATGTTCTCAGTGTCGGACGCGATGGGCACTGCTTGATTCAGAGTTTCGCACGAGGTACAGTAGGCTTTCGTTGGCCCAGGTCAATTCAATTCCAGCCCTTTCATGGGCTTGCAGCTAACGCTTTTCTTATCTCATTGCTCAGGCGACAGACCGATCTCTCGTGTGCCGCCATCGTGTTTCGCCATCGCCAACAAATCTCCTTTCTCGAAGGGATTTGGCTCATTACAGATTTGCTCTGTTCACCAGCACGTGCCCTCTAGCTCGAAGTACGACTACGGGTTGGCTGGCCTTAGGCAGGATTCTGTCACGGCTCGTGCCCCGGGAGTGTTTCGTGAGATTCCGGACAGCAAGGATGTTGTTCTTGAGCGTGATAAATCAATCGCAGGTAAACGTTTACCAGGTGAGTTAGAGTAGCGTCATCGTGCTACCTGTTTGCGGGGTTTCCAGTCCTCCTCTAACGATTTCTGTCACGCAGAAAAGGCGCCAGAGCTTGTCTTTCAGGTTGTCGATGGAGGGGAGATGGACGGTTCCACTCCAGTGGCAGCAAATGAAAAGGCGATTACTGTGGCCCCTGAAGTTGTGCACCTCTCACGCTTCGCCAAGGGCTACAAGCTTCATCCCGACAATGAGTTGAGTTCCAGGGTTGAGTTGTGCCTGCACAACGGTTCGGTTGCAGAGAGCCTCCAATGTATCAATCTCGCACGCATGTGGAGGACAGTGGCTGAAATCCTGAGGGGTTCGGGTCTCGACGAGTTGCCTGAAAAGAATTCACAACCAGAAAATGTCATGCAGTTCGTCCTTTTACCGACGATCAAGTCATTGTTGCTGGAACGAGCGGACGCTGGTGATGTCCAAACCTGTGTCTCACTCTGCGAAGTCTTGCAAGTCATCGAGCCAGATGAAACAACACGAATACCAGGACTGAGCGTGAACCTTGTTCGTGAATGGTACCTCGCCTACATCGATCTGCTAAGGGACATGTGCCTCTTCTCTCTCGCCTCGTCCATTATCGGTTTATGCAAAGATTCCTTCATTGGTGCTCTCAATCAGCAGTCCACCACGTAAGTTTCGCAGTGTGCTCGTGTTGGAGCTCTGAAAGCCTTTTGCTTACCATCCAACCGCAAACTTGTTTCTCTCAGTATCCATGAATGCTGCCCGCGATGTGGAAAGGCACTGTTGGCTGATGGTAATATCAGCACTGGCCAAGCACGGAGAGAATGCAAAAGTTGTCGAAGAAGAATTGGACTATGTTTCTTATGCCACGAACCTGTCAAAGGGATGTTTGTATGGTGAGTTCGAGTCAATTGGTCAGTTTCGAATCTTTAATCCTTTCTCTGCTGACGAATCGAATCTGGCTTGCATCCACTTTAGGTGTCCTGGTTGCGGTACGTCTCCACAGTGGGCGGAGTTGATCCGGTGGCAGTAGCGATAAACTCAAAATCTGTCCGTCCTGTTTTTAAAGGTCATGGTGGGCACCTTGAGCACGCCTTGCAATGGTTCGGCGGTTTGCTCCCAGGTGCTGTCCGTGAAGTCTGCCCCACTGGATGTGGTAAGATCGACGCATCATCTGTACTTTGTGCCTTCCAACGCTGATCCATCCACTAGTATTAACCCACGTTACGTTTCTGGTGACCCTTACAAAAGGCCACAAATGTAATTTCATGCAGCAACTCAGTGCCTTCCCAAGGACAACTTCAATGCAGAGTTTAAATGGCATGTGCATGAAGACTTCACCGCAGGTTGATTTACTGCCTGCTGGCTTGATGTAGCGGTGGTTCCTGGTCGGAGTCCATGCATCTACCTACAGCAAGTGAACCTGGTGCTTGCTGCGAGTTGCCATGGTTGTACTGTACCACATCCATCCATTGACGACGTATCCACTCATAAACACACTACAACATACTAGTACTGTTTTACTACTATCTTACAGGCAGAATTACTATTAGCTGGCAACAAAATTTTTCATGCGTTTTCCACCAATCTTCAGCTTCTTTGCGAAACGTCTGGCCCAGTTGGACTTCCCCGCTTGCTCTTGGCAAGGCTCATCCACGATGTTTCTTGGCTTTGTCGGCGACTCCTTTCTTTGGAACAGTTTTTTCCTCTGCAAAAGAGATTTCTGGGGAGGACCAACCACGATAGCTGGTCCAGTAGTACGAGGGGAACGTGTTCGTGGAGGGCTGCGAGACCCAACCACCGAACGGAATGATGGCAAATTCTCTTTCGGCGTTTGCTTATTGTCTTCTTCCAGCTCATCACCGTCGGATAATCGTTGGAAGGGAACCCTGTCATTTATTCGTCGTCTGGCCCCATCGTCCTCACTGTTGATTGATCTTTCCAGCGTTAGCGGGTGACTGAATCGCCTCATGCTCCGTTCAATACTCCGTCTGAACTCGACGGACACTTCAAGCTCCACCTTTGTGCCAGCGTCAGAGCTGTGCTTTGAGCTCTTGCTCTTCCCGCGTGATCTATTGCTGGTAGAAACATCGTCGTCGCCGGTCTCGATTGGTTCGTCCCCATGTTTCCATCGGTTAAACCTGTCCCTTTGCTTTTCGACGAAACCTTGGTCTTGTTTAAACCTGTGAAGTACATGCTCGCGACGATGCGTTCGCTTCACCTACGAGTCGAGTCATCGATAATGTCAGATAGCACATCACAGAACAGAGTGGGTGAGCAACCTAAGAAATCATCGTGGCAACGTTAATGCTGCATCACTGCGTGGGTACTTACAGCCCTCAAAACCTTCTTGTTTTCAACTAGTCCCTTGGCAATGTCATAAATACACTTCCCGGTGTACCCTTTGGGCACAGCAACAATAATCTCATCCGTGTTGAGACGGTAGTCTTGTATAGCCAGTGCATTGATGAGCTCGGCCCCACCGGTCGCCTTGCAGAGACCATGGTAGGTTTGCTTCATGATTTTAGAGTCCTTGGCCATTTTAGGAAGTTGACGAAGCAAGGAGGAAATGGGTAGGCGGGCTTCAATGCAATACTCAGCATGAACAAACTCAAACGTCCTTTCCTCTGGCAACAGCAGCAAGAACAGAATCCTCCGTTGTGCCGGGTCATGGTAGTAATCATGTGCGTCGATGAGATGTACGACTTCCATTTGCTTTCCTTCCTCGTCAGCGAAACGTAGTCTTTTAACTGGATTTTTCAGCTTGGGTGGTATCGGTATAGCTGGCTGTTGCTGCTGAACGAATTCACCACTGTCAGTTGAGTCTGACTCCGCAACAATCAAGGAAGAGAAATCAAAGGAATTGAAACTGCCATCATGAGCGTGACAAGGTCTTTCTGGGTCCAGCGTGTGACCAACGAGGTTTGCGCTGAAAGCGGTGATTGGGCTTTCTCTCTGTTCCCCCAATTTGTCTGGAGCCAATGGACCTCGCAGTGGGGAGTCAAAGTAGGACAAGTCATGCTCGACGGGGATATCACTCAGATCCAACTCTTGTTGTTCCCACGTATTGTGACCTTCCAAAAGGGAACTCGGAGACGGAATACTCGTGGTCTCCTCGTCCGTCTCCAGAGTATCAACTGACTTGGTACAGTCACCGTTGACAAGAAGTACTTCGTTGCAATCACCATCGTCCGAATCACTAGAACCATTGGGAAAATCAAAGACAATCTCACCGTCAGAGTCGTTCAGGTTAGTATCCCAAATGGTTGAGGGCCAGGTTGTATAATCTGTCTGCAATTGTTTAGCAGCTTCCACGGAGAGTGTCTCATCGGGTTTGGATCGTGTCGCCTTCAACGTTTTTTCCCTGGCTGCCTTGATCACTCGATCGATAACTGGAAGGCATGATGGTGAAGGTGACGATGAGACATGTGGTGGAGCGTCCGATTGCCATCGAATTGGCGCAATTCGAGCGGTATACTCATTATTGTTGATTCCGGTGTCGTCAGGAAGGTACCAGTACGACCCTTGATTTCTAAGTAGCTGCTGCAACATTAAAGAAACAAGCTATGCTTGCAAGCTATCCATCTCCTGCTGCTGTGTTTCTTCGAATGGCGGAAGGCATTCAGTGCCTTGCAAAGCAACTTCAATCGAATCTACCCAGAAAGGTCCAATACTCTAGCTAGAGTGCTATAATGTATGTTTCTTCACGCCTAAACCCGAACAAACAAATGACGGTCTTCTTTCAAACTGGTCCGCTTCCAAGGGCTATAAAACTTGAGACTTGTCGGAGATTGGGACAAGAAATGGAGTTGACGACGATGTCAATCAGTGAGAAAGGCTGCAGTCACCCAGAGCGACAATTGAAGAGCAGAAAAACCTCTTGTTGATTGGGTGAGACTCAGCTGGTTGGAGGACACCTTTTGGGAATTGATAACAGCAAACAATCGGTCGAATCGGCACGCGTGGACGTTAAGTCTCCCCTTGACTTTTTTAAGGGCGCGCTAGAAATGCTTTCGCATGAATGGTGCCGAAAGTGAACGTCCCTCACACTTTTCCACCGTGAAAGCTCCAGCTGCAGCTCCATCGGCATGTGAATTCATTCGAAGGTGAAAGCGGCAGCTCTAGCTCTAGTAGTAGCTAGTCTACTAGCTAGCTAAACCTGGTCTGCAGCCCTCTAGCTAGCTAGTAGCTACCGTAGCTAGACATTGTGGCAAAAGAATGCATTTGGTTCGTCTGAGGCTCCTGGAATGAGAGAGCCCCGGCACATTTTTCTGAAGAGCAAACTTTGCTTCCGTCTAGTAGTCTAGTAGCTATCTACCGGTAGCTTTTCTTAGGTAGTAGTTAGTCTCCTGATTCATTCCTTACCGAAGCGAAGGCTAACTGATCAATAGATAGATGCAAAACGGAAGGAAATTGACTTATCAATTCCCTGGCTTGTCTCTCCAGCCATCCCCCCGCTACCCGGTACCGGTATAGGGACGGCCGACTGTGAGATCCCAAAGAATCCTTGATACTCCTTGATGCTAGCTAGCTACTAGCTAGCTAGCTAGCTAGTTAGCTCTAGAATTCACGTACTAGTACAGTCTGGAAGCAGAGGAGTGGTACCTAATAGCTACCGGTATGGCGGTTGGCGGCGCCATAGGTATTGTAGCAGCTAGCTACAGTCGTACCGGTACAGGTCCATGTACTAGTAGCTTGACTCTTTCTCCCATCGAAACCACAGCAATCCCAGAAACCAAAAGTACTTAGCCGAACTCGAGGCACAAAGAAAAGCTCTCAACTGAAAAGTCGCGGCTGGCTGGGGTCCAAAAAATGGGAGGCATAATATTACTCTGCGTCATGCCGTGACCGAGGGTGTCATCAGCAGCTGTCAGCTTAGAGAATGGTACATTTATGACCAATGACCCAAGAGGACCTGGCACTCTGGCACTGACGTTTTCAAGTTTGTTGATTGTCCTTTCTACACCCATGCACAGCTCTGGTAAAACAGTATTTTCTCAACTAGCTACAGTACAAGTACCTTCAATCCTCTCAGGCTTTGTTATTTTTAATAAAACCACGGTTTTTCTTTTTTCTTTGCGATGTGCTGACTCACACTCTTACAGTTTCGCTGGCAAAATTTGTTGAAACAGTCAATGGAGGTCGCACTGAACAAACATGATGTTGAAGGGTATAGTGATGATACTCTCGCTAGCAATAGCTAGTAGCTTTCTGCTGGAGTACTCGTTGGCATTATCTTCTGAAAAACCGAGTGCATCTTTAGTTCGAAGAGCATTCCTGGCATCGTCCTTGGCGGCAGCGACACAATTTGTGTACGCTCAAACCAATGCCCCCAATGGATTTCGCCGCATTCCAACTCAGTTCATTGCCGCCCTTGGAGATCCAAACTCCAGTTCTGGCAAGGGAGCGCAGGACTGGGGTATCTGGCCCGTGGATCCAGGTCCACGGGGAGTATGGTTAGACCAGTACAAACGCGAGCTCGGAGACACCAATGGAATGGCTCCAGCCGGATGGAGGTTTAATCCACAAGATTGGTGGCTCGAGGAACACGGGCTCATTATGGAGTCACCTCAGTTTCCTCTTACGGCACAACCAGGAAGGTATCTAGTGACGGGTGGGAGACTTGTTACCACAGTGCTTACGGTGGATGCTGATGGATCCTGGCACCTGGATGATAGTGCCAAGTTGTACGATGTGACCCACCTACCGTGTCGATCGGCCCGATATCATCCTGTAGAGGGTGGGTCGCCACTCACAGCCAAAAAGTCAGATTTCCCCGTCCGACCTGGGGCTGAAATGCCCTTGGTACCAGGTTGCTCCAAACAAGACTATGCTGTTCTGTTTGTCATTGGTGTCGAGGCCTAACCAGAGACTCCTTCAGTTTCTTGTCAAGGAAGAAAAATATGGAAGAAGCAAGGGCGGTTCCATATTGATGCACAGGGCATGCACAGAAAGCCCAGGTCCGCCTACCCTGCGGTCTTTAAAAAACACGCCAGGCAGGACTTGCAATTGTTAGGATAGTAGAGGATACCGGTACCCTGAGGGATAACCGTCTCGGTACCACCGAAGTGCTTGCTTCGTTTAGAACTCCGTATGTGCATGGTCCTCATCCCCTTCATGCTGCACCGCCGCTTGAATTTTCATTGGAGCAGTACTGGGCACATGTGCTACACCAGCATTGCTGCTGGGAGCTCGGCAGCCCGAATTGAGCTCTGTCAACACAGTAGTATTTTAGCACTCTCACCTTTTGCTGCATTTGATGAATAACTTCTGCGTTTGACAGATGCTCTATGGTTGAATCCTCTTTTGTCCCGGATCCAACTGGAGCTTGCTTGGCATCACATTACACTGGTGTGGCGCCTGTATTCAAATATTTTTTAGATCTCTCACTGCGTGATGAAACATGCATCCTGACAGCCCCATCATTCTCCAAGATTGTTTGGTCAGAGCTTCCGTCCCTGGTTTGCCCCAGACCCAACACAACCCTGCAACAGCAACCCTGTTCAGATGAAAGTTTTAGGTTCATGTTGCTGGCGGGTGCGGAGCGAAGCTCATGACCTCTGGATCTCCAGATGCAGAGCTAAATAAATAGACTTGGGACCCGACTCATCGATGACGTTTGATAGGTTGAAGGGTTCGATCTTTTGGCTTCGAGCACGCTCCAACCTGAGACTTTTCTAGATCAGTCATTTTTCCGATTGTTTTGCCTCTTTCTAAAACATTTGTTTGAAATAGTTCCAAGTTTGGAATATTTGGAAGTATTTCTGTAAATGCTCAAGTTCCAGTAGAGTTTGACCAAATCTTTTGTGTCAAGGACTTGTCACCACGTACTCCCATTGTGATTCGTCTTTGCCTCTCTTTTTCTCCTTTGAGCTTCGCTTCGGGACACTTGCTGTCAACCCAAATCTTCATTGGCATAGCTACTGTACTCTTGCTGCAGTCCCATTTTTCTGTTGTGCCGATACGTAGGGTTTCAGATCTCATTATCTTGATAGATATTACATCCAGGTATCGTAGAAGCTAAAGCCGCAGATCATCATGTTGGAAAACGAAGTAAGTTGAGAAATGCATGTACCTCGGCTGTGACGTGGGAATCAAACCTCTGCCATTAGCAGAGGGGCCCATGGTGCCTGACACCACGAGCTGACACCTTTTTGTCATTCTCTTTTTGGAATTGTCCCAAAATGATGAAATACCCCTTAGTCTGCCGCGACCATTATTATCCTGGTCTCGGGAGCCGTGGGCCTCGTGTGGGCCCTCATCCAGTACGCAACCATTGCTAAGATCACCATTCGTGGAGGCGCCGGTGGAGAAAACGAAGGACTCACGGGTGGAAACGACGAAGAGACCCTCAAGCGTCTGGAAGAAATCTACACTGCTATTGTCGAAGGAGCTGAATCTTTCTTGAGGGCTGAATATCAGGTCTGCTTTGTCTTTATCATGGTCTTCTCTTTGATTATTCTGGTCCTTGTGGCCTGGGGAACAGGTTGGGATGCCGCTCGTGGATTTTTCACTGCCATTAGTTTCCTATTGGGTGCCATCACTTCCATGGCCAGTGGATATTTGGGCATGAAAGTAGCCGTTTTTTCCAATGTCAGGACCACCCTTGCTGCCCAAAAGTCCGGATGGACTTACTGCTTCAACACTGCTTTCCGTGCCGGTGCTGTCATGGGATTTGCCCTCTGTGGACTCGGAATGATTATGCTTTATTTGACAATGTTGGCTTACCGTATCCACTATCCTGAACCTGAAGATTGGGTTCATCTCACCGAATGCATCACTGGATATGGATTGGGAGGATCCGTCATTGCTATGTTTGGACGTGTTGGAGGAGGTATTTACACCAAGGCGGCTGATGTTGGAGCTGATTTGGTCGGAAAAGTCGTCCATGGAATTCCTGAAGATGATCCTCGTAACCCTGCTACCATTGCTGATAATGTTGGCGACAATGTGTAAGTTTTTGACTGAGGCTTTATTTTCACAAAGTTTTCTGCATTTCCTGTGCTAACACGTGATTTGTGGCATAAACAAATTATTTCAGGGGAGATGTGGCCGGTATGGGATCTGATTTGTTCGGATCCTTCGCTGAATCTACCTGTGCTGCCCTGGTTATTGGATCTGGGATTGGAGCTATCGGAGGCTGGAATGCCATGGTTTTCCCCCTTGTTGTCTCGGCTGTTGGTCTCTTCGTGTGCTTGATCTGCTCCTTCATTGCTACCCACATTCGCCCCGTCAAGGCCGAGAATCAAGTTGAAGAGGCTCTCAAGCTCCAGCTCATCAGTACAACTGTTCTCATGATTCCAGCTGTCTACGTGGCTTCCATCCTTTACCTTCCCGCTGAGTTCGCCCTCGAGAGCACCGTGGGAAAGAAGATCTTCACCCTTCACCCCTGGGAAGCTTGCGTCTGCGTTGTAATGGGTGCCGTTGGTGGATTGATCATTGGTCTCATCACTGAGTACTATACATCTCACTCCTACAGCCCTGTCCGTGAACTTGCCCACAGTTGCAAGACTGGTGCTGCCACTAATATGATTTACGGAATTGCCTTGGGATACAAGTCTGCCATCATCCCAGTCTTGGTCCTTTCCGTTGTCATTTACGGTTCATTTGCTCTGTGCGATATGTACGGTGTCGCCCTTGCTGCAATCGGATTCCTCTCCAACTTGGCCACTGGATTGACCATTGATGTCTATGGTCCCGTCTGCGATAACGCTGGAGTAAGTGCTTTTGTTGGTGTTTTTTAGTGCTTGGAAGTTGTTGCGACGACAATCTCTGACCTGATTTTGAACTCTGTTTGCTCTTCAACTTTCCTTCTTAGGGTATCGCCGAGATGGCTGAATTGGACCCAGCTGTTCGCGAAAAGACCGATGCCTTGGATGCCGCCGGAAATACCACTGCTGCTATTGGAAAGGGATTTGCTATTGGTTCTGCTGCACTTGTGTCTCTGGCCCTCTTCGGTGCATTTGTCACTCGTATTCGCCATGCATCCAACGATACTTTGTTTGCCGATGGTGTCAACATGTTGGAGCCTGTTACATTTTCCTTCCTCATCATCGGAGGTATGATTCCTTTCGCCTTTGCTGCCATGACAATGAAGAGTGTTGGTCTCGCTGCCATGCAGATGGTTTTGGAAGTTCAGCGCCAATTCGATGAAAAGCCCCACCTCTTGGACGATAATCCGACTGAACGCCCCGACTACGATGCCTGCATTGCCATTTCCACTCAAGCTTCCTTGAAGGAGATGATCCCTCCCGGTGCCATGGTCATTTTCACTCCTCTCTTGACTGGAATTCTCTTTGGAGTCAACGCCGTTTCGGGACTTCTTGTTGGCGCTCTCATTGCCTCCGTTCAGCTTGCAATCTCCATGTCCAACGCTGGTGGAGCTTGGGATAACGCCAAAAAGTACATTGAAAAGGCATCTCCCGACTCTGAGCTCAAGGGCAAGGGATCTGACATCCACAAGGCCGCAGTTGTTGGAGACACTGTTGGAGATCCGTTCAAGGATACCTCAGGACCTGCTTTGAACATTGTGATGAAGCTGATGGCTGTTCTTTCCTTGGTGTTTGCCGATACTTTCTACGCTGTCAACAATGGAGCCGGTCTCTTGAAGCTCAGTTAGATTGTTGTGTCATGCATTCATGGGTGAGTTGTGAGTTGAACAAGTTCAATTCAGGATTCCTCTCCTCTGCGTGGTGACTACCCAACTCAATGTGTGTCTACGAAAGTCATCATATAACCTGCTCTTCTAGTATTGTGATTTGGAGTTCATATTGACAGATAGATTTTGCTATAACTCTGCTTCTAGCTAGCTACCGGTCGGTAGCTAGCTACATGTGCGTATTAGTACATGTGCTTGCTTGTACCACCAGCTAACCAACGGCATTCCACAAATTCTGGGGACGCCAAGAGGTTAGCCTTAACCTTACCGTATATTCCGGTTTTGTCAGTCAGAATAGAAGACAGCGAAGCAGCAAGACAACGACGTACGGTACCGTAGTAGGTGTCAGTGCGGTTGTACCGGTACAGTCTACTACAGTACGGTAGTAGGTGTGTTAAAGGGTTCTACTTACTCAATTACTGCAAGGTCAGGAAACCCCAATGATGTTTTGAAATTTTTCAAACAGTTTTAGTTTCTCATTTTTAGTTTTAGTTTCTCATTTTTAGTTTCTCAATTTGAGAAACTAACAGTTTTAGTTTCTCATTTGATAAAATAGTTTCTCATTTCTGGCAGAAATCACAACACATGTACTAGCAGTTTCATATATAGTTTCTCATTTCAAAAGATAGTTTCTCATTTCAACCAAATGAGAAACTAACTTTCTCATTTCAGAACTTAGTTTCTCAAATGAGAAACTACTTTCTCATTATTTGAGAAACTGTCCAAAAAAGATTGCAGTCTGGTTCCGGACCTTGCAGTACCATGCATATTAAATTTTTAGTATCATACGTGTAGAAGCTCAGAAGGTCTAGACTACTGTACGTATGAAATACGGTACGGCTGTACCACCCAGCCACCGGGACCGTCCGACGGTTTTCGCTCAGGCTTTAAAAACCTGTCACGACTGGTTCTCATTTAAGGGCATGTTTAAGGGCATGTTGCCGATTTAAGGGCATGTTATAAGGGTATGTTTATTAAAGGACATGTTCATTCGTGATAAGGGTGTGTTACACACCGTGTGTTCTATGGTGTTTCAATGAAGGCTTAAAGGCATGTTTCGAGGCATTGGCATGTTGAAGATTTAAGAGCATATTTAAGGGCATGTTTTCAAACGGTCCTCAGTCCTGGTATTTTCAATTTGTTTTAAATCCTGAATGAAAACCGTCGGAAGGTGCGGTAGCCGGTACTGGTACCGGGACCAGTAACTGTACCGGTAATAGTACAGCTAATAGTACCAGTTCGCTGTTCAAGCTAGATCTACTGTAGCGCTGTACATGTAGCGGTTCAGGTTGAAGATGGGAACCATGGGGACATACTGTACGGTCATAGTTCGCTCGCTGCTCAACATTCAGAGCTCATTCGGTCTGCTTGCCTGTACAGCCACGCGATTTCCTCTGTGAAAGAGCTTTCTCTCTCTGTCGGAACCTGCTTTTGCGACTGTGGTGTTCGCTCTGCCAATTGACATTGTATTTTGCATACAACCTGGCTCTAGCTAGGAGTGCAACACACACTGGATGCTCGCAAAACACAGTGATTTGCCTGTCCCCATATTTCATCATTAACGAGGTTTGATCAAACAAAAAGGAGATAACCATGTGCCAACCAAGAAGTACAAAGGATCAAGTCAAGATACCAAAAGAAGACGATGTTCCCCCAAGTTTTCTGGCCAAGCAATGGGTAGGCTTCTACCGTGCAGTTCCAAGAATAAACTTTCCCTTTACCGACCTGGATATTTCAATTTCCCTCTGCAGTGCAGCTTTCCTCACGGCGGTGCGATATACCCTTCAATTTCTCATGAGGATTCTGTTGGACTGGCCCACGGATGACATTGTGACCATTGGAAACCTCGTTGCCATTGTCCACTCCTCGACTCTGGTTCCAGGTCTGGGTGTGGCACTCACATCACAGCCATATCAGCCCACAACCCACATCTCGACATATCCACAATGGTGGCAAGATCTCGTAGACGCAATCCTGCAGTTCTGTACTGGGTACATGATCTACGACACTTGCACAACATATCTGATCTCCAAAGGACCCTTGAATCTCCAAGGAAATGACTTTCTTTTCCTGGGACACCATATTGCCGCAGCCACCTACATGACCCAGTGTCGAGTAGTCAAAGCAGGACATACATCTGCCATGATTTGGTACGTGGACCCAATCAGCTAAAACTTGGAGAGGAGAAACTGTAAAAGTCCATGATACCGGGCAATGACCAAAGATGAGGATTGTATTGCATCACTGGAATTGGCTTCTCTCGCTAACACTTGCATTTTCTATTCCTATGGTTCAATGCTCTTATAATACAAAAGCATGTTTTTGGGAGAGTTTTCCAATCCGTTTCAAAATGGTACCGATTCTCTTTTTAATGCGTTGCAGTTGCCCTGCTGCAATGGTGCTTTCACACAGCAACTTCATTCTGTTTTCCGGTTCTTCTTTGCTCTCACCTTTTTTGGGATTCGAGCCATTATTGCTCCGGTCTTCTTGGCCCACGTCACGTACTGTTTGCTATTTGCAAGCACAAGGAGGAATATCCCCTTTGTGATTCGAATCTTTTGGATATTGATGATTTGGGGAGTTGAGGTGGGAGGTTATGCTTGGATTGTCAAATGCTGGTACATGCTGCAGACATTTGTTGGGGTTACACCTGCTGGGGAAGTGGGAAACGAACTATAGATTCGCAAAACAAGTCAGCTATATACTATTTAGACAAAACACCACTGAAAGGAACATCACACAAAACATCAGACACATTCTGCCTGGATATATAGAAGCACTATAGAACAAATAGTAGCATTTCTATTCGGTGCATTGGCAACTTGCGGTTGTGCATTGGCAACTTGCGGTTTTGCGGTTACACACAAATTTTGCAAGGACCACAATGCAGCAGGGAATATCGGACTGGCCCTAATCATTGAAATGTTGATATGATTCTGTGGGTTGAAGAGTTCCCCAGACTCTGCTGTTTGACAAAAATTGTGTAAAAATGATCATTCATTCTTGGCACAGGCCTCCACAACTCTATCAATACATACTAGCAACTTGTGGCATTGCGATCGTGACAAAGGTTTGTAATCCAATGAGTATATTCACCCACGGGGACATTCAGTTCCTTAGCCACGTGATCGATGAGGGTGGCAAAAAAGTGGATGTTCTTGACGTAGATGTTGGCATTCTGCATGCGTACAATACCGGTGCACTTGAGCTTTCCATCCTCAAGGTAAAAATGAAGCTCTCTACAGCACTTGTTCTGCCCCTGATCAGTCCAGTCAATGGTCTGGCTACCCACTGTGCTGTAAGGGATGGGGATGACTCCACGCTTGCTGAGAGGCTCCGTTTGAAGGCAATCTATCAAATTCTTCATCTTGGCTTGCATCTGAAGCGAAAAGAAAAGACGCATTCCGTTAGAGTACAGTATGCCATACAGCAAGACTTCGATTTCCATGTATTGTAAGCCTTAAGCACTGACTCCTTCACGATAATCCCCTTGGGCTCCTCCTCTCTCGGCTAGTTGCCAGGTGTCATACTCTTCCTGGCTGTATTGCCACCCCATGTTCTTCTTCGTGTAGTACTCGAGCGCTCCCTTTGGGAACAACTCTGTCTCACTATGATATCAGCGGCAGCGTTGAGATTGATGGCATACATATTCAAAGCCAAGAAGATGAGGACATATTTAGCCCTGCACGTACACAGTTGATGCCTCCACGCTAATATCTTCAATGACACCAACAAAATTACGGACAACATACTCGCCCCCTGGCTTCGTTATCTCCCTCAGGTGAGCGTACATTTCCTTAGCTGTTGGAAAATGAGGGTATGCCGTGTTGAGATTCTTGGAGGGAGCGCATTTTGGGGGAGACGACATTGTGGTACAGTACGGTAGTGAGACTTGGAGGAAGACAAAGGGCGACTAGCCACGATGAGTTGGCTGTAATTCTATGTTGGTGCCGCAGACAACAAACACACTCTTGATTGCCGCTTTCCTCGTCCTCGAAGATGGTGGGAAAGGGCGTGAGGCTCCACGGAGTTCTTTCATGGGACTGGTCCAGTCACTGGGTCGCAGCAGGCAGAAAAATAATTCAAAAAGCAACACTTCAGGAGCGCCTCCCCTCCAAACAGCTTTTGAAATACATGTATGCCCAACAGCCCAACAGCGCTGCTAGACTAGTACTGTACCGATACCACTACCACTACCTGGTAGTCAAGATGCCACCAATGACAGCGACTCTACTAGCTAGACTATTGCAAAAGCACAAGTTTACTCCAATAATGGCATCCAAGAAGCTGAAGAAGCATGCATCAACATCACCTCCCAAAGCGTCGCTGCCATGGAAATTCCCAGCATGAAAAAGCACCAAGGAACGAAGTACCGCCTGCCATGTTCCGTGACCATGACAAAAGGGCTGGGAATAGTACCAATGGTGTTTCCAGCAAAGGGAAAAGAGACAGCGCCAACGAACGAAGTACCACCCGTCATGCTTTTACATGTACACCCCAGGATGATTTACTCTTCATTGGTACAGCGTAGCACATCATACACAACAGACACAGTGCGATGTTCCCTGTACTGATTGCCAGACCTGGTAGGCCTTGTAGGAATACCAACTGGAGAACAAAATGGGTAACCGCATCAGTGGAGTTGTAGGAAGTGAGACAATTGCTGATCTCCACAAAGAAGCACTGCTTCCAGTCATTCATTATGACAACCATGCAACCCTTCACAACAAAGCCATCCAAGAAGCAGCAGTGCAGTCAGACTTGCCTCCACAAAAAAGCACAACTGAACCAAGCATTCATGAGTAGCGATGAAGTGCACCTCCAAGCCAGCACAATGACAACCGCAAGATGGAGTTTGACGACCAACAACAGCCAAATTTCAGCAAGCTAATCACGGAAGTAAGTCTATTACGACCGTACGGACTGCCACCATTGCCGACTACCGACTGCAACTTGCTACTACATGTACAACTGTCATTGCCGACTGCTACTACCGCTGACTACTGAAACTACTGTTGCTGATTACCAATAATTTTCGACGAAACAGAATCAATCAATCGAAACTCGATGATGTGGACGTGCCACACAATAGCATAGCATTGCTTTTGTTGGCTTTGGATTGTTCACTACCAATAGCAATACCGGGACCGCACAGGAATCACTACTAGGAAATAAATAACAACGGATGGGTGAAAATAGCAAGAATAGTATACATCCAATAGGAGGATCCTCTCTTTCGATACAGTACCCGTAATCTACCAATCCACCGTCGCGACAATCAACCTGCACCATGCCACCGGGGCCCCATTCAGGAGTGCTGAGTGGCTTTGATACCCCTGGACTAAACAATAGAGCCCCTTTCAGGACTGGCGGTCAAGGTTTGGTGCGAGTAACTGAAATGATCGTAATGAAGCTACACAAGTGTACTAGTACTCTAGACTACTTTTCAATCGATTCGCCATCCTAGCGAGTGCTTGTCAACATCACCGTTCAATACATGCTGCGTCGAGCATAGTCTCGTCTCATTGTCTGTTTGGGATGATATCAGCAACCAATATCGCGCATCGATACAGATCTCACAGCCGATGCTCCTGTCATGTTGTGGTGGTTTAAATTCACTACTAGTAGCTACGGTACCTTTAAGGGGTTCGAGGTACCGTACGGATCAGTGGGGCTTGGAGGTGCTGCCAACCGCCAATGGACTTGACTGACAACTGACGCCCATGAAACAATCCGAGCTGTCCAGTACATACCCCGGCCAAAGAATGATTCAACGCTTCGATTTCGTAGCGATAGCTTATCCACTCGCATTATCCAGCTACTCACTCACATTATCTCTCCAGCCAACTCAAAAAAAAAATGCTAGCGAGCTAGATTCGATACAATTCGATTCGATTCAAGGAGCAGCAACAACGACGACGATGGTGATGGGATTGCTGCCAGTAGCATGGTACCGGTAGCCATTTGGAATGCAGCCTCCTGCCTTCTGCCGCAACCAATTCAAGGACCTTTCTGTCGTCTGTCAAGAAAGCATCTGTCTCTTCAGTGGTGCTTCATGTTTTTCGGGGTGGGGATTTTGGTACCCAATGTTCTTTGCTATTAACAACCATTGAAACCCCATTTTATCATCATTTTTATTGGGGAATTTCCATTACCAGGTGTAATTCGCCCTATAGAATTTTCTTTTTGTAGCTTTTCTAACAAATCTGCTTGAAGATGTCCTTTCAACGATCATTTCCTGTATGACAGTACTGGGAAGGTATAACATGGCCAGGCAAATCCAAGGAAAAGCCACCGGATAAAGATCATTAAAAAATGTCTTGGTACTGTTTCTTGGAGAGTGAGGTGTTGCCAAATTTTGGATCAACTAGCCCCTTACAAACCCCTTCATTAAGTCATGAGGAAACCTCACGGATTTTGATCCTTACACCCATGCTTCGCGGCAGTGCCCTGTTCTGCAGGCTTGAAGAAGACGCCGTACCCGGCACCCGGCAGCACTTCGTCGTGGATTATCATCGGTCATGGATCTTTCGTGTGCGGGTACGGTACGTGTTCCTGGGTTGGAAGATACCTTTCCAGCATCAGACGCAACAATAAAGCATTCCGCAGCCAACACGGGCCAAATAAGTTCACAAACAAACCCAGGAAAAGGTCGTGCTGGCTGGCAACGGTATAAAGGTGTGTTCATAAAATATCAAAATAAGAAAGGACCACCATGTCGCCACAGCAAACATTTGTGCACTCCAGTGGTGCTCCAATGTACATGGAAACTTCTTCTGCTCCCACAAACATTGCCACCATCAAGTACTGGGGCAAAGCTGATGCCAAGTGGAATACCCCTATCAATGATTCTGTTAGTGTTACTTTGAACCAGGATGATCTCAAGGCTGTCACTACTGTGGCTGCATCCTCCTCCTTTGAAAAAGATCGTTTGTGGTTGAATGGTGAAGAAGAGGAAGGAGCCGCCGCCAACAAGCGATTTCGGGCTTGTATTGATGGAGTGCGAGCTTTGGCTACCGCAAAAAAGGATGCTGATGGCAAAGTTCTAGTGACCAAGGAAGGCTGGAGCAGGATGAAGATTCATGTTTCCAGTTACAACACTTTCCCTACAGCTGCTGGATTGGCCAGTAGTGCAGCTGGATATGCTGCATTGGTGGCTGCTCTGACTCTTTTGTTTGGAGCAAAAGAGGAATTTCCTGGACAGTTGACAACTATTGCTCGCCAAGGAAGTGGATCAGCTTGTCGTTCTCTTGATGGAGGATTTGTGGCATGGAGGAAGGGGGGCGAGAAGGCAGATTGGTCTGACAGTCTTGCGGAACAAGTGGCCAATGAAAAGCATTGGCCTGAAATTAGAGCTGTCATCATGGTTGTTTCCGATGCCAAGAAAGATACCTCTTCCACAGCCGGTATGAGCACAAGTGTGGAAACTTCCTTGTTGTTGAAACACAGGGCTGAGACTGTTGTGAGCAAGCGCATGGAAACCATTGAGAAGGCATTTTTGGCCAAGGATTTTGAAACTTTTGGACAGCTCACCATGGCTGATTCCAATCAGTTTCATGCCACCTGCATGGATACGTACCCTCCAATTTTTTACATGAATGATATCTCCAATAGCATCATCCGCATCATTCATGCCTACAACAAGTGGGCAGGGAAAATCAGGGCTGCCTACACCTTTGATGCTGGTCCCAATGCTGTTCTCTTCACCCTGGATGAGTATGCTGTGGAAGTTGGAGCTCTTATGCTGCACTACTACCCAGAGTTTGGTGAAAATTACGTGAATAATCCTGACTTTGGAATGAAGATCAAGGCATTCGACTTGGATGATGGCCTTTTGGAAGCTACTGCAAAAACTGGAAGAGAACCCAAGTCAGGTGAAGTCAAGATGATGTACTACACCAGCAGCGGTCCAGGTCCACAGAGGTTGACTGATACAATCCTCAATCTCGACACCACCACAGGTCTCAACACCTACATGTACAAAAAGTGAAGCTGCAGTTGCACCAGAGCATGCAATGCTACTGCTAGCTTGCCCTTTTTAAGTTATGTCTCTAAAATAGATGTTTGTTGTGGAATGCAACGTACATGCCACTGGTCTATCTCAACATCGAGTTGCGCTGGGTTGCTATTCAACATGATCTGGCAAGTGACCATCATTGCCTGCTCTCTCCACCATCTTTCGATAGTGCCCTGAACCAATCTGAATTAGTTCTTCGTGGGTCCCACTCTCCGCCACTCTACCGTTCTCTATAAAAGCGATTGTATCTGCATTTCGGACAGTTCTGAGACGATGCGCAATCACCAGGGTGGTCATGTCTCGATTGGTCTTCAAAAGCTTGTCCAATGCTTCCTGCACTGCTTGTTCAGATTCTGTGTAGGTGCAGTTGTAGGTACGGGCAGCATTAGAACGACGTATTAGGAGGAGTGACAGTCGATCACGCTGTTCTCTGGTGATGTTACAATCAACAGACTAGTCATACGCCGAGACTTACCAGCATCCAAGGCAGAAGTTGCTTCGTCTAACAAAAGCAGAGAGGGCTTTTTGATTATGGCTGCATTGACAGGACGAGGAGAATGAAGTGGTCAGACTTGGCACCAGACTTGCCAGCAGATCAACAAAAGCTACAGGTAATAGAAGCCTACCTCGGGCTATTGCCACTCTCTGTTTCTGGCCTATTGTTTGAGGACAAATCATGCTTTGTTAGGGAAACGATAGACAGGGAACGCAAAGTTACACAACTCTACAAACAACCCAGCTTACCTCCACTTAGTTGTATTCCTCGCTCGCCAACTTGCATGGGTGGAAGAGAACATTGTCAGAGTCATGGTCGCGGCAGCTCGTAGCCAGGCATCAGAAGGTTTAGTCAGTGGCTCACCATCGGTTTCCAAGCCATCCGGGAAAGAATTGATAAAGTCAAGCGCGTTCGCCATTCGTGCTGCTGCTATTGCGTCTTCTCGTGTCGCTGAGGGGCAGCCATAAAGGAGATTGGATAAAATGGTGCCTTTGAAAAGAATCGGGTCCTGTGTTACAATGCCAATGCGCCGACGGTGTTGTTTGACATCCAAATTTCGCAAATCATCCCCATCGATTTGAATGGACCCAACTGCAGCATCATAGTACCGTTGTAGGAGCCCCACCACTTAAAATGGACAGAGAAGCAGCCTGTTAACGAAACTCGTCCATAGCAAGGTCCCTCGACGCACTCAGGGTCAAAACGTGTATCTTACCCGTACTCTTGCCACAGCCTGATCAATTGGATGGCCGGAGCAGCACGAGAAAATATCAATTAGTCAGTTGGCACGTTTTCAATACATTTGCTGCAGTACTAAACGGAACCGTTGCCACCGTACCTGACGACCCAACAAGTGCAACGGTCTTTCCCTGTGGCACTTTGAGACTGAAATCTTTCAACACCACATTGTCTGGTCGAGTTGGGTACGAGAACCTGTTGATTTGCCACAAGGACGGGGAGAGAAGCAACGGCAAGTTGAGCAATCTTCGACAAGTTGAGAAAGCCTTGGTTGGAGGATGTCAAGGACTGAAAGTCTCCAAAACTGCAAAAGAGCTCTTCGACAAGGAAGAAGGATCAAAGCGCTCTTTTAATCCTTCTCTAGATGATATGGTCTGCAGCTTACTTACCCCACGTTGCTGATTTCAACGCTGCATGGAGCGTGTGAATTGTCGCCTTCAGCTTGAATAGTGTTGTCACCTTCCGTTTGGTTGTTGCTTGTCTGATCAGTTGACGAAGCTTCTTCAATCTCTGAAGCCAAAACGGTGGTGCTACCAGTTCCTGGTGCAGCTGGCCGGCGATCCAGCAATGCAAAAACCTTGTCTCCTGCTCCGGAGCTCTTGACTAGTGAGGTGTAGGATTGAAACAAGTTCATTGTTTCGCTCTATGCAGCAACCAAGGGTTGGTTCAGACAAAATCCGCGACAACTTCTCCAAGATAGTTCAAAAGCGCTCGCTCACCTGCAGCTGTCCCTGATATAACATAAAGGCCAAAAGAATCTCTCCAGTCAATTTTCCATGTTGAATGAGAGCCGTTCCTATCAGCAACAGCGTGGCTTGTACAACCGTGTTGATGAGGAAGGTACTGACTGCCATGTAGTACACACCACTGATATATAGCTGGAAGGTTGAGTGGCAATGTCAGGAGTAGGAAAAATGACGTGCAGTGACAGTTGAAAACTGATAGGACTTGACTCGGATAGGGTGCATCGACTTCCTTACCTGTCGAACATTGAGCCTGTACTGATGATCAATTCTCTCCTTGTACTTGTGATACTCTTGCTGCTCTGATGCAAATGAGATGACGGTTCGAATACAGGAGAATGTTTCCTGTGCCACATGATTGGCAGCTGCCAAAGCATCCTGAACCTCTCTTGCATTCTTGTTGAGCCAATTGCCATATACTTTATTGACGAGTGCCACTGCTGGAATGATGGTAAGGGCAAAGCCTCCCAGAATAGGACACCGTATGAGCATGTATGACACAATTCCTGAGATTCGAACGACGGACTCGATACTAAAGCGGAAGAACCAGGTCAAGTCTATCGTGATTGTCGAGAAGGATTGTAAGCAGAGGCATGCAACATCAATTTGATACGACGAGTCGAGTCGAGTCGAGTCCCTCATTAATTCTTACCTCCCGCCATTTCTCCGCAATCTGAATTGAGCCTTGATGCCAACTCTCCCGAAGTGGTCTTGTCAAAGAAAGCCACTTCTTGTTTGAGTATGGAACAGAATGTGTCAATTCGAACACCCCGTACGATTCTCTGATTGGCGTATCCAAAGAGGAAGACACACCAAAAGTCCAATGCGGCGTCAATGGTCTGTTATTTTTGAAGTGCCAGCCGTGAAAAAAGGTTATAAAGAGATGAGAAATCGAGATGTGAATGATTGTTGGTTGCATTCTCTTTCTAAAGAATATACATGTGGTACTCACCCCCAGTATGAACAGTAACAGAATTTCTTTTCGAGCTCCTTCAAAGTCAGCTCTTGAGACTGCAGCCAATGTGGTACTCACGAAATGTGGAATCGACAATGAAAACGGTAGACGGACTAGCAGCACAGCACAACCCACGTAGAGATAAAAGACTTGTGGTTGTGCCAATTTCAAGAGTCTCATGGTCCCCCGAATCCGAGAAGTCGGCTGTTCTTCTTGTTGCGTTTCAGTGTCTTGAAGCGTATTGTCATTATTGTGTTCCTCCTCCTCGTGTTGCTCGGATGCCAAGAGAGGCACTCTTGCAGGGTCATTGTCGCTGGATTCTACTAGAAGTGGCTCTTCACGTGGTTGTTCCGGCTGCCAAAAGGATATCATCATGGCAATCAAAGTGGATATGAGCGTGATGGCCCCAGTGGCAATGACAATGGATGCTTGCGTGGTGGTGCATGACTGATCATCATGGTGGTCTGTTGTGGAATCCGAAGCAGTCCTATCATCGACGAGTCCTCCAACGACCATCAAGAGGCCCAGGATACATAATGATGCCAATGCGGATCGAAACTTGTCCAAAATGGCAGCATGCTGGGAATTTTGAGCGACTAGAATTTGTCTTGTGGTGGTTATGGCTTCTGGTTGGTTCGTGAAACTGCTGTGGAGCAGGATCCCCAGTGGGTATATGAGAACCAGACAGGATAACACTTGGCCCAAGAGGACCGATCCCACCAACCGTGCCATTCTGACATCCAGAATGGACGATGTCGATTCTTGGAAGAGAAATCGTTCGGTTTCTTCCTCTTTGTCATTGCTGCTGCACGACAGCAACCTTTCCAGGAATGCAACGGGAACAACAAATAAAAAACATCCAGCAGTAAAGAGGGATATCAAGGGAATGGAGATCAAACTGATGGCGGCTGTTGCTTGGCGTTGGTTCATCAAGACAGTAGCAGTGCGCTGTGAAGCAGTAGTCGTGGTGGTAGAAGGGGGCATGACTGTCACTCTTATTGGTGTCGATAGACATACATACGGCGCCTCTTGGATTTGTTGTGTATCGCCGCACTGTCGTCGTCTTCTTTCGTACGGTATGTGTGCTGCCTTTGTGGATCCAACCGACAAAATAATTGTTCCACGGTTGGATCTTTGAAGCATCAGCTTTGCTGTATTGAATCTTGGTCTTCCGGGTGCCGACGTCCGGTTTGACACCTCTGACGTCATGTCGACAGCTGAGCGATGAGGAGCACCACAGATCACAAACCAAGGCAAGGCAAGGTACTAGACTAGTAAGGTAAGGCAAGGCAAACCGCCTCCACCCACCACGAAACATCCTTGCATGATATTAATAGTAGAATAGCCAAAGACAGATAACACGATGAGACGGACAAAGGAGCTATCAGTGATTCTACTTTCACTGCCATTAGGCTTGCTACCCCATTTGATATCGAGCTTTGACTTGCACCTTATCAATCCACTCTATCGTTCCCGATCGTTCGTTCCGCAATCATTACATAGCACAAGATCCTCCGACAATGATCAGAAGCAGCGCCAGGATATCTCATCAAAGTCTGGGAAAGACAGTACCGAAAATGTCAGGCTTGTCAAGAACAATAAAGCAAGTCCAGGCGTGGTGAATGCCCGCTATGTCGCTGTCATGGCGCTACTCGCAGCCAGCAGTTCCGAAGCCTTTTCGTTGAGACGATTGGAACAAGATCAAAATTATCTTCAACTGGAAATTAGAGATCGACGTTTTGCAAGAATGTTGGTGGCCACTGTCGAACGACGCAAGGGACAGATTGACAAGATACTCAAGCACTGCATCACTAGCAACACCAGTAAACGAACAACGCCCAAACAGCAAAACGCAATGGACGCAGAATCCATGGTATATGCTGCACTGCAAATTGGAGTGGTGCAGCTAATCTTCCTCCAAACACCGCCCCATGCAGCTGTCAAAGAGACTGTGGATGTGCTTCGAATGAATCGCAGAATCAAAGTATCGTAAGTACCTACAACAACACCGTCATTCTGGTTTCAGACCAACCTGAGTGCGGCTCATTCTCATTTATCTTTTGTTCTATTTATTACAGAAAATCCAAGATCAGCCTTGTCAATGCTGTACTGAGACGCGTCCATAGAGAAGCTCAAGAATTGGACAGCATCACTTCTCCAATCGACAATATTGCTCCCTGGTTGAGGCAGGAATGGTTGGAGTCATGGGGACCCGAAAAACTAAATGCAATCACTGAAGCGGCCATGACGGAATCCCCAGTCTACATTTCGGTAAACAACAATAACCAAGAAACACAAGATGACATGTTGCAGTCGACCCTGGAGGCTTTTCTACAAACAGCAGCCAGAAACAATAGTGAGTCAACAGAAGATACAGCGGAGATCCTACCTCACGGATCTATTCACATCAACAAATCATGCTTTCCAGGGCCCGTATCGCACTGGCCACTCTATCAGGAAGGACATTGGTGGGTACAGGATGCTGCTGCCACTCTACCCGCCCTGGCACTCTACAATTCACTTCTTGACAAGAAACACAAACAAGAAATCAATTCAGACAGTATTGCTCCCAATGACATGACTGTTGTGGATCTCTGCGCGGCACCGGGTGGCAAAACCGCTCAATTGCTCTCACTTGGATTTCCGTCTGTCACGGCTGTGGAAATCAGTTCACGAAGAGCTAGGCAGTTACAGACAAACCTGGAGCGTCTGGGATTGAAGTGCCAAGTAGATGTCGCGGATGGCACTACATGGATGCCACCACAATCATCGAAGAAGATTGCAGGGGTACTGTTGGATGCGCCCTGCTCTGCAACTGGGACTGCCAGTCGCCGCCCCGATGTATTGCGAAAATCCAAACGAGACGTGAAACAGCTCTTGGAGACGCAATACCGTCTGGCGACGCACTGTATAGACAATCTACTGGAACCAGGAGGGATCCTCGTCTATGCCACATGTTCACTGCTGAAACAAGAAAGTGAAGATCAAGTACAAAAACTTTTGGATAATGAGGAGGCATCCTGCCGTGTCAAGACGATCCCGTTCCAACAGGGAGAAATACCCGGATTTGATCAAGCCATTGATGAACACGGCCATTTGCGGGTTATTCCTGGAACGTTACCAGGAAAACTAAGCACTTGCGATGGCTTCTTTGTAGCTCGTTTGCAAAAGCAATAATTTTTTTACCGCGGGCGAACATGGTAGCAAAAGCATGCACCAGCTGTCTATTAGTCCAGTAAGCTAGCTCGAAAATAGGTAACTTCAACGATTTCCTTTGACGGTTCCGGCAAGCACACGAACAATCGAGATAGAGAGCCTTTACCAACGTCAGGACCCACCCCAGGTCTATCTCCAGCCCCCCTTCCTGGTCAGGACCTACACCAGGCCCCACTCCTGGAGTTCATCCGGGACCTACGGTACAGTACTGTGCTCATGCCCAACAGCTGGACCTGCTCCAGGTCCAAGGGCCCACACCAGGACCAACGCGTGGAACTACATGAGTCCTTGTGAAAGGCAAGCAGCACTATCGCCATACTGTTGCAATGGGAAATCTCTATGTAGCTATCGGACGATGGTGCAACCATATTATTATCACGGGTGGACACTTTTATGGGTTGCTGGGGCAACTGACTATGCAGCTTTCCCACGTCTCCTCAAGCATACCGGTACCGCTAGGGTGGTTGATTGAATGGTCCCAAGTGTGGCACTCAATAAATGCTGGCTTCCTGCTTTGCCTACACTGAATGGAATCAGAGTAGTAGTTAATGTAATCGCATTCGATTTCCTGATGCTTCGTTACACATCCCGAGGACATCCGAAGGGTCAATCTGTTGGGACCAGTGTACTAATGCTCAGACTGCTACGCTGTCCAGATTTCCTCATCCGAATAGACAAAGTCCTCTTCGTCAAAGTCCTCATCCTCCAGCATTTCCCAATCTTCCAATTCTCCAAAGCCCACAAATTCATCCACATCCTCATCCAAGAATCCACCCTTGGAGAAGGGACGCCATGGTCGCTCTTCCTCTTCGTCGTCTTTGTCATTGCCATCTCTTGCAGCTTCTGCTTCCAGCAACTCGGGAGGGAGGTATACATTGGTGAGTCCTGGCGAAAATTCAAAATCAAACTTGTCAATCATGACAAGATCGCCATCTTCGGCACCTCGGGTTTGAAGCTCTGCCGAAATGCCCAATGCCTCCAACTGTCGTCCAAATCGTTCCACCGCCTGTGGATAATCCCAATGCGTCATTTGCGCAATATGCTCAATGTAGGATCCCGAGACACGCCATTGACCAGGGTAAGACGGGTCGCTTATGATTTCTGCAGGAAGAATTAGAAGAAAAAAAGAAAATGGTGTAAGCAAGTGTCAATGCGTGTGTTTCCGTCTTGTTCTGCTACTGCTAAATAATAGTGAATGCACTCACCAAAGTCATCACAATCATAATCCAATCCAGCCTTGGACAGATCGATTTCAGGAGGAGGCGGCAAGTCTGCTTCTGGTTGTGCCGATACAAACTTTTTGAGTCTTCCCATGAGTTCCTTGACTCCTTTTGTGGTGACTGCAGAAATGGATAATATTCTTGTGTGTCCTGCCGCCTGTTTGAGAGCTTCCATCAATTCTTCTTGACGCTCCTCGTCAATACAATCGTTTTTGTTGAGTACCACGACCTGTTTCTTTTGCGCCAAGAAAGTGTCGTATAGTTGCAATTCTTTGTTGATTGTATGAAAATCTTCAATGGGTGTTTCCGATGTTGCATCTACGACATGCAATAGCACTTTGCATCTCTGAACATGCCTGAGAAATGCGGGTCCCAATCCAGCGCCCCCAGCCGCTCCTTCAATGAGCCCCGGGATATCGCACAATACCAATCCGGCTCCTTCTTCTCCCAAATCGCAGACACCCAAATTGGGCACCACGGTGGTGAAGGGATAATTGGCAATTTTTGGCTTTGCTGCCGATGCAGCTGCCAGGAGTGTGGATTTTCCGGCATTAGGTTTTCCTAGAAATCCCACATCAGCGACAAGACGTAGTTCTACTGCAAGCCATCGTTTGACTCCCGGTTCTCCTCGTTCTGCCAATTTGGGACTTGTCATTCGATTGGTCATGAAAGCCTGGTTTCCTCGTCCACCTCTCCCTCCCTTGGCAACGAGGAATTTCTGTCCATGATCTCTCAGTTCTCCTGCCAATCGATTCGTTTTCAAGTCTCTGACGACCGTTCCTGGTGGCACTCGTACCAAGACATGCTTTCCCTTTTTTCCATCTTTGCTTTTTCCAAGTCCGTTTTTCCCTTTGGCCGCACGAACATGGACTCGATTGCGAATGGGTGCCAGCGTATTCAAGCCTTCGTCACAGACCAAGTAGATGGATCCACCCCGACCACCGGATCCACCCGAAGGTCCTCCTCGTGGTTCTCCTTTTTCGCGACGAAATGCCACACAGCCCGTGCCGCCATCGCCACCCGACACGTGCATGCGGGCCGTGTCAAAAAATTTCCATTCGGGATCATCTCGTTGTCCGTACTGATTCTGTTGTGGTGCAGTAGGAGTTGGGTCTGGTGGAGTACTACCAGTATCGTACCACGAAGGTGGAGCCGTCTCTCGGGTTGCCATGTGCAATCCAACCGCATGGTGAGCGGATCGTTGGGGTGGCGAAAAGGCAGACGATGCATGGATCAAGACCAGTAACAGCAATGGCCCCGCAAGGCGAGCAAGCGATGGTCTATAACAGCCACTCGTCGTCATCTTGATCGACACTTGACTGAATAGATAAATGATACAAAATTGAGGGTGGCTTATTACTCTAGCTTGCTATTACGGTGTTGTATTAGTCCAGCAAATAAATGGATCCACAACAAAGGAAGATGATTGAGAACCGTGGTTTTGGGTTTCGGGAGTGGGTGGAGGACGTTGACACCCCGAATAATGGACTGACGTATGAAAGCAATTTTCGGCAGAGCCCTCTTCAAAGGTGCCTGTTTGAAAGTGTCAATGACTGCGTCTCGACTCCCTAATTCCTCAGCAGCACTTCTCTTTGGGAAAAAGAAGTTTTAAAAGTGAGATTGAAAAAGAAGCACCAACTTTTGGCAATTTATACCACCAGAAGCATTAAAGAAAGTCATTCACTAGTTTATTTGTTTAATATACCGTTTTTCGATGACCAAATATTACTTAAGACACTAGTTTGATACCGGTACCGTGGTCACAAAGACAGAAAAGCACGATCTTACTTCTCTGTGCGCTCAAACAAGCAACGGAAGAAGCAGATCGAGCACTTCAGAACAAAGAAACCACAAACCTTTTGTTCCCTTTTTGTTTCCAAATTGCACCCTCACAAAAAGGACGCTTGCATCCGAATCAGTGCATCAGAAGAATCGACATGCCGCCCTTTGCTGCTGTGCCGCATCACTCACCCATGGCGCAACCCCGTCCACTACGAGGCAGGAGAAGGTACACGACAGGTGGTGAGCTCCTTTGCTCTACTTCAGATGCCTTGGAAAAGTTCAAGAACCGCCCAAGCGACCATTACAGAATTGAGAACCAATATGGCTTCACGACTACTAGTACTAATACATGTTTGGAAGACGAATCCCTCCATTCGATTGCCAGTGAACAGCCAGCCACACGACGCAGTGGTGGTCGGGCAGCTCCCATGACGCGAGGCAAGATGGAGCACAAACGATCCAGTTCTCTGACCGATATGAGTCGTCGCCATCATCGCTTCAAATTGAAGGAAGAAGTCCCACAGCAGTCAGGGGCGTTTGCATCGATTCGGGCCAAGTACCTAGATGCTGCTAAGGTCACCAGTGAAAAGGGAATCTTCTCGAGGGCCGAATTGACGGAAGTGGGTCAAATTGACGAGGAAACCAAGAAAAAGACGGCCATTCGGAGAAAGTTGCCGCTTCGAACGAGATCGAAATCCTTGTCGCAGCTAGACCAGAAAAATGGAGAGGTCGGGAAGAGAGCTAGAAAGAAAATCCAAGAGGCTTTCCAAGAACCCAAGCGATCCTCCGTCTCGACAGTGGAAAGTCGTAGAAAGGTGCCACAGAGAACTAGATCCAGGTCTCTCACCAGTTGGACCAAAGGGAAAAAGCCACTAGAGTGGAAGAAAACCATGGAGAAAGTCAATCAGCCAACGTTTAGAAACGAAAGAACCTACGACCAAGGCAGAGGCAAAGGCCAAAACAGAGACGCCAGCCACGACTAGTAGGAAATCATCTGTCAAGCCTTCTGATGCTGAAACTGAAACGGTTGACACCAGTGCGACATCGGTACAAGGATCCTCCGTCTCAACAGTGGAAAGTCGTAGAAAGGTGCCACAGAGAACTAGATCCAGGTCTCTCACGCAGTTGGACCAAAGGGAAAAAGCAACTAGGAGTGGAAGAAAACCATGGAGAAAGTCAATCAGCCAACGTTTAGAAACGAAAAAACTACGACCAAGGCAGAGGCAAAAGCCAAAACAGAGACGCCAGCACGACTAGTAGGAAATCATCTGTCAAGCTTCGGATGCTGAAACTGAAACGGTTGACACCAGTGCACATCGTACAAGGATCCTCGTCTCAACGTGGAAAGTCGTAGAAAGGTGCCACAGAGGACTAGGTCCAGATCCTTACCAGTTGGACCAAAGGAAAAAGCGCTGGGTGGAAGAAGACAATGGAGAAAGTCAACAGCCAACGTTTAGAAACGAAAGAACTACACCAAGGCAGAGGCAAAAGCCAACCAGAGATGCCAGCCACGACTAGTAGGAAATCGTCTGTCAAGCCTTCTGATGCTGAAACTGAAACGGTTGACACCAGTGCAACATCGGTACAAGGATCCTCGGTCTCACGGTGGAAAGTCGTAGAAAGGTGCCACAGAGACTAGATCCAGGTCACTTACACAGTTGGACCAAGGAACAAATCTGCGCTGGGTGGAAGAAGACCATGGAGAAAGTCAATCAGCCAACATGGAGAAACAGCAGAACCCACGACCAAGGCAGAGGCAAAGGCCAAAAAATCATGGAGGAGGCCATCCCAGATTCCCAAGCAAGACGACGACAACAACAAACCCTTGCCAGAATTTGTCAAGATTGCAAACCGAAGACAAACTTGGGTTGGAGTTTCCACCAGCACTTCTCAGGAACAAAACAGAAAACCAGAGGCACAACAGAAGATGCAACTCAATTTGCCAGAATTCGCCAGGATTGCCACCGACGACAGACTTGGGTTGGAGTTTCCACCAGCACTTTCCAGGAACAAAAGCAGAAAGAGCCAGAGGCAAAACATGAAGATGCCAACTCTAATTTGCCAGAATTCGCCAGGATTGCCAGCCAAAGACGACAGACTTGGGTTGGTACAGCCACCAAATTGGAGCAAACAAAGGAAGAATCTCCAACCAAGGAAGACGTTCCAGTGGTATCCAGAAAGTCATGGAAAGTGCCATCCCAAATTCCAAAGCATCAACAACAAGGCGATACAAATTTACCAGACATTGCCAGGATTGCCAACCGACGATCTTCTGCTGCTGCGCCTCAAAGTCGAAGCAAGGTACCTCAACGAACCCGATCTCGGTCATTGACACAACTGGATCAACGCGACCAGCAAGACGGTACGACTTCACGAAGGAAGTCGTGGAAGAAAAGACCTTCTCAACTCAACGTCATCAGACAACAAGAAGACCAATCTACCAATTTGCCAGACATTGCCAGGATTGGGGCCAGGAGATCGAGTAGCAATCCTCAAAGTTTTATTGCCGCAAGGAGGGCTTCTTGGTTGAAGGGAAAATCGCAAGAAGAAGAAGCGGAAAGCAAGGTTGGCCAGCATGCCGCTGTCGAAAAATCATGGAACAAGCCATCAACAGCAACGGATGAAGACGAAAAGAAAGACGAGGACAAGAATGACAGGGAAGAACAAGTGGCCTCGAGAGGGAGAGATGCATCCCCCCGAGAGAGCCCGGTCGAGGTGGAGACTGCTGAATTGGTCGCGCCACGCCGACAACCCAAAAGAGGCGTCGCTAGAACACGATCAAGGTCCTTAACGTCGTTGCGAAAAGACAAGAGCGAAGATGGAACCGTTACCCGGACCTACCTCGACTATCCCAAGCGCAACAAGTGGGTACCACGGACGGTCAGGTGTGCCACCAAGATCCAGACAGTTGCGCGACGCTTCCTTGTGCGCTGGCGGTTGATCAAAGAGAAGAATGCCGTCAAGATTCAAACCGTTGCCAGAGGATTCCTCCAGCGTCTGCGTTGGATCACTCGAAAGCCCTGGCTGCAAAAGAAAAAAGTTGAAAGAAAAAAGGAACGGGAGCTCGCAAGGATTGAAAGGGAAAAACGGATCGCCATGAATGGTTTCAAGTACGAAATGGAGGACCAGGAGTACGAGAGAGAGAAGCAGCTGAAAGCTCTTCGGAAGGAGAAGGCTTCACTTGAGAAGCAGATACTTGTTGAAAAAGAAACCAAGCAGGCCATCAGAGCTGACATAAACAAGGAGAAGGAAGAAGCGGAGAGGCTCGCGGAAAGGAGAAGGACCGAATCGGCCATTACCATGCTTCAAGCCACTGCTGTGACTGGCGTTCACACACAGCAGGCTGGGTCAAAGAAACGAGCGAAAGCCTACAAAAAGGAGATAAAGTCCACCCGACGGGAGATTAGCGTAACCCAGGAAATGTGGGATCGAGAGAGGCAACACAAGCGACGCATTGAGAAATGCATGCGGTCAATTGTATCGACTCTTCGGGAGGAGGACGACGAACTGGCTGATTTCATTGCCAAATACAGTGGAGTTGACGTCGTCTAGCTAGGCGAAAAACTCGCACAATTGGGCCAATTCGCTCGTAGACGTATAATAACTGTTGTACAACCAGTGTTCTCGATGATGATATTGCGACACAATCGTGCTTATCCTACTCTGACCCGACAACTCTTTTCGAAGAGAAAAGGGAAGGAAAGTAGCTCTGCCACAAACGGAAAGACTCTGCAGCTCTATCCAAAGAGACCCACGCCAATGCCTTTGTTTCGCGTGGGACCGAGCTCCAGGTGTCGCTAAGTCCAGCCACGACGGTTTCAGTCAAAGTAACCTTCGTGGTGGATTGTTCAGAGTTTCTCCCGCTGCCCGACAACCATGAAATGGGGGCCAATATGAAGTTGATGATCACGTTTCCATAGTGATTCACTGATGTGGATAACGCCGTGGCTCCGGTCGTTACCCATGCATATGTGGATTGGATGTTTCCAACAAGCCAAGCGGTTGTCGTCGTTGCTGCTTTGCTAGCAGCCTGACTTGTGTACTTCATCTGTGCGACAGTACGCTGGACGAGGTGGAATGGAAGCAGCACGGTAGTGAATACTGCTTCAACGGCGGTTGAGATGGCACGAAATGGCAAGGTGATCACGTTCCACAAGCGATCTGTGAGTCTCGGACTCGGCTGTAATGAGCGGGCCAATCCAGATACTGCTTGATCCAAAACTTTTGCATCCTGCTCGGATGACCTCGCGTAGCCCAATGACATGACAGAGAAAAAAAGAAGCCCAACTCCTGCTGCAGCAAAAACTAATCGCGGGAAAAGGAACTGAGTGTGAGAGGCCACTGGCATAAAACCATGCATGGTGGACATTCTCGTGCAATATCTTACGTATTGTCATTCCGGGCTGCACGGCGTATGAAAGCGTGTTGCGCAACGCCTCACCAGCCGTACGCTGTACCACATCGTCTCCCACAACATCTGTTGCAAACTCCATCGAATGATCAAGAATATCGGGGTCGTTTAGTGCGTTGTGGGCGCTTTCCGTGAGAAGCGTTTTCGTCGCATCAAGGACCTACGATTGCAGAATGGAAGAGTGAGGGAGATCATGGCGCAATTCCAATTGGGGCCTCATTTTCTTACCTCTTGGTCTTCACCCAACTTCTGCAGCATTCGAACGAGCTCTTCCAGAACCTCTTCATCTTCCACAATGTCCAGCACCAGTTTCTTGACTGCTAACCGAATATCGGGGTTTTCGATTGCTGCATTGAGTAGGAAGATGACTTGTGCCGCCGTCTCTGGATCTTTGATCAGGTCATTCCATAATTCCTTCAGCAACTTTTGACAGGCGGCCTTTACCTGGTCTGATTGCACAATTGTAACAACAAACTTGATAGCCTGTTCTTGAAGTGACTTGCTGGCCAGGACATCGCCAATGACGGTGTGGACCACACCCTTATCTTCCAGGCTCCCTTCCGAGATTTTATCCAAGAAATCACGCTTAACTATTCTTGCCATGTCAACCACTTGGTCGTCAGTGTCTAGTTCATCATATTCGTTGTCAGACCGACGCATATACTGTCCCATGATGGGAGCAAGTATTATCAGTCCAAGCAAAACGACGATAGCATATGTGGCTATCTCATCCCCTAATTGCCCTTGAAACTCCGCCACTCTTCGAAGACGTGCTGTAGTACCAAGGAGAAAGGTCCTGGGATCCAGTTTTTCACGCTGCCCTTCCCCAGAAGATTCTTCCTTCGATGTTTTTGCCTGATCAGCAGCGGTGTTTTGGGTCCTCTCCTCGGCTGAGGTTCGCCTGTTACCATCGCTTCCTGGTTTGCCATCAGATGATAGCCACCGAATTGCTGAATTTTGTGAAAGGTTTATGCAAGGCGGTCTGGCAAGATCCTGGCAGTACAAAAACCTTGGTCTCAGCCTACTAGCTCCATTAAACAGATTGGAACCCACGGGTAGCATCGGAGAGATGGAGGATGCCGAGGACTTTTGCAGAACCATTTTCTCAGACAAATTGGAAGCAGCCGTCCAAACCCTGTCTGGAGGTTTTCCCCCACCTAACGTCTCCAGAGGAGCCGAGGATGAAAGCGGCCATGTCTCTGTCACAGGGAGCGCTCGCCTCTGGACAGACTCAGGTGCAACAAGCTTGAATGAAGCTCTTCCTGTTGGTTTTGGATCTTCAACTCGCAAAAGAAGTTGGCTTGGATTCCTCCAATTCCTCTTGAGGACGAGTCTGGTCCCTACAGAGAAAGGGGACCGGAGCATCTCTGCCCTCCTTCCTTGTCACGCACGCAAACCTTGAATCTTGCACTGAAAAACCATCCCTTTCAACGCTAGCTAGTGTCAAGCAAATTTTTCGTTGTCAAACCATTGCAAAGCAAAGTGAACTACAAATAAGCGAAAGAGGATGTGGAGCTTTCTTCCTCTTACTTAGCCTCTTACTATCGAAGCTCAATTGAATCAGACTGGGCCATTCCTGTGGTTGCCTGCGGCTGATGATGTTGTCGTTGTTCGTTGTTCGTTTCGTCTCTCATGGATCCTTGGCTGCAGCTGCGCTCATAAGGACTCAAGGCGTAGGGTTAGAGGTATCTGCATGGGACTTAACTCCCACGGCAAAGGGGTGTGGTTTGTGGTTCCACGGCCAAATTCCTCCCTCCTGAGGCGAGGTCCTATCCATTCGCCATGTGTGTCCTCCGTGCATTCGCGAAACACATTTATTTTCGTCGATTTATTTAAGCGTACAATCAAGATTTCATTCCTATCCATGTGACACACATATTGAGAATTCGCCGTACGCGAAAGAAACCTCACCTCGAATCCCCAACTCTAACGAAAAGGCGAGCAAATCGAATCGAATCGAATGGAATCGACCGTACTGCACGGTCGTACTAGCTAGCTAGCTACCAACAGACCAATCTCGACAACCAAGAAGGCTAACAAGCTTCCAATAGTAGTAGATAGGTTAATGGCTTGGTTTGGCTTGTTAACCTTCTTGGTTGTCGAGATTGGTCTGTTGGTAGCTAGCTAGTAGTAGGCTCCGCTACCGGTATTCGAAAAGACAAGCTTGCCGATTAGAGTTAGTGATTTGTGGGCTTGGTTGAGTTCGGCTGGCTCTAACGTTTTCTGATTGGTCCTTCGCGAAATCCAATTCCACGAAAGCTGCGGTACGGCGAATTGAGAATGGGAAATCAATGGTTCGCCGTACCGCAGCTTTCGTGGAATTGGAAGAAAAGCAAGCCGATTTTTACAGTTAACTCGATCTGGCGAACGAAGGGAGGAAGAAAGAGGTGCAAATAGCTGGTTAGGACCGCGCCTGGAACCCTGAACTGCCGCCAGCTTCATACTGTATTAGAAAGACGTGGACTGCATACTGCGATGGACGTGCCCAATCTCAGCAGGGTCCGGAAATGGTCACGCAGGTTAGGTCTGCTTGAAACTAACTGCTTGTTTCACGCAAGCTTGCGGGAAACTAGCAGTTTCTTGCTAGTTTCACGCAGATCTGTGTGAAACTGGTAATGGTTTCACGCAGAAAAACGGCTAGTTTCACGCAAGCTTTTACTCGTGAGTACTATGGATAGTTGCACTGTTTCACGCACGACTCAACATAGTTTCACGCAGCCGGGCTGCGTGAAACTAGTAACAGTTTTACGTGCGTGAAACTAACGGCTAGTTTCACGCAAGTCTGCGTGAAACTAGTCATCTGCGTGAAACTAGCCGTTAGTTTCACGCAGCATCCTTTAAATAACCAGTTCTCCTCTGAAGCCCGTTTCCGCACCCTACAGGGTGTAAATTGTAGATTGACGAATTAGTATATCCGTTTCGGTTTCGTCCACAGCAACTGCTCTAGAGAAGGGCTCACCTGCTCCCAAATCCTCTTACCTTATCATGACTATAGTATGTAAACAAAGCTTTGAATGTACACGTACCAGTTTGTCAGCCTTTTCCTTTCTGTCATGTTGGAGAGAGCACATTTCCTTCAGCTAGTTGTGTCCGTCCATGCCAATCTTGTAAAAATAGCCTTTAGTTAGAAGTTAGAAGAATCCAGCTCACCAGCTTCCTTGGATTGCTGTATGCCTTTCATTGCTGGTGAATTCTATCCTTTTATGCTTCTGTTTGCTGGAGTACAGTAACTTTGGTTTGGAAGCTGTGGAGCCACAATATGGTACCAGTACCACTAGAAGCGGTGATCCCCACAATCTTTGTTAGTCACGGGTATGACGTAATCAATTACAGAATCTTTTTGCGAGTTGGATCCTCTTCCTGTTCCGTTGGATTTTGATCTGTTGATTGCTGCATTGCAATCAACACATAAGGAATGTCGGGTTGAACTGTTCCTCAAAGTCTTCTATCTAGCCAACTATTAATAAGCCAACCTCAGGACAAGAAGAAGACATAGATAGTCTAAACCATGGACGAAGACGAAGTGCCTACGGCTCCTGTGTGGGTTTGGATTGTTCTTTCTTTGATCGCGGGTAAGATATCTAGCTGGTGGGTTGTGGACTTCCCGAGGTCTTCTTCCTTATCAGTCTCACAAAGAAGTGCCAAATCGGTTTTGTGTTTCTTCCTCTTCCCGGTATCACACTGGATCTTTTTTCTTCAGTGGTCTCTTTCTGGTGTCAAGCAACCGTAACAGAAGAACGATTTGTCCCTGCCTTGAATGTGATTGCGTACGAGTACAACATCCCTAATGATATTGCGGGAGCCACTCTAATGGCTGCAGGTGCCTCGTCGCCAGAATTGTTTTCTTCTTTTGTGGCTCTCTTTATCACTCATTCGGCACTGGGGCTGGGTACTGTAAGTCCAAGTTGAGGTTCCTGTACGGTGTTGTTGAATTGATTGATGGATCCATCCAATGCAGACAATTAAAAAAGGTTGTTGTCCAGTGAACTCTATGTGCTCACCTCTGTTTGTCTTTTTTCTATTCGGTGGGCAGATTGTGGGATCTGAGATCTTTAACCAGCTGATTATCTGTGCTGGGGCTGTTTTCGCTTGTGAGTTGGCCGCAGTTAGCATCGCTACCACGATGTCCACCTTCAGATTCACATCGTTTTCCCTACTGGTGGATGTGCATGTACTGATTCCTTGTCTTCTTTATTTCCTACTATGCCTATCCAATCTACACTAGCCAGCAGTGGTCGACTGCAGCTTGACAAACCGATTGTCCTGCGTGAAGTTGGATTCTACGGGCTTTCCATTGGCCTCCTGTACTTTGCGTTGAACGATCGACGCCCATCTGACGACGATGAGCTCGGGGAGGATCACATCTTTATCAACTTTTTGGATGCATGCATCCTGTTCGGAGGATACATTGCCTATGTGCTAGTCTGTGCCAACATGGACGCAATTGTCGCCTTGTTCTCAGGGACATCAAGGGCACCACCAGCCGACAGTGACAACAAGGCCAACTATGGAGCAGTGGAAGGTCTTGCCAGAGTAAGTCGGATACTCTGGGTTTTGGTACCGGTACATTAGTTGATGCGGCGACTCTTACTCACCCATTTGGAAATGACTCATCACATCGACGACATTATATGATGATATTATTAGCCCGTCAGCTTCAATCTGCCAGATATGCCATTCATGAGGGAAACCTTTGGGCACGAACCTGTTGCCAACTTTGCAGACTCGAAGCAAGCTTTCCTGCGAACTCCCGGTGGACTTGCTGTCAACGACTCCCAGAGAGGGTCATTCTCATCCATTCCTGAAAGCTTGAGAAGATTCTCCGATGGACGGTCTTTGCGGCAGTTCTTCTTTAGTGTCCGCGATGACAAGCCCAGTGATGAACATGGCTTGCATGACATCGAATTCAATGCTGTGAGTTTTTGTTGGCAATCTAATCTATGGAATATGCCTCGTAGATTGATCGGTTGCCTTGTTCATTTGTCCAAAATACTGACCAACTCAACACACCTCAAATCCTACAGAAAGAAGGTCGTATTTCCTGTTTCATGTGGCAGCGCTCCTTCTTCTACAATAAGGCTAGGTACGGTACCAATGGATGGCATCTTCGATGGTTCTCCTTCACGAAAGACGGAATGAAGTCAGTGCCTGATCGGGTCGAGTTCAAAAAGCATGGCTTGAAATACCCCAAGTTCACGCAGATTGAGTTCGACGATAAGAGGCATATCATCAGGATTGAAAACCCGGCTCACTGCAAACGACGGGAATGTAAGTGAAGAAACTTGCTTATTTGCACATCGAGTCTTGTTTGATTCTCTGCGATTGGTGAGCAGCAGTTGCTAAATCATTTGTTTTCGGAAACGGGCAGTTTTCTTCATGACACCTTCCGACGAGGTCTTCGATGCCGTAGTCGATAAGATGCAGGGTTTGGTAAAGCATTGGAACAGCGAAGAAGATAAAGCAGAGGAAGGAACGGCAGCTGGGGATTCAGAAGCAGAGGACGAGTTCGAAGACTCGGATCCTCATGTGGACATGACAGAATTTCCAGCTGATGCGTCCATTTTGGGAGTCGCCTTTTTTGTTTTCCTTTTCCCACTTCGATTCATCATGCAATGGACAATCGGAGACGTCAGGACCCTCGATAAGGAAGGAAACCCAACCGCAACGCTGGGCAAAGCATACCTCGCGGCTTTCATGTGCCTTGTTTGGTTGATCATTGGCAGCTACGCAATGGTGTCTTCCCTCGAGCACCTTGCTGATCTCATGGACATTCCCAAATCAGTCGTCGGTGTTACTGTTTCTGCAGCAGGTACTTCATTGCCAAACTACGTTGCTTCGAAAGTGGCTGCTCAGAAAGGTTTCGGGGTAAGTTTGTGTAGATGATGACATGAACCGCCACACTCTGTCACGGGGTATCTCACAATCAAGGATTCAAACCTAAACAGAACATGGCTGTGTCAAATGCGTTTGGCTCGAATACGTTCAACATTATGGTCGGACTTGGATTACCTTGGGTCCTCTACATTGCTTCGAATGGCTTCGAGCCCTATCATGGATTGCATGATGATGGCATCACAATGTCCGTGATAATCTTGGGAACCGTGCTTGCCCTATTTGTTGTCCTCGTGTTCCCATTTGGCTTTGTAATTTATCGATGGCATGGGTTTCTTTTCATTCTTCTCTATGTGGCTTATCTGGCCTATGCAATTGGTCAAGTGTACCTCTAATGAACCACTGTTCCTGTCCCATTCTTTGCAGCGGAAGCAGTGCGCTATGGAGCACTGACCGCGAATGCTTTACGGTATGACGCGTCAACTGCAACCTGGAGCCTTAGCCTGGAGTCGCTCACTGGGAACCAGCTCAATGCGAGAAAGAGCGCTCCAGAGCGGTGCGAGGAGACACGATTGTCGCTCGAGAGCGGTGCTTTCCATGTAATGTAATAAGCGACCGGATATGACAAGTTTTAGACATGTTTACTTGGGCCAGAACCGGTACCCAGACCAAAGCTACCGGTACCAGTACCAGATACCCAGACCAAAGACTTCGTAAAACGCGAACAGCTCTGCTGCTTTGACACGTCATTTTTGCTCTCTTGTTCGTTCAAGAGCGACGATCTAATATCCAATTCTGTTCGAAGCCGTCTTTGTCATCGGTCAGTTCTAACCGACAAAGCAAAGGAAGCAACATGAGATCCCACCGCAGCGTCTTCTCTCTCGCATTGATCCTGTTGGGCGTGACTAACGGTTTTGTCGTTCAAGATGCAACCTCCAGGACATGCAAGATCGGCAGCCTAAAGAGCACCGCCACAGAAGTCGATTCGGCGGTGGAAGACCTGCTTTCGTTTGCCAGAAAAGTGGGGCCAGTGGGTTCTTTGGCTACCGAAGAAGAACAAACCAAGGTGGTGGAACTTGCCACCAAATTGGCTGAGAAACGAGGGATCAGCGCGCCAGCAAAAGCATCTTTGCGCGGTATTCATGACTTGGTGTACAGCGCTGCTCCAGGAGGTAGCTCTGGAAGGTTGTTTGGACCCGTGTACGGGAAAGTTACTCAAGACTTTCTTGAAGATGACGTGACGTTCATCAATGCCGTGAAGATCGGTCCCGTGGAAATTTCATTACAGGCAGAAAAGATCGTAAAAAATGACACGACAAACATTGTGAAGTTCAAAAAGTCGCAAGTAAAGGCATTTGGCAAAACAGTTGTCGAGAAGGATATTAATGGTGGAGGTGTCTGGAAATACCTCTTCATGGGTGAAGTTCAAGATGCTGATGGGAACAAGAAGTTGCTTCGCGTAATGGAGACTCCAAGTCTTTTTGTCATTGAGCAACCCATTCCTTGATCTCTGCACGTTCGATGAAATTCCATCCGAGTGACAGTCACGTTCCACAATACCACCATATCTGCCTGTATACAGAAACAATCTATCAATCTAAAGCATCATCACTATTCTTACAGCTTTGTATTCAGAATAGCCGTGTATTAGTAATACAATGTATTGCGGGGCCGAGGGGTGTATTGTGCTTGTCAGTGCGGCCCCCCTTCTTGGCTCAATGCGTATTGCAGAAACTCTCCAAGTCATGGAAGCTTCTTTTTTCGTGGACTAGGGTTGCTTGGCAATTCTTGTCGATCTCATTGCTTGTCCTTTCTTCATGGCTTCTTCGTAACTTTACGGCGAGAACGCAGTTCCTGGACTTTCAAAACCATACCGGCTAACCGAGACCGAGCCGAATCAGGGAGCATCTTGACCACAGCCTTAGTCCGCCCAGATCCCCACATCTTCAGTGTAGACCACACCTCTCGAAATCTGACACGATCAACATCTCCACTGGGACTTCGTGCTTTGGCGCCGCCGTCGAGAACATTTCTGGCGATTGGAGCCCATTCTGAAGCCAAGTTCCAAGGGATCCCCAACCTCGACGACAAACCCTTAATCAATATAGTACTTCTGCCTGCCAAGACAAGATCTTGTGGAAAGGATTTCAACTCTCTTACGGGCGAGTTAGGACTGAGTTCGCCAGAATCATAACCTCCAGGCAACTGCTCGATAGTTCCGTCGAATAGCCACATTCCAACGGCAGCTGCAGCTTCTGGTTGGGCGTCATCGTTCAGTTCCACTCCCAGTTCTAACGCCAGCGACCCAATTCGCTCAAGATCCTCCGGCCTGTCATCACCTTCACGCTCATCCAAGGCGATCATGACTTTGCACAGAGTCTCTCTGTTTCGACCTGAAATCTGCTTGACTTGACCAAAGTCAATCAGACCAATACTGCCATCTCTTAGCACAAAAATATTTCCCTTTCGTCGTTTTGTCGTTATCAACAAGCCGAGGTGAGTAAAGATGACGTGGACACTTGCAAAGCGCTGGAAAGGCATAACCTACCGGATGCGGATCCGCTGCAGGACGAAAACGTACAGCAACAATGAGGTCAGGTCAGATCAGATCAGATACCGGTCAAGTCCCAATTTCTTCCTTGAACAAAAGCCCTGGACATGCTTACCGTGAAAGAATCCAGTTTCCAGAATATTTCTACCAAACACTTCTGTCAATGCCGTCAAGAGTTTTCTGCCAAACAGTTTAGCTTCCGGACTTTCTGGATCTATGCCGTTCTTTTCCATTTCCTCTCTGGCTCTTGAAAGAGGAACGCCGTGCAAGTAATCCATGACTAGAACTCGTTTGCTGACCAACCCTGTCACTACTCGCGGCATTACGAGAGGTAGTTCAGTTCGAGTGGATCCATCCATGGAACGAATGAGAGAATTGTAGATTCGTTCCATGTTGGTTGCTTCCGTTACAAAATCAAATTCCTGTGACAATTGCTTTTCCAGCTCTGCAAAAACCGTGTAATAATCGAGAGGTAGCGCTTCTAGGTCCTGAAACTGCTTGGCAATGACTTTGAGGTTGGCAATATCAGCCATGAGCTTAGATTCGATGGATGGTCGCTGGATTTTGACAGCCACCTCGCGGGGACCTCCATATTTCTCTGTGAGTACGGCCCGATGAACCTGGGCAACAGAACTGCATTTTGTACGGGGCATGATAATATATGCAGCATGGTGAGTAGAGAGAACATTGTGCTGTTCTGAAATGATGCCTATTGAACATTGCAAACTTACGCAGCTCCCAGTGGAGCCTCATCGAATTCCGAAAAGACATCTTCAAACTTTTCTCCGGGCATCAAAAGCTCTTTGGCAATGACGGCACGGGCCAAGGCAGTTGGCATGGGATCTAGATTGTCGGCAAAACCACTAAGGGCATCAATGTATTGTTTGGGGAATAGATCTTGTCTTGCCGAAATGATCTGTGCTGTCTTGACATAAAATCCTTTGAGATCGGTAATGGTTTCGGCCAACTTTTGAGCCCCATCTTCGTGTTGAGCAATCCAAATTTTCTGGGGGGGAGCGAAAGCAAAACAAACGTGAGAAAAATGAACCCCTTTTAAAGTTGCTCCTTCATGTTCCACACCTCAATTTCTTCATCATCCAATTCCTGCCCCATCAGTTCTCGCATTTTGGTCTTTCCAATGATTCCATAGTAGTTAGCCACAATGGGGACAGCCGTGGACCAGAACGTAGCAGCCCGCTTGAACCGGTCTATTTGACTCAGAGGAGGCGGAAACTCGACAGAAGAAAGATCCAAGTTGTCACCATCGCCCGACGAAGGAATATTGACAGAGCGAAGAGGGGTATCCACCACGGAAGCAAACACAGAAGTGTCGACCGAGTGTCTGCTCTGAGGAACCACAAAGGCAGAGACAGAAGAATCTGTCACCAACCAAGACGCCACAAGAATGCTCAACGGAGGAAGTCTCATGGTTGCAACCAATTTGTTAGGACCGGTAGCCAATCTACTTCAGTCTCTCGAAACAAATGAGAGTTAGGCAGCCAGCTTTCGCACAGCTTGGTGATGTCGGAATGTCGGAATTGCAAGAGAGTGACAACTGTTCAGAGACGACAGCTGTGTCGACCGGGCCATTGTGGAGGGATAAAAGAACTTTCGCACACGCGGAAAAGGCTGACACAGGCAATTGAACAATGACGTCAGAGAAAAGGCTGACTCATTCATGCCAACTCGTAAACCCAACTCTCACATTCTCGGCTCACAACTATCATAACTGCAACCACCACCACAACAACAATTTCGACAAAACAACGATGAAGAACGTGTTTGTGCTTCTTTTGGCACTGATTGTATCCGCCTCTGGCTTTGTCACACCACAGAGACCTAGTATTCGCACTACGTCCGCTGCTTCTTCCAGTACTGAACTAATGGTCGTCTTCTGATCCATCAAGAGTGCCATTGACCTCGGGCTCTACGGTATCGGAGCGTCGGACAAATTCAAGGGCACGGGAGTCTTCTCTGCCATTGAGTTTGAGCGTGAGAATGCTGCTACCGGTACTAGTAGTCAAACTACAGAACAAACAGTCACACCTGAAACAACAACCGCTGTGCTAAAGGAGACAACCAAAGAGACTGTGCCAAAATAGGCCGTCTCTGTTCTTATTGTGCTCTGATACCACGTACGTGAAAGCCACCCGTGTTCACAGCAACAACCAGAATGATTGGAATGGAAATCAAGACAACAGACTCTCAGGTGACTTAATTACAGCTGTGAAGTGCATGAATGACAACGAGAAGAGTGACAGGTTTGCTTCGTTCAACCTACGTCCTCTTCACGTTTGAACCAAAAGTAACTCTTCCATCTGATGTTGGGTAACTTGCAAGTAACCCCATTGCAAGGACCTGCAGCAGATGAGAGTGAAAATGCAACACCAGTTGAGCAAAGCGCCTATTGCATGTGTTATATAGATTCCCCAGTCCTAACCTAGTAGACAAAACATAGTTTAATCATACATGTAGTATGCGCTCAAAAGTGAACCGAGGAAGGAATAGAACTTTACGTTTGTGCCCAGTCCTGTGGATTGACTTTCTAGCATCTGATTGATCTACCAGTACTCTGAAAGCAGAGGCAGACACAGTACAGCGTACTGGTACGTACCTCTTGGACTGTCGCCTTTGATTACTGTGTTGGCCGTCAGTAGGATGTGTTTTTGTTGGGGTACCCAACTGTAACGGACCACCGTCATGATAGTTGCCTTGTTAATGCAAGCTCTTTTCGATAAGTGGATCCTGTCTGATCTGTGCAACCAAGGGTGAACCCGATTAGATCGATAAAAACCCACGTCTCGCTCCAACACATAGATACCAGTACCAGCTACCTCGCAGATGTTGGGAATGTCCTACCAAACTGTGATCTGGATGGGACACGATCATAAGGCAATGAAGTCTTGCATGTGTTGAGTGGACTAAATCCATTTCTGCCAACTCTCATGAGCAAAGCTAGGCAATGGAGAATCTTGGTTCTTGCACTCATCTGGTTCCTGGACGCCCACAGTCCTCACACTTTCTGGCATTGCATTGCCTTGCCTTGGACATTGGTTTCAAATGCCTGGATTTCTGTGTCCGTGCCATGGTGTATGCCATTGACAGAGTCAATGGTTTTTGAATGCTCTGAGTCGAGTCAGCAGGGACTACTGTCACAGCCTGCTCTATTGGTTCGATTGATGATTGTGGTGGGTCTGCATCGAATAAACTCCAGCAAATCAATTTATTAGTCTACTAGCTAGCTAGGTCGCTCTTCACAATCTTCTACCAATTTCAGCCATTTTGACCACCTTTCAGGAGCTACGGTACCGCACCGGTAGCTTGTGGGAGCCAAGCATGGTTGTAGTTTGGCTGTAAGGTGCACTCAGAACTAGAAGCCACCAAATCACTCGCACGGAAATCAATGCCGGTGGTACACTGATACCATGCATGGACAAGATAGACCAAGTGAATATGGCCATGGGGTTGAGTGAACTAAATCCACTTCCTCCAACTTTCATGGGCAAAGCCAGGCAAGACAGTACCACTGGCCATTACATTGGTGGACCTCTCTGAAAGGGGGTTTCTCATAGTTCTGGTGTTTCTTTGTGTTTTGCTGTCCTTCATCTTGGCTTTTAGTTGCAGGTTTTCTGGGTCGTCAATCATCGCCTGGAGTGAAGTTGTGGTTGGATGTTTTTTAGAACTGAGACCAGGATATGCTGCAACTTTCTGGATTGGTTCCAATGATGGGTTTGATCCTGGACCATGGAGGAGCTTGTCATCACAGTTGCTAGTAGAGTCACTGTCACTATCAACTTCGAAACCGTTCTTCGCAGCAGTGGATGTAGCTGTGCCAGTGTTGGTCTGACCATTATTTGATAGTTTGAGTAAATCAAAGAACCCATGCAATTTGCGATCCACTGCAGAAGCTGTCTTGCTCAAATCATCTTCAAGCCGACATAGTGACTCCTGTTCCCGTTCCTTCCAGCTCCCTGTCTCTGTCATTTCTTCGCTGCATGCGCATTCCACAGCAGCCCCAAACTTTGTCTTTATTATTTGCACTTGTCTAGTGTCGACGCTCCAAGCAACATGCTCGCCACCGGTATCATGGTGGCCAGCGCTGTTTTGGTCCGAGCCGAAATCACTGCCAAGCTCCAGTGAGAACCCCGAGCACAGAGACACTTCTGACACTGATCGCAACATTTGGTTTCCCACAGCCACCGTGGCAGTTTGTATTTGATGGAGGAACTCCAATGGGAATGCTGAGCAAAGGAGCTTTAGAGAGAGATGCAGATTGGTTTGTTTTGAAGGACTGTTCGGCCACGACCAAAACTGCAGCGGCAGCAACGGATGGGACGACGGGTCACCTCACTCGACTGAGGGCTCGGGGGGAGTGTCACGGACCTGCTGTCATTGCTTTTGGATGGCTGTATAAGCCAGCAAGCAGGAAAAAGGCACAAAGCCGATCTGGAGTGTTGGTAATTGGTAAAGCAAGGTTTTGGAGGCATGTACACGTGTACAGGCGTAGTCAGTCTACTTCGCTCATCTACCAGGTATTTATCTTTAGCAGCCAGATGTGTACAACTACGATTATTGCTAGCTAGATCTGATTGCATATTAGTATCAGAAATACACATTCCTAGCAGAGAGTTCACTTATCCTTGCACAACACTCCCGTCCTCCAGCAGTTTGAGGTCAGGGTGATGTTTCTGAAACACTTCTGGATGTGATCTTGCCAGGCTCTTGAAGGTATTGTCGCCTACAGTCGACAGCATAGCGTTGCTCTTTCTTCGCCAGGGTTCAAAATCGCTTCGTTCCCACTTCAACGCGGAAGTAGCAGTTGTTTCATCAGGATTATTATTTGTTGGAGAATGGAACTGCTCTGGGTCAACAATGGGTTCAATGGTAGCCGAGAGAAGTGGATTGTAAAAGAGAGCAACGGATACACGGTCTCGTTTGTTTCCAACATTTGCCAACACGCGATGTGGCGTTGCTAGAAAGTACCCACCACTGAGAATCTCTGCCTGTTCTCCGAGGTTGCACACCAAGACACCGGGTCCGAGATTGCTGGGTACATCGATCCAGTCTCCCTCAGAGAATACCTGTAGACCTCCCACATCGTCTTGGAGGACCAATGTGAGGAAATTGGTGTCTGTATGCCCCCCTACACCAAATTTTGGGCTCTTGTCTTGTTTGTTTTCAGTCTGGACCACTGGGTAGTTGATGAGTTTGAGAACCCAATGGGGCGGCTCCTGTTCTATTGCATTGTCTGTTTCTCCATTCTGTGTGCAATTTCTTCCAAAGAATGGATCCAGGGTATCTCTGTGTACCCCCAAGGCCATGCAGAGTGCGTCTCGAATGACATCGCTGATCCTCCGGGCATGTCCAACGTACTCTTCCGTGGCTGTTTGCAACTCTGGCTGATGGGAATGTGGCCATGGATTTTGGTGATGCTTCAACCGTTCATATGGCGGCCACATTCTGGTTCGATCTTTTGGACTGTACAAGGCAGCATACTCGATTTGTTCTCTCATGTCTGTGGCTCCTGCCGTGTTTTCCACTCCCAGTTTCATGTATCCTCGAAAACTCGGACTATTGTGGTACGATATGGAGAGCTTCTCTTCGATTGTGGATTGCTGAAAGAACCTACGAGTTTCGTCTGTGTGCCATCGAAGGATTCGATTCCGGTGAGACGATTTCAAGCGGGATAGCGGTGTGCTGAGGATTTCTTCATCTTCATCGTTAGAAGCTAACCCCTAGCTAGAAGTCCTACCTAACTGTCTTTGCGCCACCTCCTGAGGCATGTCATGACGAAGCAAAAAGAATCCTACACGATGGCAGGCGATGCGCAATTGTTCCGCAAACACAGTGGGGTTCTTTTCCCAAACAGCCAGGTCCAATATTGGCAATACACCTCTTCTGGTGGTTGATGATGCTACTGATGACATGATGCTGGACCACAACAACAACTACTCAAAGAATCGATGGATTGGGGCCCTGCTTCTTTTACCGTGGGAAGCGACAAAGGATTCCCAGATCGGTGTGTTGAGGTTGGAGCGAAGCAAGTCACGATTAGATCTTGTACCCCGTTTGATTTTTGTTAGTCATGATTGGACCGGGACCCTTGTTGGATCTTCAATCGTACGTTTCTCTTGCCGCCACAATCGCTTATTTGAGCCGTGAACATGCTATCCTTGGCATTGGAGAGTGGTGCCTTTTCGAATTCTCAATCATACCCCACGAAGAAGCGAGACGCTGTCCAAGCTTTCCATTGGCGAAAGAACTCTTATCTGCAAAAACAGTGGCTTGCCTTTGGCTGAGGCTGTGGCGGAGCAACCATCAGAAGCATCATTTGGTTAGAAGTGGTATCCTTTCTTCAATTTTTCGAGTCCCGCGCTTGGATACCCCTAGCTACCCGTATACATCAGTGTTGCTTCCTTCATGCAATCTCTTGCGAGAATGAACGGTGAAAACCGCACAACAGCTCAACACCAACAGAATGGTAATGACGATGAACCTGGAGAGTCCCTGGCTCTGATTTCCATTCTAGGCGACAACAGTGGCACCGCGGTTGCAAAATTCTTTGAATCCACCTGGCAAGAACAATGCGCCTTATTTCGATGGGGCCGTCGATGCAGTCTCCAAGCCAACAACAACAGCGCTGCCAGGCAGACTAATGCCAATACTACGATTGGCGAACCAACAGATTTTCATGCCTCCAACTTTTGGAATGACGACGCTGTGAGAAACAGTCCCTACGAAGAGCTAATCGATCAAGGGTGGATCGCATTGGTCCAACTTCTCGCCGATGCCCCCATACCTCCTTCCAATCATAACGACAATACTGTCGAACACGTCATTCATGGATCCACTCAACACACTGCTCCTCTACTATTCAAAGACAAAGTCAGCGTCACAAATGATCTGGCCACTTCTTACAACAATAATCTCATGACAGCATACTTGGACGGATGCTCGGTGGTTCTCAATCACGCCGACTGGACTTCCCCGTGGATTGCGGCTGTCTGCCAAGACTTGCAAAAGAGCTTCCCCCATGTATTCACAAATGCATACCTTACACCACCAGGAGCGCAGGCAGTACGAGCACATGCCGATGACAGGGATGTATTCATCATTCAGGTGGTCGGAAAGAAACAGTGGACCGTCTACCAAAAGGTACCTATCCCATACCCATATCCACATGAACAAGTGGGAAAAGAGAGATTGGAAGTGCCTCAGGAAGTTCTAGAAGGACCAAAAATTATTCAGACAACACTTCAGCCGGGAGATGTCATGTACATGCCTCGCGGATATGTGCACGAGGCACTAACCCATGAAGATAGTTGCAGTTTCCACGTGACAATCGCATTGGCAACCCATGACTGGACGTTGGCAGGTATTTTAACCGCTGCCACAGAGTCAATATTACATAGTGTGGTGGATTACCGAAAGGCACTTCCCCGGACAATTGGGGGCCAGAATATCAAACAGATTCCATTACACGACCAGGAACAATTGCAACAGCAAATTCAACAAGCCTTTCAGCGAGTGCAAGAGGAAGTCACAGTGGCAGCCATTTCGGAGAGTCTTGGAAACAAGTTTCATAGGCACAACCATAGAGCATTCTCGGTCAGAATGAAAAGCATGCACGCAATGCGCTTTCCATCAGAGTCGGCCCCGCCTCGAGTGATTGTCGGCCCGAGGGCGGCAAGACTTGTTGCCCTGGATAGCTTGGTTCGAGCTGCAACGCCAGAGGAAAAAGCTTCTGTCATCGTGGACAAGCCCAGAGGGCTCCTGCCCAGAGAGGAAATCGCAGGTGCCATCGTTTTCATCTTGAGAAAGATAAAAGAAGCCGCAAACAGAGAATTTGTCGTCAAGGATTTGAGGTCATTGCTACCGGAGAACGTCAGCATTCCCAATGTAGACATGATTTGTCCCTTGACACTATTGAGCTTTGCCAGAGTTTGTGTCGAACAGGGTGCCATCGCCCTAGTTTACAGATGAAAAAAGTGGCACCTTAACCATTAGCCCCGCTTCGTCTACGTGCCATACCCCTTTTTGGCAACCATCGTGTCTTGTAGTTTCGCAACTTCAAAGCTGGTGGAGAGAGCAGCTCTGTTTGTCACGGCAATTCCTGATGTTGACTACTTGCGCTTTGATTTCTTCTTGCTCTTGTGCTTATGCTTCTTTTTCTTTTTGTCCTTGCGCTCCCTTCGGCGCTTTCGGTCTCTGCTGCTGCTATCCCGCGAAAGGTCGGTGCTTTCGCTGGAAACAGATCTGGAGCGTTTCCTTATCTGTCCCTGACGAGAGCCATCATCGTCGGACCCATCATGGCTGGATTTTCTGTCTCGACTACGACGTTTTGACTTGTGCTTTTTCTTTTTCCTACTCCTGTCGCGATCATCCATCGCAACAACTGCATCGTCCCTTGCATCACCATCAATCGCGCGATGGGCACCATCCGTTCCAGCCGTCTTCTCCGTTTCAGTCTTTTTCTCTTCACCGTTGGTTTCCTTGATCTCCTCGCGTGCTGCAGCATTCTTTTGAGGGTCCTTTTCCTTTGAATCATCTGCAGTGTTGTCGTGTTTGGGGTCTTCCTCATCTAGAATCTCAGGATCGCTCTCGTCCAAGTCGGACTCCGATTCATCATCAGCTTGAGGTTCAAAAATTGACTTGTACGTTTCCAGGGATGGACGCTCTTCTTTGTCTTTGCCTTGGTCGGCTGGTATGGCACCGAGAGCGTCGTCCTTCATGGTCCCATCTTCTTCAAACATCCCGCCGCCTGGTTTTGGAACGCTTGCTTTGGATTTCGTTGGCGGCGCTTCCTTCTTTTTGTTGTTGGCTTCTGGATTGTTTTTGGTTGCCGGGTTCAATATCTCTTGCCGAAAATAGGAATCTTCCGTCACCCTGCCCCCTCCTGTTTGATCTGTTGATTGTTTGCTGATTTCAGGCACAGGTACATGGAACCGTTTGCAGAGTAACCTATGCGGAGCAAATGGGTAAATTTTGCGAGTAATCTTGATTTCATCTGGAGCAGATCGTTGCGGTTCCTCGGCAGCAGGCTCGTTGACGGTGGTTTTCTGGCTCTCCTTGGAAGGCAATCGTAGTCCAGATTGTAGTTTTGTAGCCGTATCGGAGTTCTCCTTTACGGATGTGAAACGGCTCTTCATTGCTTCGGCCAATCCTGCAAATGCACCACCAGCCATGGGTGTTTTGGATCGTTCAGCGCTTGTATTGTTGCTGTTGTTACTGTTGCTGATGTTTTTTGCCATGTGTTGAAATCGTTGTCTGGCAGGTTTATTGGAAGTTGCATTGATCCGCAGGGCTTCATCCATAGCTTGTTTCCGCTTTTCATCGACGACTTGCAATTGTACGGCATGAGACAATGCCCTTAGCACGGACGGATGTTCATTTGGTCTGAATTCGTGATGTTTGACTTGATAATCTGATGGGACATCTGGCCCACGGTATCGTTTAGGCTTGGAATGCGAAGCAAATGCACCTCCCATGACAAAGCCTGCCAACGGTGGTCGACCATCAGTTGTAAATGCTGCCGCTTTTGGTGTTTGTAATGAAGATGATGCTGGTCCCGTGTCCGCAAAACTGGACAAGATCCCCGCCAAGTTGTTTCTGTTATTGATATTGTTATCATTGGCGTGTCTTGGCGCAGAACTGCTCATTTGATGATTGTTGTTTTCGTCGTCATCATCACTGCTTTGGTGTTCATAGACTTCAGTATTGAAAGCTTCGGAATCTATGCGAACTTTATCTGACGCCTTGGTGAGTGACAAAGGCTGGTCATCATCGTAGGCATCATCTTCATCTTCTCGGAGGGCAAATCCACCGACAGACTTGTGTCCCACAAAATCTTCCATGGTTTCATACGAATATGCTGGGTCATCTTGATCATGATTGTTGCTGTTTGGTTGTTGTTGTTGCCTGTTTGGTTTAAGATTGGTATTATTGTCCTCCTCCTCATTTTCCAACACGTCGGATATTCGGTAGACATTTGTACTACTGTTAAGTTGTGCTCTCTGTTGTGCCTGTTTTCGTCTCTTTTCTTGATGCGCCCGAAACTCGGGTGCGTTTTGATAGGGTTCGTATCCGAGTCCACAGGTATTTAGTTTTGGGGGTGGAATTTTGACACGCTTTTGTTGCAGCTGTACCTTGCGTAGTCGTTTTTTGGAGAGCAGTACCGACGATTCTGGCGTGGATTGATTGGCAGTACATGTATCCGTAGCCTTTGCAGTATTAATAGTAGCATCTGGAACATATGCCGCAGAGTTTCCTTCTCTCCAACCCAAAACGCGCAATAATCGATTGCCGACATTGGCAGGTGGAACCACTGTGGCAATTTTCATCCAATCTCCAATATTCTCAGTAGTACTGTTGTTGTTGCTGCTGCTGTTAGCGTTGTTGTCGAGTGGATTATGAGAAGCATTGGAAGGGTCCTTGTATTCCCGTCTTAGACTGGTTGGTCCGCCCCACTGGTCATGATCTTCTTCGTCCATAAAATCTTCCAGTTTTTGCTGTTGTGGACGTGATCGCTTGCGACTTGGTGGAGTATAGTCCTGAGCCACAATGTTCCCCTCCTCGTCCACGGAGGCTGGCAGTTCGTCGACACGTTCATCGTTTTTGGGTTGCCATCCCTCAGTGGAACCGACCGTGTTGTAGAAACCCGCTGAAAAGCCACCCGTAAAGGCGCCATGGAAACGTTGGTTCTTTGCTCTACGGTTGCGACTGGGAACATATCGGGGACGGTCTGCCATGGTTAAGGATGATTGGTCTGTCAGCGCATACTACATGTAGATTGAAGATAGTGGCTGCAATGGCTGGCTAGCTGTTGCAATAATGATGCAAAAGAGGTTGCGGGTGGTTGTTGGTTGTTGGGTGTGCTCCTGCTATTCGGGTCGATCGATTGACCATTCGATCGATTACATGTATTGGCTCCAAGACGAGCAGCCAGCGAGGCTGGCTAACAACGGTAGCTTCATTAGCGTTCAGGGGAACTCTCTCAGCCGCACCTTGCACATCGACTCTTCATTCATTGATACTGACAAAAGAGAGCCAACAAGATGATGATGGCGACGGTCCTTTTGAGAAGAGCAGCTTGGCAAGCCTCATGTTGTCGGTCTCCTAGCAGTAGCACTTTTGTGCAGAGTGGTATCCGATCTCTCAGCTCTACGGATGCTGCTACCAAAGACGAGACGACGGACAGCAAGAAGCAGAGTTTCGTGACTTCGGACATTGAACCTCAAGTCTTTGATCATGCCAAGACGGACCCCTTGCATCGTCCCAAATACCGTTCTCGTGCTCGCATCATTTCCAAGTACGACTATGCCAAGCAGCCCTCTGTCACCTTCGAAGACCAATACGACAACTTTGCTGACGCCCGGGTTGTCATGAGCTGGATGGATCACAATACCAAGCAACGCCTTTACGAAAATTATCTCAATTGGATGGTCAACGCACAAGAAAAATTCGGAAAGACATCGCACGAATACGTGTGCCGGGTGCTCGCGCAAAAATTCAGGATCACGCCTCATCGTGCAGCGGCAATCATCCAGTTGCAACACAATGAAGAACAACGCAAAATACAAAACCCTGATTTGCCATTATGCGAAGAAGAAGCCCAAAGAATGGATGAAATGATCAAGTACACCATCCAACAGGCATATCAATCCACTGGAGAAACCCCACCTGAAACGTTTCTCGAGGCGCCAGATCCAGAGGGTGGAATGGAGAGCTACAAGACCATGATTGCTGAGGATCTCATGGATGTGGATCAGTTGATCAGAGATGCCAATGTACGAGAGCAAGAACAGGCAAGAATCATTATCAATGATCACGTTTACGTTGAAGATGTCGACGAGCATACCATTGGCATTCGCGTCTCCAAAGAAACAAATAGAATCTTGGCACAGCAGGAAAAACTCAAACAACAGGCAGCGCCGGAACCATTGCCATCTCCAACTGCATCGGTCGGGGAAGCGCGTCCTCGATGGCAGTACGTGGCACAGCTCGTCGATACACGAGAGCTTCATCCCCGAAGTCTAAAAAACCGAAACAAATCTTGGATGAAACACAAAAAGGCACCACAAAAGCCGTATGGCAAGAAACACCGCATGGGCTTCCTCAACAACCATACTGACAATGTTGTCATTGAACACAATGGAGACCTTCGTGTGGCCAACATGGAGGAAGTCAAGAAGATGCCTTGGAAACCACTCCGAAACGACCAAGAATTCACCTATGCCGGGGTCAAGAAAGCTTGGTTGGATAGGACCATTCGAGGCAAGACATCTGCCTGGGGTAAAAAGGCATTCGATCCAAAGGAGGAAGAGATTACCAAGAAGGAGGCAGCAGCGAGTCAAGACGCAGAGGTTGAGGACATGGACGACGAAAAGGAGGTCTCTGCGGATGAACTTGATGCCGAAGAAGAAAAGGAGCCACAGGAAGAAGAAGCTAAAGAGACGGATGACAAAAATGATGATAACAAATAATAGGTTAGCGCTAGTTTATTGTTCCTAAGAGATCGTACTAACTAGTACCGCCGCATTTCGCTTGGCTTTTTCACTGGAGACATCTCACAATAGGATTCCACAAGATGTTTCAATCGTCGTTGCACCTTCACAGCAACGCACTCCCCCGGGTAGGTAGGTTTTGCATGACAGCATTCCGTTTAACTGCGGGCTTCATGCTGCCGTTACATCCGGCTGTTGGTCGCTTTCCTTCAAAGTGTTGACGTCGCTGGACTGCTGGTCCCACCGCCTCTTCTTGTTGGCATGATCATGGTGTCCAGTCTGGTTATTGCTGTTGTTGTATCCATTCTGGTTATTGCTGTTGTTGTAAGGGTTGTAACGCGGCTGATAACCCGGCCCGTTATGATGAAAGTGAGGACGATGACTGGCGGCATGGGGTCCCACTCCATCGGATCCCAACAAGGGGGGCGAGCCTTCTTCGTCAATGACACCTTTCGCAAGACCCCAGAGAATGATGCTGATCCTTCCCTTGCCATTCGCCTGATCTTCTGGGTGCAAGGCGTTGACGCCGTGCTTCCACCTAATGTTCACATCTCGGCCAATGGTAAAGACGCCGTTATTGGTCTGGGGAAAGTACAGACGTGGCGGATCTTGCTGCTTCTTCTGGTCCTGGTTGCTTTGGGCCTTGATGAACGCCAGCTCTCGCATCTCACCAAAGGAGACTCCCACGGTAATGTTTTGGCTTCTGGCTCTGCGGGGGTTGAAGGCTGCCGAGTCATGATGAAAGGGCTTCCAATCGAGGGTGTCCTTGTACCAGTTGAAGCGAATGCCAGCAGTGGCGGCATCAATTTGAAAGTACCGACAGATCCTGTCAACGACCATTTGATAGGTCTTGGAGCCTTGTGGAGACCTGCAAATCAAATGAGCTCCTTCGTGCCACGGGAGAAACTCACTCCCCTCGACGTTGCTATTCTGCAAAGCTGTCACTTCCTTCACCAGGTCATAATAAATGGACCAATCGTCTTCCTTTCCAAAGAGCTCCGGGACAATCACAACATCATCGTGACGTAGTTTCTTGTTGAACTGTTCAATGTGTGGAGATGCCACCACCACCCTCGCATCAGGGCTTTTCATATAATAGAAATTGGGTATGATCATTAGAACTTTTGCAATTGGATAAAGAAAAGAATACATGTATAAAAGAGTGACATCAGCAGCATTCGCTGGCACATCTTACCGAACCAAAGTAGTAGTTGGATCAAAGCTTTCAGTGTTTCGACCGGCTCCTCGAAAGGTCGCTTTTTTGTTCATGCGATGGTTGGGATCAGTACCACGGGGATCCTTCTGCATATCTTTAGGAAGCTTGTCATCCTCTCTGGGCTGGATAAAATAGGTAATCTTGCTCGGGCCAGCACGAAAGTTTTGGTTATTGTAAGAATAAGAAGGATCGCTGTGACGACGGTGCTGGAAGTTTTTGTTAAAGGTCCCGTTGTTGAAATTCCCGTTGTTGTTGTTCCACCTTTTTGGACGCTGGTTATTATCATCACCACCTTGGTTATTATTATTGAAGGGACGACGTCCTTGGTTCCAGTTTTGCTTACCGCGGACTTCATTGACGTTCTGGTTGCTGCCGTTCTCGTTATCATCTTCGTTGCAGTTATCTTGGTTGCTCAAGTCACGGCCACTGGATTGACCACGCTGAAACCTGCTATTGCTTGGTGGACCGCCACCTTGATAAGAAGCTTGATACCCACGCTTGTAGTTAGACTGGTTATTGAAGTTTCCGTCGTTATTGTTGCCGCCGCTCTGATAGCTGTCCTCGTCATCGTCCTGGAAGCTGTCTTGGTTGCTCAATTCACGGCCACAGGAAGGTCCGCGTTGGAACCTGTTGTTTGTGCTTGGTGGACCACCTCGCTGGTATCCACGCTTCGAGTTGGGTCTGTTGTTGTAGTTACCGTTGCTGTTGTTGTTCCCATTCTGGTAGCTGTCATCGTCATCATCTTCCTGATAGGTATCCTGGTTGCCTAAACCACGGCCGGAGGATGCTCCTCGTTGGAACCTTCCGGTACCAGGGTTGCCGCCCTGATTAGAAGGTTGATATCCACGCTTCCAGTTTTGCTGACTGCGGTAGCCGTTAGTGTTATTTCCTTGCTGGAAGGTGTCATCGTCATTATCATTGTACTGATCTTTGGTGTTTACCTTAGGGGCAATTTCGGGAGAACGATTCTGATACTCGTCATTGTTGACCGGAGGAGGTGCAAACTTACGAATCTTTTTCGGAATCACTTGATCAGCTTCCGGAGCTCTGTCACGGTCGTTGTAGTTCAGATCACGAGAGTTGAGAGCTTTGGGGTTCACCATGGTTGTTGTCGTCACACGAAAAGGCTCCTCGATTAGATAGATAGGCTAATGAAGTTGGAGCAGATTTCTTTGATTTGTGAGGGTTGTCTAGAAGCCGCCTTTTTTTAGACTTCCGACAGAGGCGCGGCAATAGCCGGCCCTGCTCGCAATTTTGAAAAGACTAGCCACCCAGCCAGCGCAAGCAGTGCCATGAACGTACAGTATACGTACTGTGAAAAGCCACCTCTTTAGTAAAACGGTACGGGAGCGTGACTGACAAAGCCGTTGGGGAGATTTGGATCTTTTTCTCGTCTTTGGTGTTTGGGGGTTGGGCGTCTTGAAAACAGCTTGTTGATGGCAGCATCAATAGAATTCTAGCTAGCTCTCGTTTTCTTTCAACAAGATGATGTCCAAACTGTTCAACTACGGCAGCACTGGCGATGGAAGCAGCGAATCAACTCCCATCATCCCCTCTTCGATCACATCCGGTGATGCGCTAGATCCCAAAAAGCTCTTGGACAATGCAAAGAGCGAAGCCGTGATCGCCGGTACTCATGTGGTCAATGAATCCTATAAAAAGATCCAACGTTTGCAGGAGAACTCTCCCTTTTCCTTCCGCGTCTTGGCTGTTGTGGGTGGACTCGCCATGATTGTCTCCAATATTCTCTTGATCCTGGGAAGGCTGCTTACATTCAACTTCACTGGGGCAATCATTTCCTTCTACTGTGTGGTGTTCGGGGTGATCATCGTGCTTCTCGAAGCCCATGTTACCACTAGCTATGATGATGAAAACAGCGAGCAGTCATACATCAATGGTCAGCGATTACAGCAAAATGTCAGATACTATGCCAAGTTCCTCGAGTTCACATGGGGGAGAGGTTTGCTTTACTTCTTTGTGGGTACTTTGCAGTTATCTAACTGGAACATTTTGGATGTTGCGGTGGGAGGATTCATGATGTTTGTGGGAGTCACTGCTTGCATTGCCGGGGTCAAGTCAGCCTACGAATTGAGACGCCTCAGGGAAACTATAAAAGATGAGCAAGAGCTCAGAGACATGTTCGACAAATACGACAAAGATGGCAATGGACACCTTGGAATGCAAGAATTGACAATGTTCATCAATGAGGCTGGCATTCCGATGTCACAAAATGAAATTACTAGTGCCTACATGGCCCTCAACCGAAAGCTGGATGATAAGCTGAGCTATGAGGAATTGGTTGCGTGGTGGACAAGACCTTCCTCAGGACCGCTGAACATTAGACTTTCGGTCTAGAAGCTCGAGGAGCCCCTGCAGAAAACATCAGTTCCGGTATTGTCACATTGGTTTGTAAAGACAGACCTGATTAGCCAGCAGACTTGGAAGGAAGATCCATGGTCTTCCCTCTTTGTACCCTACTAGTATACATTGTTCATGCAATAGTTGATAGCTCAATTTAAAAAGTTGTCAATCCTTACACAGCTGTTGCTAATCGCCATAGCACGCCAGTACAACCAACGTGATACCGCTTACAAGCATCACACACAGCACAGTCCTTGATTCTACTCGTAAAACTCCTCCGCCGGAAGTCGCCGAGGGATTTTCCTGCTTCACTCCCAATCGCTTTCACTGTCATCCAATATGGCCCGCTTCTTCCTGTTGTTTTTGGACCCCTCATCAGGGTCAAAGTCTTCGTCCGAGCCGTCCGAGTCCGAAGGGACTTTCTTTTTCCTTCTCCCTCCTGACAAGCGCCGTCGCCCGTTGTTGGGTTTGGGTGCGGCGGCCCTCTTCTTCTTGGAACGAGAAGGGGCCTCCGGGGAACTTGCTCTTCGTTTCTTGCCCTTGTTGCGTATGCCCTGCACCCACTCGTCTTCTTCTTCCTCAGATTCGGAAGGTTCTTGGGCATACTCTTCCACGTCCTCATTGTCAGAGTAGCGACTTGCATCGTCGTCGTCGTTGGCTTGTTCGGCCTTTTCTTGGTAGTAGCGGGCAAGCTCTTTGTCTTCGTCTCGCTCTTGCTGTTGCGCGGTAGCGTTCTGTTCATGATCAAGTGCTCGATGTTGACCTTCGTCTTCCTCCTCTACTTCTTCGTCGGCTAAGAATTCGCCAATGTCTTCGTTCGTACGGGAGAAGGGGGCAATGATCGTTTCCCAGAGTTCTTGCGCTTGGTCCTGAAATGATAGAAAGAACTTTCTAGCCTCTCCAAGGGGGTCGTCAACATCCTCTTGACTTCCCGCTTCGAGAAGACATTGTTCAAGTTCCTGCATTTGGTACAACAAAAAGATGAAGCTCTCGCTGTTTCCTTCGTACCCTGTCGAAGAGAAGTCGCAAAAGAATGAATACGCTTTGGTACGCACAAATCGAAGCGGGTCAACTCTCAAGTGACTTACAGTAGCGTCTCATATCCCCCTGTTTGGGATTCCTTCCATATGTTCTGTTTTTGGCCAAGAAGCGTTGGAGCAATCCATCCGTTTCACGAATCTGCAAAACAAGAGAGGAACACAAGTACTTTCATCAGTCGCCCATCACACCTTCTGCTGGAAAACGTAGTCTCGACTTACTTTGTATCGAAAGAAGACCTGATTGTCGATGCGAGTGGTGTTGCAACCGTGCTCCGCTCTCAAATGCTTCTTGACGTCGGAAATCTTTCTGAAGCAGAATGCAGCCGCGGTCTCATACTCTTCCTGGTCGAGGCTGCCTAAGATGGTCATGGGGTCGTATGAGAATTCATCGGGAACTCGGATGGACTTCTCTTTTGCTCGATTCTCCGACGAAATCAAACGATGGTGTGCACAGCAATAGCATACAGGACATGGATACAGGTCTTGGTTGCTCATTGTCTTTATCTGGTACTCCCTCCAACTCGCCCTGAAAAGATTCTCGTTGGCGTGTACACTCGTAAAACTGACTTGATATAGAGGCTCTTCATCGTCGTCTTCGTCACTGGCCGGCTTTGGTGATCCTCCTCTGTTTGTCTTGTAGAAGTCCCCTTCTAGGTCCAGTGCTTGCCTGCCAAAGCGTGAGGCGATCTGGTCCAACAGGTCTTCTGACATTGCCGATCGAAAATGAGGAGGCTGTAAAAACGTGAGCTATGATGAATGACAAAAAGGCCACGTGAGTTGTTCAACGATTGTTTGATTCTTTCATTTTCTGTGTGAGTCCTGCCCACCTGTTGCTGGTCACTCAAGTTCTGCCTGTATTGCGGATGATGGCTGGTGGTAGCAATCTTGTGCAGGGTTTCCAGAGTAAAACATTGTCGCGATTTGCCATCAGGAGAGACGTAACAAACATGGATAGGAGGTAGACTATCGTTGGTGATGGCATCAGTTTCACTTGGACATGCGGGGAGTTTGGGTGGTGCAGTGGACGAGCGACGACTGCGATGCCGGATTCTTTCCTCCTGGCTCAGCCTGGGCTTTGTTGGCGTTGGAGCAATCTCGTCCATATCATCGCTGCTACTGTGGTACTGCTCCGGGGCGGGCTTTCGAGAATTGGCCCCATTTTTTCGGGTTGGTCTCGAAGCACTCTTTTTCTTGTTCGGAAGCGGGTCATCATCGTCACTCATTTCGTCTTCTCCAAAGTCGATATCGACATTGCCGACTGCTTGCTCCTGTTTACTGCTTCGTTGTCGTGTGCGGCGTCGGCCACCTTTCACAACAGATTTGTCTCCAGACGATTGGCCATCATCATCATCATCATCAGGCTCAAAGTCATCCTCATCTTCTTCTTCCTGATTGTCATCCACATGAAATTCCTCTTCGTCTGAATCCACCTTCTTTTTCCGGCTTTTTGGCTTGGAAACTTCTACTTCCTCTTCAGACTCTTCCTCCTCCGAGTCTTCTGCTTTTTGTCTGTAACGAAGTTGTGCCATTTTGGCCGTGGCTTTGGCTGCCGAAGCTCTAGAAGGGGTTCGTTTGGACGTAGCTCGCTTGGGCGTTACCTTGGTTTGGTAGTCTTCGTCATCGTGGTTGGTGTCTTCTTCGTCATGATTAGAGTCATCATTATTTTCATTTTCCTCCTCACCACTACTCCCCACATCCTTGTAGGAGGTCCTTTTCTCCTTGCGTTGAGCTCGAGGAGATATTCGTCGTCGCGTGGTAGCATTTTGTTTCGGTCGTTGTCGCCGGCGACGTCTTGCCGGGGCGGGATTCTCTTCAGAATCTTCAGAATCTGAATCCTCCTCGTCTTCTTCGCTGCTGCTACTACCAAGTTCAGCCTTGGCATTTCTTTTGCTTCGCGATGCTGGAGCAGCCTTTTCTTTTTTGGGCGGTGGCTTCTTGGCAGCAGCAGGTTTTTTGGGGGGCTGCTTTTTCTTAGCCGGCTGTTTTTTCTTGGCTGGTTGTTTGCGGAGAGCAGGTTGTCGTCGTTTACGCGAGGTGTTGCCAAAATCTTCTTCCTCTTCCTCGGACTCTACTTGGTCATCTTCTTCATTATCAGACTCTTCTTGATAATCTTCGTCATCGTTTTTGCCGCTTTCCACACTCTCTTCTGACTCGTCTTCGTCACTACTTTCCTCTTCAGATGCAGCTCCCTTTGCGGTAGCAGGTGGTTTGGCAGGTTCGATTTCTGTGGTTTGTTGTTCCTCTGCATTTTGAGGTTCTTCTTCTTCGACAGGAGCAGGCGCAGCAGCATGCGGTGGAGGATCAGGAGCGGGAGCAGCTTCCTCGCCATCGTCATCTTCTGCTTCTTCTGAGGAGCTCTCATCATCGTCTTCATCAGGAGCCGCCTTGTGGGCAGCCAAGTCCTCTTCTGAATCTTCTAATACCAAGTGTTGACTGTCGTCCAACCCAAACTGGCCGAGGGGTCCTTGAATAATTTCCTCGTCCAGAACATGTTCCGAATCGTCCTCTTCAATATCCTCTTCATCACTGGTGTCGTCGTCATTGCCAGGCCCACCCATAATGGATTGCTGTTCGAGACCCCGCTGAATCTTGAGTCTCAGAGCCATGGGAAAATTTCTATCCGTTTCCAAACGACAAACGGTAATATCTCCCTCGGTATCCGGGAGATAATACTAGAGTGCTAGCCTGACAGCCGCTAGTGTGCTACCATAACATCACAACCCGGGTGTCCTTTTTCGAGAGCAGCCACGACTTCTTCTGGTTTTGCGCTGCTGTGCTGCTTTCGACCCTGTCGCGCTTGAAAGATTGTTTCGTGGACGCTGGCGTGGACAAACCAACCGTGGAGTGCTCTCCCGACCCGCCACGCCACGCGTACCGCACGGTACTAGACTAGTACCAGGTACCGGTACATCGCACACCGCACAAACACCTTCGTAGTACTATGACCATAGTCTAGCTAGCTATTAATAGCTACTGGTACCGTAGAACCCAAATCAGTGCAGACGCTGATGATAGAACTTCAGAATATCAGCACTAGACTAATGTCTATGTTGTATTGAAAAAGACTACCGTACTGGTAATACTCTTCGCTACCTTATATCGTACAATAATCAACAGCTGCAATTGCTTAGCCAGCCAAACACACCCGATGGCTTTTAGTTAGTAGGGAAACATTCCTCCAATTACCATGTTCGTTATGGAATTTCATAGCTATTTCCGTCACTCCGTCCATCTTCCCGCCTCTCCTGAAATCCTTCAAGCCGTACATTGGCCACACCACACCACAACTCACAAATCACGCACACACACATACCGATTTCTTTGTCGCCGTGGTGAATTTTTCTACATCCCTTGGCGCTTTCTCAGCTCCTGCGTCATGCGAACTTCGGCGAATTGCAGTGCCTGTTTTATTTGTTTGTTTTTGGGTTCCATTTTGTGCGCTTCTGCCAGAATGGGCAAGGCTTCTTCGTAACGTCCCATGGCATGAAGGGACAAACCCCTACGGAAAATGGCCTTGATATTGGTCGGTTCAATTTCTTGTGCCCGTTTGGCATCGTCCAGTGCCTTTTCATGTTGTCCTAATTTCAAAAAGCAGGCGGCCCGATTGGAGAGCACCAAATCGCGACGAAAGAGTTGTTTGGCGCCGGGAGTTGCCTTGTCGGGGAGTTCATCCGATTTGTCGAGTGACAGACTGTAGAGCAAAATAGCTTGTCCGTATTCCCCCGCTTGGAAGGCTTCATTTCCGCGAGTCTTATTTTGCTCGCATTCGTCCACAATCAACTTGATTTCTCCCGCCGTCATGGATGCGTAGATTTCTTCCACAGCGTCATCCTCTATGTTTTTGGCGTCTGGGTTGGGTGATTTTTTCTTGTTGCCGCTATTCGGATTCTTTTGTTCGAATCGAATCATTTCTTCGGCCTTTTCAATGGCCATGGCGGCAGCCTTTTCTCGCGTGACTTGTTCTTCGTCCATTTCTCGTTGCGTCATGGCTCGAACATTGCGTCCAGTGGAAGCCCCGACTCGAATAACTTTTTCCGTGATGAGTTTTCCATCGACGACGGAAGTGACAAACTGGAATTCTTCCGGTGTAGCGTTTCCCACCTGTTCGGCGCCATCCTTTAGATAATCGGCAACCGTTTCCGACTCCATAAAATCATCTCGAAAGACGCGTACACGCATAGCCTTGACACCCGCGTGGAAGATTCTGTCGTCCTTGTCGTCTCCCCAGTAGAGTTTGGGTTGTCCCGGTAGAATGGCCGTGTTTTTGCTGGAGGGTGCATCTTTAAAGTCAATGGTGATATCCTCGCATAGATCCGCTTGAATGGTGGCGACAGTGGCGTCCTTGTGAATTTGGATGTTGACATTTTTGCAGTGACTGAGTTCGATGGTACCCGAGATGATTTTGCATTTGATATGGATAGTACAATTGTGTACATTGCTGAAGAATGCCTTGATGAGTCCATAAATGATGCGATGTTTGGGTTGTTTTTCTTCGACGACTTCATTTTCGGCATCTCCCTCGTAGGATTTAGGCTTCAGATTAGGATTGGCCGCGTTGGCAGCCATTTTGGACTCCAAGTGACTGAGATCTTGTGTCAAGACGATACAGTCACTGAGAGAATTTCCACTGGTATCGGCGACCGTGACAACTCGTTTTCCCGCATCAACCATATCACGGCTGATGCGGACAATGGAGGGTTCTCCCGTCTTGACTTCTTCGGCAAATCCATTCTTATTGTTAGTGTCGGTTGGAGGCGGTCCCAACAAATTCTTGAATTCCGTCATGACTTGCTTTTCTCGATTCTGGTACCTCTCCAGTGTTTCCTTGGCCTTTAGGACTTCTTGTGCCTTTTTGCGTTCCTCGGCTTCGGCGGCACTGCGAGCATACTTGCCGTCCAATCCCAGGGCTTTCTTCTGTTCTTCAATTTCCTTCTTTTCTTCATCCTCCGTCTCGGCGACTAGGTCTGCAGTCACCTTGTCCCACTTGCCATAGTCGGTGCGTCCTGCCTTGCCAGATGCCATTTTGCAGTTCTATAACACTTGGATATGGTAAATAATTTGTTGTTGTGGAGTTTTTTGTGTGGTCGGAATGAAGGCTGTGTTGTTTCCATTCAAAGATACTCCTGTTTGAGGGTTCGCGGCAAGAAAGATCTGTCTTGTTTTCTTCTTGTTGGTGGCAGTGTCCAACTCAACGGAACATGATGACAATGACTTCCAAGCTGTTCGATTTGATTCCGAAGTGAGATACCACTAGTAGGTAAACTCCAGCTCTAATCTGCGTTTTTGCTCTTTTTCCAATCCAGTGTTTGTGACGCAGCCGTTTTTTCCTGAGCTGTGCTGTTAATCGCTCTTGCTTCTTGCTTCCTTCCTTGGAACTCGGAAACATGGAACATGTCTTCATCATCATTCCATCGGCTCTCGGGTAGTAGAATACCTTGTCATCGGCACCATTGACCTTGCTGTTGTTAGCGGCGTTATGCCTTGCTAGCTAGGCATTCATCAAGTTAGACAAGGGAATCTTCTCTGACTTGAGGCATTCCAAGTTCCAAGACACAGCCTACCGTAGGTGCGTCTACCCACCTCGCTATCCAGGGAAGAACAATTGTAGCAAACGGAGCTTTTCTTTGTGTTTCCGTTGTGGCCAGAGGAAAGAGGATATCATTATCAAGCTGGCACGAAGATTACGGTAGCTTGAGATAACAATTCACGAGAAGAAAAGAGAAGAAAAGTGCTACCATGCCCCAGTTGGAACAGATTGCAGCGACTTTTGTGGCTGGGTTTTTGGTTCATTCTATTTCCATTTTGTTGTTTGGGGTGGCCTTGAAGCTGAGATCTACGCACATTGCCCCCAGATGTGAAGCCAGACCCCGCAATGTCATTTACAACCCAAATCCAGAACACTCCTCGCAAGATAGGGGAAACCCCTTTTTGGGATGGGTGCCGTGGGTCTTGAAGCTGAGTTACGAAGAAATGATGAGAGGGATTCCAGGGACAGGGACACGACAGGGAGGAATGGCAGGGAGTCTCTTGAGAGTCAACTTGGATGATGTCGTCATGCTCAGATTTCATTCCTATGGATTGAGAGTTACCACCTTGGGGTTGTTCATTTACACACTCATTCTGCTACCCCTCTATTGGACTGCTGGTTGTTCCGATGCACCCTCATCCGATGAAGCCATTAAGAACCATTGCACCAATCTCACCAACTACGATTGGACCACTCTGGCCAACATTGAACCAGAAATCGAGTTGGGAAAAATTAGTGTCGTGGGACTATCCATACGTCTTTACATTGTCGTTTTCTGCTCGTGGTTTGTCAATTGGTACGCTTGTTATGAGCTAAAACAGGAATGGAAGGATATTCTAGCCATGAGACGATTCTACTACCTTGAAAGAGATCACTGGAGAGAAAGGCAAGCAGAAGATCAGGAAGCCTCGCCACGAAGCTCACAATTCAACGCGCGAAAATCTCAAAGCATGGCTTACAGGCGAAGAGTTTCCTCCATGTGGACTGCCAGCGCTAAGAATGACAAGACAAACAACAACTACAAGGAACCAGACTATGTCAATGAAAGAGATCCGTGGATTCCACATCCAGAGTATCGTGATACTCCACCCTCCGTCGCATTGTGGTCCGTGCTGGTGGGAAAGATCCCATCCAAACCAAAAACTCATCGATGTGAGGAAAACGATGACGATGAGGAAGACCCAGAATCACCCAATAGTGCGCATTCCAACAGGGAGTGGCAGCTGTCTGTTACCAGCGCTTTTTTTGATCATTGTATCCCCAATCAACCGGGTTTCAGTTCCTCAGTTGCTGCTGTAACAATCTTGCCAAACGCTGCGGAACTGGCGGCGGCTTGGAGAAAATGGTATGCTGCGGCTTCAAAACTACGTCGATTGCGATTCATTCGTAAACAGATTCGACTCAAACGTCACTACGACATTGAAGTCGACGAAGAAAATGCTGAAGGACAACCGCCTTCGGAAGCGTCCTTGGGAGAACTTTCGTCGCGACCGTCGCGACGCAGCCGAGCTAAAGCCAGATTCACCATATCCGCGGTGGAGGATGTTCACAATCGTAGAATTCTCGGATCGGCCATGGACGATGACGTGGAGGAACTCTACTTGGAAGCCCTCGATTTTGGACCTGAACAAACGGCCGTGTACATTCGGGAATTTGCACAATCAGCTGCGCCATGTTGTCCAAATGGGTGCTTCGAAGGAGCCGTGACGGGGGCCCGGATTGACGAATTAGTGGAATTGGAACAGATTGCGATGGAAGAGGTCCAAGCTGCAAATGACGCCCTGGAAATGGCTCGTTTGAATGCAGTCATGGATGCGAGTCTCAAGGAAGCAAATGAAGGGGGGCGTGTCAGGCTCAGGGACGAAGTCATTGATGAGGACGAAGAGTTTGATTTGTCGAGGATGCGTAACAATTCACCAATGCAAAAACGGCCGTCAGCCATTAAAAACATGGGTCTCGCAGAGATTCCTTTGGACCTTTCCGCCGTCAGAAAACTCGTGAAGAGCGATACAATCCAAAATCTCATGGGAAAAGACGCCAGTGTGCCAACCGAAAAGGGAAAGGGGGCGAAAGCTGATATGATGTCGTCGGCGTCGGATAAACTTTTCTTGGAAGATACAATTTTGCAGCGATTGACTTCCAAGGAAAAAGGAAAGGTGACGGAAGAAGAAGAACTGCATGCTAGCACTACGAGAAGAGGAGGGATACTGACTCGTTCCCAGTCAAGCCCAGTAATGCACAAACTGGCAGGACTTCCCGGTGCATCTCGACAAGTTCTGTCAGATAGAAAGTCGGAATGCGGTTTCCTTCCTAGCATCGTAGATGAGGATTACCAAGATTCCGATCCCGACGAGATGGAGGAGCATGCCCCTTTATCTGGTTCCCTCGCATCGCATGCCGACGAGGAAGACGAAGTAGAGGGAAAGCAAGAATCCGCTGAGGCCCATGTCCCTCCTTCGATTGAACCCCCAGAGGCGACAGAAGAAGAAGACCTTCCCGAGGCAACGTTTACAAGTGAACAATCCGTCGAAAACACTCTCAAAATCGACCCATTGTCGTCACCAGAAGGAGACTCAATGCCGGCGAGGCCACGCTTAAGAACCAGCTCGAGAAGTTGCAGGCAGTCACAAACACCGTACGATCCGCTGGACGCTTGGGCGCTTGTTGATGCACTAGCTATGAACTCTCAGGAGTACGACGAAAAGGGAGATGAACACCTCGGCAAGGAAAGAAGAGTGCTGTCCGAGGGGAACTGGGAGCTGTCGTCGGTGGCAGAATTCGTTATGATGTTTGTGAAGGGAATAAGACATTTCTTGCGTTGGACGACCACCAAGTCAAATGAGGCTGTGAATGAGGCCGTGGATATTGTGGCGGCAGACAGTACTTATGCCGTTGTAACGTTTACCTCGAGACAAGCCGCGGTTGCCGCTAGAAAGGTGTTGGCCGATGGCAGAGGGTCAAACAGATGGATGCAGTTGGATACCTTGCCAATTCCCCCTCTTGCTGACGCGGCGGCATGTGACCCGATAACATGTCGGGGTTGCTGCCGACCGGTGACGCTGTCCATAAACGACAGACAGAAAACATATCGATGGTACTTGTAAGTGATCACGCGTTGTTGCAGCATTGCCTTCGAGAGTGCTCGAAAATGAATCCGCTGACACATTCGGCCCTTTCGGTGCCATTGCAGGTCCCTTGGGGCTCTTTTTGGGATATACTTCTTTTACACACTTCCTCTGACTGCGGTTTCAGCGTTGGCGAACGACGAACATTTGACCGCGCTATTTCCAGGGCTGAGTGAAAGTAGCTTCTTGAACTCAGCGTTGCTTTCTTCCTTGTTTGCGGCTTTGATTTGGGCTGCCTTTTTTGCGTAAGTTGAAACAAGCTCTTCTTGCCCAATATGAGCCTACGAACTCACTGAACGGTATCTCTTCGCCAGTGTCTGTCCCGTGATATTCAAGACAATTGCAAACGTCGGCAGCAATGCAAACAGTACAGTGGAGGCTGAATTCTCAGCTCTGAAATATTTTTGGTGGTTCATGGTACGCCGACCGGAATACTGTTGTCTTCTAGCTACTTCGTTCTCGCCGCAATATCCGGAATGCAACCTGACAAAATCGAAAATGTTCGGCCTTCTCCTAGGTTGTGTCAGCTTTCTCTGGAACCTCTCTGCAACGCATGATCTTGGAAGGTTTCAACGATGGAATTTCAATCGGGAAGGAGTTTCAAGAGGTGATGAGAACCATTGCATCGACGATTCCCACTCAGGGTAAGTCTGGTCTGCACTACAGATTATGATGGAATCGAGCAGGGGCTCATGCTTTCTGTTGTCATTCTATTTGACGAAGTCTCTGCGTCATGGATCAATTGGATCATTGTGAAGACTTCCGTGACCGCGCCGCTCTCTTACATGCTACAGGTGAACACTTACTTGTTAAACTGGTCCCAATTGAAATGCTGCGCCAGGGCTGTGAAGGGCGGTGGACCAGGTGGGCCGTTGCCGTTCCGCGTTTACGTTGACTCAGGAGTGGTTCTTTTGTGCCTCTTCGCTCTAGCTCCAGCGGCGCCGCTGGTTGCACCTTTTGCGTTTCTATACTTCTTGCTCTCCACTCCGATGCTAAGGCGAAATGTTATCTTCATGTACAGACCCAGGTAAAGAAACGCATTTGATTTGTCAACGTCCAGCATCGATTCGTCGCGCTCACTTTTGATGACTCTGATCACCCTCTGTGTTGCGGAAAGATTCGATGCTGGAGGTGTCCGCTTCCCCTTCCTCTTTGAAATGTGCATTAGTGGCATGTTTGTGGGTCAGATCCTGCTGGCCACCATGATGGGGCTAAAGAAGTCACTTGGTCCGTGTGTTTGTGCAGCGATCGCTTTTGTCCCAACCTTGCTTTTTCGCGACAATATGCGGGCTCGCTACCTGCGAGCATTCAATGATGTGGGCCTCTTGCAGACCTCCCTACTGGATGGCTGGGACACTGCGTCTCCCGAGTCATTTGGTGTCCGAGAAGAGCGACGAAAGTGGATTGTTGATTGTCACCGAGCCGCGTATGTCCCAGTTTGCATGGCTTCTACACAAACAGACGAGGTCTTGACTGCTGAACCAGCAGTCGTTGTGCCCACGATGGAAGAAGCTGATCCCAACCACAACAACAGTTTTTCATCCCTCCCGAGCGAGCTTACTTCCATGAAAGACATGTCGATGGCAGACTACAGCATGATGGAAAGCCGTCGAATGAGCGCTAGCCAGTATGGGGCTTCGCTAAGGAGAGCAAGTGCGATTATTTCGCCTACAGTGCTAGAAACGTTTGTCGACTGGAGCGATGAAATGGGTGGGAAAAGGAAACAGGAGAGTGAAGAATTCGGCAACAGGCATAGCGCTAGTGAAGAATTTGGGAAGCGGAAATCAACATGATCCTCCCAGGGAAAGGCTGGGTGCTGGAAAAGCAACCGAATCAAAAGTGGCAGCAAACAGTCAAAGTGCACCTGGTGCTTCTACACAGCGGATAGGCGAAGCTGGTTGGGACTATTCAGCACTGCTGCTATTTTTCTCCGCAGGAGCTTCTCCGTAGTCTTGAGCTCCTTGAACTACTTCGGAGAAGCTTGATTGGCGCAACTTCACCAAGTTCTGTTGACCCAGCTCATCGATCAAAGTATGATGGATCACATCGCCGGCTTGAAGGCTCAGGAATAGGTCGTAGCCATCAACTATATAGCCAAACGGTGCATACTCCCCACCAAGAAGCTTTCGTTTGCTGCTTGGAAGGCTCTCCTTCTGCAGGCAGAAAAATTCAGACTACTCCATTCAAACTTTTGTCTGGGTGATTCAAAGCAACGAGGCCGGGTATGTCAAACTCAGCAAGGATTTGCCATTTTCGCTGGAAACAGATGCTGGTGTGTTGGAAAGTCCCATCTGGTGTCCGAGGGTGAATCGTCTTCTGCGTACGAAAGCTTGGGTGCCGTTTTGCCTTCCCCAACGCGGATGATCTCCAGAGGAATACGGCGTAGCCTTGGGTGGGGTGAACGTGATGTCAAAAGAGGAAAGAGGAGGCAATTCTGCAGCGAAGCCTACTACAATTTGGTCACATACCTGGCTGTCAGGGGATCATAAAACCCTTCTTGAAAAGAGCCCAACATAGATAGTTGCAACTTCAAACTCTTTATCTGATCCCACCTTCTTCCGTGTCAGCTTGTTGGGGAGACCTGTGTAAAAGTTGCAGTTGGATAGGTCCACAAAGTTCCCTAAGCAACGGAGAAGAGCAAAGAACAGGTCAAAATTTTCAACCTCCATGAAAGGCACAGGGTCCACATAAGTTCAGCATGACTATACTGTACGTACCAGCGGTAATGGGAGCAGCAAATCCATCTGCAGTGATTGCAATGAGAATCGTCAGGATGGTTGCATGCACGCCAGATACACGTTACATCCTGCTCTTAACTGCAATAATTGTGATGGTGCCAAGAACCTTTTTCTTTCTACGGACGGAGAAAGTTACTTTTGCTCTTCCAAGGAGTCTGGGCAAATAACTGTACAATCCCTCAGTCGGTACCTCATACGGGAATTGCCCCACGAGGAACTCTGCACGCGAACAAAGCAAACAACAGGATTAGAAATCTGGCACAGCAAAGCACTGTCCAGAGACAAGGACGCAGGTCTGCACCTGGTCTTTGTACTCACCTCCAATTTCTGATAGTGCCAGTAAGGCCTTCTTCTGAACTTGAAAGGTTTGGTTGTGTTTTGGGAGGACATTGCATTGGCGAGCTCAACCAATTGGTTCCTGAAAAGCTCTATCCTTCTTTCTCCACTTTCGCCTTTAATAGAAAATTTTTTAAGCTAGAAGTTAAAAGGATGGGCCCCCGTAGGGGGCTTAGAAGTATAAAGATTGGGCCCTTGGGGCCCAACCACCAAGCTAGCTAATGGGAGTGGAACACATGGCCTTCTGGCTGGCCCTCAAAGCACTGCAGCAGAACCTCTTTCATCTCTGGCTTTGTCTTTTTGATGGACTTTCCCAGGACCCTGGCCCAATTCTTCATGTCTGCGAAGCTTGTGGAGGAGTCCAACAGCTTGGCTTTGGTCAGACCGCCTTGCTTTGGAGCAGCCTTTCTCTTTCCAGTGGCATGTTGATTGATGGCGGCCATCTGAAGCAGCATACCCCCCTGTCTGAGCAAAGCTTTGGCATGCTGGGGCCTCAGCCTACCCCTAAGACCAGCGTTGCCCTGCCCCATCATGTTGAAGTGCATTCGATCGAATGATTCGGCAGCGAGCTCGGCAACGTTGTTTGTGTTGGCGGCGCTACCATAGTGTTCGCTTGCATGCCTGACTGAGCTATCTTGCCAACAGCCGCCAAGAACACCATGCCGTTGTCGTCCACCTTGGGGAACCGTCCACTGGAGTACAGGTCCCGGATGTAGTGGTCGATACCAGCCGGTGCCTCTTTCGTACTCGCACTCATCGTCTTCGGAGGATGGCGATGAAAGCGGCTATATCCTCGGCTGCGGT